CGCAAATCTACTGTATAAAAAATACATGTTGAAAAGAAGTCTGTAATGTGAGGCTACACCACCATACGCCATGCCTATGTTAGATAGATCAAAGTTAATTGAAATGAAGATTTCAATTTGGCTTGCTGGTGGTTCCAACTGAGTCCAAAGCAGGTACTCTTTTATTCAAAGTGGTCTTGGTGATGGAACAGCACACCTCCCTATTCTTCGTCATCCAGTCTGATGTTGTGACAGGTTATTTCTCTTTCGCAACTTTCTTTTGTCCAAGTTCCCTTGAACTTTTCTGCTGCATTATTGCGTCAGTTATTAGTCCGGTAAGGAACAATGATCGATAGCTCACTTCGCGTTCGGAAACTAGTTCCTCAACTATAGTTCATCCTATCGCATCGTGGATATCAGGTATGTAACATTGTATTTCAGAAGAAGAAAACAGGCGAATGTCTTTCCGGTGATGAAACATTAGAACGACATAGTTTGGGTCTCTAGTTTTGCTTGGTCCGTGTGATTATCGACATTATTTTTGCGTTGATGATGACGTCAGCTTGTCTAGACTTGTGCCCATTTACTGCTTGTTTGATGATAATAATCAACATTATATATAGTAATTGCGTTAATGATTGGTGATAGTTATTCGTCGTTGACAGTTGATACAATTATTAACTCCCCGTGAAGACTACTTGTGCCCCGTTTGCTGATTGCTTGTTTCGCCTAAAATGTATTTTTAGCTTCGACAGACGGTACACGGCTATTAACTGGCTACGGGTAGTTTCAAATGGTAAGCTAATTCTCGTTATTATTTGTATGTATTTAAACGTATGTACAACATGATCGCGAAGACCTTCGGGAAATAAAATCTAGCGCAATTTCAATACCCTATTGCTTATCTAATTCATGTCCAGAACTCCGGATACCGTAATGTTTTTGGGATTTTCGCCTACTTCAAAAATTCAAGGCTATTGAAATTGTCTTAAATCTAAATTAGCGGAAGTCTTTGCAAAAGCTTGTTATCCTTATTTTCAGTTTTTCTTCAATATTATTAATATTATTGTGTTTCATATAGAGATAAAGAGACACTTTGATGTTATTGTTTTTTATTTTCCAATACAAAAACATATAAATAACAATATTGCTGAGTTATATCTTTCTAAAATAATGTACAATGTTTTGTATAAACGTTACGCTTTTTGATGTAAACGTGTTCATGATTACTCAGGGCCCTATAGAAGACCACTACCATAATGGGCTACCCTGACAATACATTAGAAATAAATGAAATAAATAAATAAATCAAAAAACTTATTGCTATAGGGTACATTTTTTGGTTAAATCTACAATAATAAATTCATGCTAAAATTCTGTTTCGTTTTGTTTGTGATAATAACGATATTGATGCTTATGTCGAGTGTAATGCGATCCTTATTGTTGTCAGTATTTGGGGCTCCCCTTTTTTCATTTTGGTTAAAGTTTTTCTTCCTATTCAGCATATACCTTTAAAAAAATAAAAAGCATATCGTGTAAATTACATAAATTACTTGGAATTTTAATATGTAGTTTTACAGATGCTAAGAAGAGTTTTATGATCGAGGAGTAGGCCTACACAATCATGACAATGGTTCGAAAGGAGAAAAGGGATGACTTTCTGATGTGGTTACCTACTGCGCATGTACAGTCAAGGGGTCGTCTGGTAAGACAACCATTCCAATCTCTCTCTCTCTCTCTCTCTCTCTTTCTATATCTCTTCTCTCCCTGTGTCTCTTCCTCTCTTTCTCTCTCTCTATCTGTCTACATCTCTCTCTCTTTCAATCTCTCTCTCCCTAACTCTTTCTCTCTCTCCCCTACCTCTTTCTCTCTCTCTCTCTCTCTTCTCTCTCTCTCCTCACTCTCACTCTCTCTCTCTCTCTCTCTCTCTCTTTCTCTCTCTCTCTCTCTGTATATATATATATATATATATATATATATATGCCTATCTCTCTCTCTCTCCACCCTCTCTCTCTCTTTCTCTCTCTCTCACTCTCTCTCTCTCTCTCTCTCTCTTCCTTTCTCTCTCTCTCTCTCTCTCACACACACACACACACACACGCGTGCACTCTCTCTCTCTCTCTCTCTCTCGCTCTCAATATTTTCTCTCTTATTTTCTGCTTTCCTTATACAAAATTCAATGTACTACGTTTTAATATATTCAAGAATTACAGAATTTCAGCGAAGATTTAGAATGTTTCTTTAGCTCTTTTGTATCAACACAGGCGGGCCCATGCGATTGAGAGGATCACATAATTCCAAATAACCACTGACAAACAAAACTTAGAAAATAGGAGCATCACATTTTTTTTTCTTCAATTTTCTTTTGCGTCTGAAGTTTGACATAAGTATAAGTAAACCCACAATACCAAAGGGCACTTGTTTCTTTTGGGGAAGTTACGGTTTGTTTACTTGAGTATTTAAAAGGGGTCATGGGTTGGTTGTGCCCCCTTTGAAAAACAGTATAATTGATACGTTATATAAATCAACTTTGAAGCGAATTGTGAAAGCTATACCCTCCCCGGCCCCTTGTAGAATAGACTTGAAACTATGCCAATACGACATAGGAAAAACTTGTACATAAAAGACTTTTTAACAATTATTTGGGTCTAGATTTTTGAGGCTCGTTCAGACATTAGGCGGTAAATCGCCGGAAAAAACAACAACAAACAAACAAAACAAAATAACGCAATTTTATTTTACTCTTTATTAATATTTTCTTCTTTTTTTAAATTACTTTTCGAGCGAGTAAATGAATGGCAAAAATGCTAACCAATTATTCATGTCCTTCGCGGGTGCACTCAAATGATCTGATCTTTAAAAACGCTGCAGTTTATCGCTTCATGAAGGCTTCATGACAGAAGAATCTTTAAAATATATTTATTTTTTTACTCTTCAGAAATTGTTGTTGCTTCTTGTTCTTCTCCTGTCTGTGTTCATCTTAATCGCATCGGAGAACATGCTCCACTTATCACCAGACATCAGGATATACTTCGTTAACAAACAGAGGGAGTAAGGCTTAATTACTATTAATGATGATAATGACAATGATGGTGACGATGGTGAAGGTGATGATGGTGACGATGGTGATGATGGTGATGGTGATGATGGTGGTCATGGTGGTGATGGTGATGGTGATGATGGTGATTGTGATGATGGTGATGATTATGGTGACGATGGTGGTGTTGATGGTGATGGTGGTGGTGATGGTGACGATGATGATAGTGACGATGACGATGGTGATGGTGACGATGGTGATGGTGATGATGATGATGATGGTGACGATGGTGATGGTGACGATAGCGATGATGATGATGATGATGGTGACGATGGTGATGGTGATGATGGTGATGATGATGGTGATGATGATGGTGATGATGATGATGATGGTGATGGTGACGATGGCGATGATGATGATGATGATGGTGACGATGGTGATGGTGATGATGGTAATGATAATGATGGTGGTGATGTTAAAGATGGTGATGGTGGTGATGGTGATGGTGATGGTGATGGTGATGGTGACGATGATGATGGTGACGATGGTAATGGTGATGGTAATGGTGACGATGGTAATGGTGATGGTAATGGTGATGGTGACGATGGTAATGGTGATGGTGATGGTGACGATGGTAATGGTGATGGTAATGGTGATGGTGACGATGGTGATGGTGACGATGGTAATGGTGATGGTAATGGTGACGATGGTAATGGTGATGGTAATGGTGATGGTGACGATGGTAATGGTGATGGTAATGGTGACGATGGTGATGATGATGGTGATGGTGACGATGGTGGTGACGATGGTGATGGTGATGATGATGGTGACGATGGTAATGGTGATGGTGATGGTGACGATGGTGATGATGATGGTGATGATGGTGGTGACGATGATGATGGTGACGATGGTAATGGTGATGGTAATGGTGATGGTGACGATGGTGATGGTGATGGTGACGATGGTGATGATGATGGTGATGATGGTGATGATGGTGATGGTGTTGATGATGGTGATGATGATGGTGACGATGGTGATGGTGATGGTGACGATGGTGATGGTGATGATGGTGATGGTGACGATGGTGATGATGGTGATTGTGGTGATAATGGTGATTGTGATGGTGATGGTGGTGACGATGGTGATGTTGACGATGGTGATGGTGATGGTGACGATGGTGATGGTGACGATGGTGACGATGGTGATGGTTACGATGGTGACAGTGACGATGGTGATGGTGGTGATGGTGATAATGGTGATGATGGTGATGATGATGGTGACGATGGTGATGGTGATGGTGATGGTGACGAAGGTGATTATGATGGTGACGATGGTGATGGTGATGGTGAGGGAGGTGATGATGACGGTGATAATGATAATGAACATGATTATAATGAAAATGATGATGATGATGTTAAATTGATGCTGATGATAATGATGATATGGTGATTGCAATAATAATCATTACAATCATAATGACGATGATGATGATAATAATATGATAGTGATAATGATGAAAATGATGATGGTGATAATAGCCTAATGGTGACGATAAGGATGATAGTTATGATGTTGACGATGGTGATGGTGATAATAATGATGGCGATAATAATGACGATTATACAGGTGATGATTTGAAGATAACGATGATTATTATTATAATGAATAACAATTATAATAATAATGACAAATAATAAGAAAAAGACAGAGGAGGAGGGGGATCGAGAAAGAAAATTATTAAGATGAACAAGAACTAAAGCCCCACTGTCCTACTTGTAGCTAATTGATCCCTCTATAAATGCATAATCGGTGACCATTGGTCCCCATGATCCTCTTTTTCTTATGTTAATTGCGAGCTGAGTTGATGAGATAACCACCTGTCCAGTGACCTTGCATGGGGGTGTAATCCCTCTTTTAAAGTAGCGCAGATAAGCTTTAAGTCATATTATGTATAGGCCTACTTATTATACGCTTTTCATCTTCTCATTTTCGTTTTCGTCACAGTTACATCATCGAGTCAGCAAAGAGTAGTCAAGTTGACCACGAGATCCCCCAGATTGGTGAAAGTCATGTGATGCCTGGCGAGGACCAGAGCAATGTCTACCATGAAAGCATCAACAACGGAAGTCACTTGACCCTTTCCGACTCTCAACTTGGCGCCGCTTTCAAGCCGGAACCGCTCTGCGAACGGCAGAAAAACTTAGCCTTCATCAAGACGCATAAAACAGGTAGCACAACGGTCGCCTCCATCATGCACCGGTACGCGCTGTCGCACCGGTTATCATGCGTAGGCTACAAATCAGACCCGGCACGTGGGCACATCAGATTCGATATGCTAAACAAGCGCTCCAATCGCAAATTCATCCCGCCTCTTGGCGTTGGGGTAGGAGACTACGCAAATTACAAGGGCTACAATATGCTGACTGTCCACGTGCGCTATCAGCCGAAGATCTTGAAGCTTTTTATGGCCGAGGGGACCAAGTATGTCACTATTCTCCGGGAACCGAGCTCCCATTTTGAGTCTGCCTTTACCTTCTTCGGCGCAGAGAAATCGCTCTTCCGCACACGTCACAGTGATAATATCGCCAAGTTTGCCAATCAACCTAGTCACTACTGGCACAAACTACCGAGGGGGCATAAGAAATACTATACGCGCAACGGGCAGATGTTCGATCTCTCGCTAGATCGGAGGATACATACCGATATATCGGTAGTGAAATCTATCATTAACGATATATCGACAAAATTTAGCTTGGTCCTAGTCATGGAGTATATGGACGAATCGCTTCTTCTGTTGAAGAAACTAATGTGTTGGGACTATCGCGATATTTCTTACGTCATAAAGAACCACCGCACGCATACGTCCGAAATGGATGACGACGTGCGCGCGTCGCTGCGTAAGTGGAACTGGGCGGACACATTGCTCTACGAGCATTTTAACGCTACGCTGTGGAAGAAGATCACAGAATACGGCCCTACATTCAACGAGGACTTGGCGGAATTTAGAGAAGTCTTGCAAAAAGACTATGACGAGTGCGTAGCTGAAGAGTTAACAAAAAGGAGAAGGAAAGTTGTGAAGACGAAGCTGGCAAATAATTCCGACTATTGTACTCATTTGGCGGGTAGTACATACCGGTTATTTAACAAGGTTTACAAACGTCAGATGAATAACACTCAAAATAATTGAGATATGTCGATCAGAAGCATGAAGACATTGCTTCAAGACTTAAGTTGCTGTTAAACAATTAAAGTGTTCAAATCACTGGGAGAAAAACAAAATTGTGTATATCTAGAATGCGTTAAATCCCTTTAAATCGACCTCATTAAAAAAAAAAACTTCTATTGCATTTTATAGATTAGCGGATTAAGTACGAAGAAAATAATGGGAAACATATTATATAAAGTGCGTCCCAGAAAAAACGAAACCGAAAATTATCGATGTTTTATCATAACTTATTCATACTTATAATTAATAAATGACACATTATTTGTAAAGCTTAGATCCTCCTCTTTCATGTTGATGCAACTTATGTGATGCATATTTCACGCATGAGTGATTAACACAATTTGAAGAAAGGGTACCAAAAAGTCATTTGGCGAACGGTATCTGAATTTCACGGAGGAAAATCACATTTCTAGAAAGTTTATTTTTTACCCTTTCATATGACATCACAGTCAGGAAAAATGAGCCAGGAATAACCAATTAAGTTCTGTTTGTTTAAGCCCCATTGTCCTACTTGTAGCTACTTGCTCCCTCTATATAGAAAACTTCCCCAATCGGTGCCTGTTGGTCCCCCATGATCCTCTTTTTCTTATGTTAGTTGAGAGTTGATGAGATAGCCACCTATCAGTGACCTCGCTGTGTGGTCTAATCCCTTCTGGCCCAGGAGTAGTGACGGTCTTTAAAGTAATGCTTGCATTTCCAAAATTTTATCAAACGAATCCGTTCCACTGGTTGTCTGCTCTAACAACAAAGAAGAAGAAAGACTTCATGCATGGCTGCTTGTCAACGAAACGGAGTTTGTTGTTTGTTGCTACGGCAGGCATGCATTCAGCTAGTGAAAACGAATTCGTTAGGATGTTTATGATGTCCACGTTATGTACCCGATAGGCCTACTGCCGATGGGGTTATCTATTTATTTATAACTATATATATGTGTATATGTGAAAATTAAAAGTATTTTTGTTATTAACATTATTAACACCATTACTTCATGTATCATTATTAGTTATAGTTATTAACATTATTATCAAACGATTAGAGAGAGAGACAGAAGAAATTGCTTGGACACATAATGCGGCATGATGAGGGGCTTGATGCTCAGAGTCATAAAGGCCATATTCATGGAAAGAAGAAGAGGGGAAGACCTCGTAAAGGCTTTCTAGACGATGTAATCACACAATGTGGAGCAACAGGGTATGAAATGATGAAACGGATGGCCCAAGACCGAGGAACTTGGAGAGACACTTGATATAGAATTTTGAATGGGTCACTGAACCTGTCATAAGCTGACAGATCACTGATTGATGATGATTATTATCATGAATATTTTTGTCAAAATTGATGATTAGGCTACATTGTAATGACATTAGGCCTCGTCACTGATTTTATATATATACATGTATAATGACAATGATAACAACCAAATAAAGCAAGTATATTTCAAAAGATAGACAAACTCGTTTCGTGCTTTTTTGTTCGTTGTTGATGTTGTTGCTTTATCTCGATATCTTTTCATGGGTTCTGAACGGTAGTGGTATGTCGCCCTCTGCGGTGGCTTGTCTTTAGTTTCCAAACTCTCGCCCTCCCAATAAACCTTTCTTTCTCTCTCTCTCTTTCTGAACCCCTTTCTTTTTCTCTTCCACCAATGTCTTCATATCTTCCCTCTCTCTCTCTGACACAAGCATCTAACCCCTCTCTCTCTCTCTCTCTCTCTCTCTCTTTCTCCTCGTCCCTCCCCCTTTGCCCTCTTTTTCTCAAATAATTGCATCTCAAATCAAATGTTGCCCTAAAAATTATTTCTCTTCTCTCGTCACCCTCCTCTCCCGAACCCACCCCCCCCCCTCTCTCTCTCTCTCTCTCTCTCTCTCTCTCTCTCTCTCTCTCTCTCTCTCTCTCTCTCTCTCTCCTTTCCACCCTCCCCCTCCTATCACACGATTCATCTCAAATCGAACTTTGTCAGAGATATTCCATCATAACGATTGTACAGTTTTCCATGATTAATAAACTAGTCAAACCAGTCTATCCAGGCACCTAAGGGAAAAAGCGAATGTGGTTACTGGATATAGGTGGCCTTTCTAGACAGGTTCTACAACACACCTTTCTTTCTCAAGGGAGACAAGTCACAAAATACATGGCCACTATGGACAGGTGGTCTTTATAGAGAGGTGGCCACTAAGACAAGTTTGACAGTACATCGTTATTCATGTCTGAGACTGGAATGAGAGAGAGGCTAAAGACTGGACAAAAATCTTTCCAAATTATTGCAGAAATATGTTACATACAAGAATGAGAGAAAGATGATGTCACTAGCATAAAGGTGTGATTTACTAGGGGAGGCAAGAGGGTATAATAAGAGACAGTTTGATATAATAAACATAAACTAGTCAAGTCGGTATATTCAAATTAAAAAGATTGTTTAATACATGTAACTATAGTATACAAAACCTTGTAATATTATACAATTTATTTAATATACAGTGTATTGTTTAATGAGAATGATGAGGGTGTAAAAATGACTATGTTAGATAGCTCTTACTGCTACAAAGTTGTGATTGGTCCATAGATCATCGAGTAATAATGATTGTTTCAATGTTATATTGACCACCCAGTCCAATGAAAATAACTTTGCGTAATACTATATCCAAGCAACCCTGCACAAAATGGTGCTTACCTATTACTTGCCTTGTCTCAATTACTCAAGTGAAAAAAGGCATGAGATCGTAACCACCCTTTATTGTATACAAAGTGCAATCAAGGCCATCTAATATAAAAAATATTGACTGGTCGGGTGTGTAGAACATATTTTTTGGACAGCAAAGGGAGTAATATGTTTCCTCAATATTATACTTTCACTTAGCAGCCTCGTAAGAATATGCACCCTTGGGGAAATATAACTCCCTTCGGCGGTCGAAAAAATGTAATATTTCACACCCACCAGTCAATATCAGTATGAGATACAAAATATCACTCTATGACCTTCTTTCTTTCAGCAAAGGTCTACACATTAAAGATGCTCATGCATGGTTACATATAGAGGGCGGCACATTAACGACTATATACCCATGCATAAACATCTTTAATACAGTGTAATCTTTTTATCACAAACCGCCTGTGGCCATGAAAATTACCTTCTAATATCAATTACTGGTTACATGTATTTAAAAAATGGCCATATTTATATAATATTGAATGGCCTTGAAGGTTATAATATCCCTCAAGCTGATTACCACATTTCATGAGATTGCGAGGGGAATATTCTCAATGTGAGTGCTAAGAATGTAATTCAATATTATTATTATTATTCGTTGAATCGATGATTAGTAACTCAATTTTTCCCATAGCACATTTATGCATTTTAATTAACCTTGACATAAAACAAAGGAGAAAACCCTTGGTGATTTGCTAGTGATTTGCCTGTAGGATTAGTACATATCAAAAGGGCTTTACATGTGTGCTTGTAAAAAGTTTTTTTAAAGAGTATTTGTGAAAACTTTTATATAAATCAAACAATATGATTGCAGGGACAACTGTATTAATACTGATTAGACTCCCCTGGATAAGCTAGACATACTATTATTATTACTTTTCAATATTAAAGAGAAGGTTGATTTCTGGGAAGAGGTGAAGAATAATTTGTGAGCGTTATCATTGTATTATGCAAGTGTGGAAGAACATCAGATAAAAAATGTTCCCTGAAAAGCATGGCTCTTCAGATGCATTCATATTTTAAATATGGCATGTAACATCATAAATATCAGGAAGGATTTTTATGCCACATGTTTGTGTAGTCCCATATACATCTTTCTGTGTACAGTGCTTGTAACTTTACCAAGACTGGGCCAGATTTCTTATCGTTTTGATTATTCCAGCACCTTGCAGTACACACCGATATTTATATGCTGGATGATCAACCTTTTCTGACCGGTTCCACAACGTTTCTTTCACAATGCAATCGCATGACTAGAACTCAACTTTATCTTTAAGACCCCTTGCTTATTCCGAGGACACTTCCACTTACCAGTACTGTATTGCATGATAACATATTCTGGTACAGGCATACTAACTTTAGTCAAATTTTAAAGCTGAAGTCCTCCCCGATATTTAGTTGGTTTTTGATAATAGAAGCAGAAAAAAAATGAGAGGAAGAGGTTGTCGAAAGTTTCAGCAAATTCTCATTAAGAAAATTATACATTTTTGAAGTTGCAATCATTCAAGGTTCCCTTCTGTCTGCGCTGTACTAAAACATTTTTTTTTTTATTTCCCTCAAGAAATTTTTCAATCATACATGCACCCTAAATATAATTATTGCAAATATGTTTCTATTCAACCCCTGTATGGGGAAAAATTAATTCCTTCATTAATAACTGAGAAAATGAAAGTTTATTCAATTTAATGTGCAGAGCAATTACCATACATAAACCTATAGTGATTACAATATTCCAAAATTCATAACTTTCTTATTCTTTGTCCAATTTCTTTCACCAGTGTGCTTCTCTGATTTTGTTCTGCTTTCTATTTCTATTAGAGGTGTTGTGGTCGAGTAGATACGCCGCCGGATTGTCGATCACAGGGTCCGCGGTTCGAGTCCCCCTACCGCACTAATGTCCTTTGGCAAGACATTGATCTAAATTTGCCACACTCCACCCAGGTGAAGTAAATGGGTACCTGTTAGGAATTTATTCCTTGAAATGCTAGAGCGCCATATAGCAGCCATGCTAGAGCCAGGGTAATAATCGGGAGCGCCAGGAGGGTCAAATCCGACTGACATGAGCGCTATACAAGAACCCACTATTATTATTATTATTATTACTGGTATATTAATTTCAAATATGCAGGTCACAGACCCCATTACCGACTTCAAACCGACCTATAACAATACTCTGAAATGTACAGGTTCAATTCTTCATTATCTATCTATCAATCTATCTATCTCCTTGAAAGTATGCATCATACCTTATGTTTCTTTTTCTTTTTTTCTTTGCGCTAGTACTTGGAGCCTCTCCATTCTCAACATCGTCTTCCCGACTCGACTTCTTCCTCTTCTTCTTACCAGAGCTAGTCTCTGCTCTCTCCTCCTCCAGACCCTCTTCACTACTATCCCTCTTTCGTTTACTAGTCTCGCCACTAGACCTCTCCTCGCTGTTCTCCGCCGTGTCGTCGTCATCATGGGAACAGCCAGGTGTCTCCAAGTGCCTGTTCTTATCCTTCTTAGATTTCTTGGTCTTTTTCTTCTTCTTCTTGTCGCCGTTCTCGTTATGCTCGCTGGCGCTTTCTGATTTGCTCTCGTCGACGAGTCGCTTCTTTTTCTTGTTCTTCTTTTTCTTCCTTCCCAGGTCAATCCCCTCATCCTCCTCGATATCGCTCTCTCCCCGAACCTCGATCTGTTCCTCGTTCTCTTCGTCCGAGTCTCGGCCAGCTGACCGCGCCTTCTTCTTCTTCCGCTTCTTCTTTTTCTTGTTTCGACTCCTCACCCCGTCTGGTCCCTCCTCACTCTCCATCTCCTGCTCCTCCTCCTCTCCTTCGTTCCCTCCATCTTCATTCCCTCCATCCAACAAACCCGACGGCCCAGCAGCGCCCTCTACATCTGACCTTTGACCCTGCTCCGTGGACTGTCTGAACCCAAAGCCGCACCGAGGCGCTTCTAGCTCCGTGTCCGAGTGCGACTCGCTCACCCTCGTCTGCCGCCCTCGCTTGAAGGCGCTCATCTTCTGCGCGAAGTAATCCCCGACGCTGCAGGTTCCCTTGAAGGTCACGACCCCATGAGTGAGCTCCTCCTTCTCCTCACTCTCGTCCTCGTCAGAATTCTCTACCTGTATGGTATAGAAACAAGTATGATAAATGACCTTTGACCTGCCTTTGACAATGTCGGCAAAGATTCTTAAGAAGCCTATTGTATTTTTTGTAAGGTACCTTACGAACCTCTGTACTCAAAGGCCCAAATTCACTAAGGAGGTTTGAAGACACACCAAGGTTTATGTGCGTCATATGATGTGTTTTGACGTGTTTCAGACCAAATTTTGTCTGAACCTTGGTCTGAATGTGTGAAACGCATCAAAACGTGTCATATGATACACACAAACCTCCTTTGTGAATTCAGACCTTTAAGTACAGAGGTTCTTAAGGTACCTTCCAAAAAATACGATAGGCTAGCTTCTTAAAAATTAAAATTTTCCCATGAATTACTAGAAAAATATAATGTTTTGATAAATTCTTATTATTCTTGTCAAAATTCAAAACATTCTCCTTTACATGACACCCTGCTTAGAACAACTGGGAATAAAATTAAGATGACATGAAAATGGGACTTAAGGACACTGCAAAAAAACAACTGATAAGCACAAAGCTCTTGGCCTGCTTGAAGATAAGCTTGAGTTCTGGTAATGATGGAAAATAAATTCTCACAGAATCCAACAAAACTTACAATGAATGTTCAAAATTACAAATAAATGATATGTGCCGAACGCTTTTGGTAGGAAGTGTATAGGGGCTGAGTAATGAGCAATGACCAGAATCGACTCCATTAAATGAATACAACTTTGGTTCATCTGACAGAATTTGTTTGGGTTTAAAAATAACCAAAAAAATAATGCTGTTCTTCCTAGTGACTGTGCTTTAGGATATGACCAGAGCTGAGTCTCTAACAATATCAAAACAACTTTAGTTCCTCCTACCAAAGTGTTTGGGGTGTGACCAGAGCCGAGTCTCTAACAATACAAACAACTTTAGTTCCTCTTACCGATTGTGTTTGGGGTATGACCAGAGCCAAGTCTCTAACAATATAAACAACTTTAGTTCCTCTTACTGATTGTGTTTGGGGTATGACCAGAGCCGAGTCTCTAACAATATAAACGACTTTAGTTTCTCTTACCGATTGTGTTTGGGGTGTGACCGGAGCTGAGCTTGTTAGACGTCTACCCAGAATGCTATTCATACCTTCCTCTCCATACTGGGACATATCTTTTCCTCGAGTGAACTTCTTGTAACTGCAAGAAAGATCATCGTTTGTATCATTTAATACACAATATCAAATCATGTTATTTCAAGAAAATGCAACAAGAATAAAAAAAATGTTTAAACGTATTTGTGGCTTACAACAGTAAATAAAGATTGATTGATCAATTTTTAATTGAAAACAAGTCAGCGGGACTTGAACCTGTCATCTACTGTTTGCCAGGCAGCGACTCTACCACCAGGCCACCTAGCCATAAATATGTTTAAACAATGGAAATTTCTCTAAAGAAGCATTATATTTATAAAACAAATAAAAAATTATGTTTGAAGGTTTGCATGGTGGTATGAATAATCACGGTAGAGGTTTACGGTACACCATGTGTAAAGTCCTAGAAGGACTAAGGAAAGTAGATAGAAAGTAGTCTCACTCCTGAAGACGGACAGTCAACCTGTCCGAAACGTCGAGTCTACTCTCCTGCTCCTGCTCTGCAACTCTACTCAACTCTCCAACTCAATCCAGTCTTCTACTCAAACCTCTCATCCTATCTACAACTTTCTGGTTTACAGTCCTTTTCAGGACTATACTCACTTCCGAAAGATACTCTTCCTTCCAACCTCCACTTTCTCGCCTTTCTATTTCACCTCTATTTTCTATCTACTTTCCTTAGTCCTTCTAGGACTTTACACAAGGTGTACCGTAAACCTCTACCGTGATTAAATAAAAAATTGTTGACTAAAAACAGATTCTAAACTTTTAGCCTAAACCCAATACACTCTACCTAACCCTTACTCCTTTACCCAGAGAAGCCTGTTAGAATTGATCAAAGGGCCTGAAAATCACCTAAAATGAGTTTGTACACAAAAAATCCTAAACTATGGTATGAAAATAACTCACCAAGGCCTGAATTCAGGCTATAAGGGAGTTTACAGATAGCACATGGTACAAATGACCCCAAATATCCACAGATCTTTTACACATGGAGAAGTTCCACTTTGAGCATATTAGAATAATAACTGCCAAAGTTCTAGATGTGCTTCATGAATACCTTTTGTTTGCCCTCTTGAAAAGAATACTTCCACCTGCGTATCATAGAATGTACTGTTGGTGCATAAATGAATAATGTTACATAACTTTCATGAGCGCATATCCAGTATTCATCTCTGTGGGTTTTACCTTTTTGGTACAAATGACCTTTATCTGCCCATGCGCAGATTGTATCTGTAAACTCCCTTATTGCCTGAAAAATGGCATCCCTGTTTACCCCTCAACCCAACCCTAAACCTAACCCCAAACGAAACATAACATAACCAAAGAACAACCCCAACCATAAAATTCTGATAAAATAATGCCCAGAGCAATTGTTTGTTACTTACTGGACTCTGCTCCGTGACTTCTTTGAGCGTTCCTCTAGGCTCAATGCTTCTCTGTCGTTGGACGTTGAGGGCGTGCGACCCTCGTTCAGAGTGCTAAGGAGGTCGTTAAAATCATCCTGGTGAGCAATCCAGTTATCTTCTTGGCTTACCTTACATCCAATACCTGAAAAAAAACATAACAATAACAACAAAAATAACAATAATAATCATGTAGTCAAACCTGCTTTACGAGAATCATATTGCTGAACGATGAGTAATTCGTAAAAAAATGTTTTATTTCTAGTCTGAATATCGCTTAAAGAGAAGGTTGAGTTCTGGGAAGAGGTAACAAAATAATTTGTAAGCGTTATCATGTAAATGTGGAAGAACAGCAGATACAACATGTTCCCTGAAAAGCATGGACCTTCAAATGCCTTCATATTCTAAATATGTTGTGTAACATCGTAAAAATCTGTCCTGATTTGTACGCCACGTGTTCGTGTAGTCCCCTATACATGTACATCTTTCTGTGTACAGTGTTTGTAACTTTACCAAGACTTGGCAAATTTCTTATCATTTTGATGATTCCAGAATCTTGCAATACACACAAATACTTTATATATGCTAGATGATCAACCTTTTCTGGTCGATTCCACAACGTTTCTTTCACAATCCAATCGCATGACCAGAACTCAACTTCATCTTTAAAGACCATGGTGTTTAGCAAAACTGCTATTTGAACATCATTTAAAACAAAAAACTTGATGAAGAATCAGGGTCCCGTACTAGTGTGGGCGCCATATATACATTGTATATCAAAGTCATTATTCAGATATCTGGCGGGGCTTAATATGATGAGCACGCACGAATGATTGAATAACTGACATGTAAACGGAACTCATCGTAACTGGTTTCTTTCTTCTTTGTATGATTTTATTATCTAGTCTATATGCCCCTTTTACTGCACTTGATTCTTTAATCTGAAGACCAAATAACAAAAACAATGTGTTTCTCGGTAATTATAGCTGGCCAAGCCTATATTTATTCACAGATATTGTGCTATGTGAGTATACCGATGCAATGTATAACAAAACAAATATGATTTCTAGCACTTTAGAAGCTTTTTAAAAAAAAGGTATATCACAGGCTTTTTCGGGGCTTTTTTTCTGAATAGTTAGTGACAAAAAAGGAGGCGGCGGCGGGAGCAGCCAAGAAGGAGGTGGGCGTGGAGCCGTGGACAAGAAACAGTTCACTTTTGTTATTTGGCCTTGTACGTTTCTTTATACAAGTTTTGTACAAATTTCAGCTAGTCTACACAGGCTTTTAAAGGTAAAGACCAGTATTGGAAACGCCCCAATTTCAAAAAATGAAATGGAAGCTCTTATTACCAATCATGTGAAAGAATATGTTTTGAATGATACATGATGATAAAAATGTTGACGGGAAACCGCCTACTAATTGATATATTTGGTAAAGTAGTGTATCTCTTGCCTGTTGAGAGATACAAATGCACGTGCCGCGCACGTGTGTGTAGTCCCATATACATCTTTCTGTGTACAGTGATTCTAACTTTATGAAGACTTGGCCAACTTTCTTATCATTTTGATGATTCCAGAACCTTGCAGTACATCTATGCTAGATGATCAACCTTTTCTGATCGATTTCACAATGTTTCTTTCACAATGCAATCGCATGACCATAACTGGTCTTAAGGTTTAAGCTCACCCAAGTTGTTGTTCTTGAGAGATACTTTGACGTGAGAGACGGTTCCGTCCTCTTTGACCCCTAGACCTTTGCCCTTTGACCAGCCCATCTTCTCCATCAGCTTCTGGCCATACTTGGTTGAATCTGAAAGAAAACAAAGGAGAGAGATAAACATGATAAAGGAGAGGAAAGAAAGAGAAGGGATGAGAGAGATGGAGAGAAAGAGAGAAGGAGAGGAAGAGAGAGGGAGGGAGGGTGAGAGGAGAGAAATATGAATAAAAGAGAGAGAACGGAAAAGATGAGAGAGAAAGAGAAAGAGAAAGAGAGAGAGAGAGAAGAGAGATAATTTGTTACATATTTCCATTATGTCCATTAAAAAATATTTTACACAATTTGTGTGTGTCCAGGTTAGAGAGCTATACATGTAGCTCAATTGTTGAACTCAAATTGCAGTGACTTTTTGGCATAATCCACTGTGATTATCCACATACATAGGCTATAGTTTTGTGCATTTACACTTATAACACAATTACACATTCCCACTATTGCACTGACCAGTGGAGTACGTACGCAGGATTTTTTCAAGGAGGGCGTTTGAAAATTTGAAAATCGCGCCGACCGATATTTCGCTCAGTTGGGGGTGGGGGGTTTATTGTGAGAGCACTAATTTTTTTTTTACTTGCCGGTAATGTGAAAAACGGGCCGACCAATATTTCGCTTAGAGGGGGGGGGGGGGGGGGGGGGGGGGGGGGGGGGGGGGGGGGGGGGGGAGCATTCATTTTTTACTCACTCAACTGCCCCCCCCCCCCCCCCCCCCAATTTGGAAAAGAAGAAAAAATATTGGGGGGAGGGGGTTATCCCCCAAACAGTAACGCACCTTTTTAGGAATTATGGGTCAAAATCGAAATCCATTTTGAAAATCTTTTTCAACATGGATTTCGATTTTGACCCATAAATTCCTAAAAAGGGACTATTAAACTGATTATTTCAGTCAAGTTGGTAAGTGGAACTGATTTATTATAGCCTAGGCCTAATTTACAATATAACATGCACAAGGTAAAATTATATTTCGGGGGATTTTGGGGGCAAAACGCTACGACCTGAAATGGCCGTGGCGTTATCAAGGGAATGTGTATAGACGGTTTCCGTCTCTAAAGAGAGAGCCGGCCGACCCTACCCCAATAAGAGGCTAACGAACGAAAGAGACGGAAAATTCGGTCTAGTCTCCCACAGACTTGCAGCAATACACCTGTTCGCATGTATGTACAGGCATTACGAGGTGTACTAGCACAATAGCACGATCCACGCACTATTATATGTACACACTAGGCCTACACAGCTCAGATACGTGTACATCATACATGTACATGTATTTAACTACATGTACATCATACATGCAAGGTTGTGCAATATACGTCGCACACATCGTAGCCAACTCTCTGGACAGACAGACTCAACAAGCCGACAGCTATTGGGCTTTTGCAACTTTCTTATTGTGTACCACACCATCATGAACATGCAAATTACTGAAGAAAATATTGCCCAATGCCATAAAAGTGTTATACCTTCAGTCCAAGCTTTGTTTCTCGGGTCAAAAGACAATTTCTGTCGCCGTCGCGGCTCCGCAAGCATCGCCATCTTGTTGGTGCACGTGGATGGACGAATAACATGTAAATAAAACATAGCTTCCATATCAGACTACCTTATACTTGTAATATAATAAAGATGTCGATTTTATCATTTTTGTCCAACTATTTTAGTTTTACATTTCAGAATTCTAGTTTCCTAAAAAATTTAATCATGATGTTGCAATCAATATAGAACTGAAATATTTTCAACGAAAAACAATATAGTTTATATCAGTATAATTTAAACATCTGCCTTGGACCATATTTAATAGCATGCACAAAAGCGTTTAAATGTCCGTACTTCGACCAATCAGAGCACAGTATTTATTAAAGGCCGAGATCCTCATCAGCCAATAAACGGCCAGTATTCATACTTTACCGGCCCGCTGTTTTTAAATGCACAAAACACATCAACCAGAAACAGGCGATCGCAGGTGACTTGGTCGACGTACAAAAATTGTCTGCATTTTCTTCGACAAATTTTGTATTATTTGGCTGAAAATAAGCAAGATGGCTTCAAGACATAAGGAAGATCTTAGGGTGAAGGAAGTTCCTGATGTTGTTACTGATCCATCGACGGGAAAAACATACACGAAAGGAAGATTTTTGGGCAAGGTAATTAACTCATGAAACTGGCGTCGTTGGAATGAATCGAGTTTTGAATCATGAATGGCTTGTGTGTGTGTTTGTGTGAATTGAATTGCAATGCCGTTGCAACTCGCTTGATCATCATGTTGATTCTTGCCAGAGCTGTAACTGAAAGAGGTTTTGTGTGACAGTGCGAGTGATAAATTTGTTTGAAGTTTTAATAATCGTTGTCAGTAAACTTTTTTAAATTTTAGATTATTTTGAGATAATTTAATGACATTATTAATGTCTTAATAATGATCGAGACTTGAGAATGAGAGAGTCGAGGACGAGGGTCTACTTTTTTTCATTCCTTGGCCTGGGCCGGGCTCTGTGAGTGATAACTCCGGGAAGCTCCAACGCTGCGCGCCGGTGTTGGAGCTAATTCCCGGAGTTATGTGAGTGACTGAGTCTGTCTTCTTCTGACAAAGCATAGATCTAGACTCTAAATTAATTAATTAATTAGTTTACTGAATAAGACAATTTCAGTTGACTGATGAAAAAGCCTGGAGTCTGGACTTATTTTTATTTTTATTGAATTTTTGAAAGTAGACCTAGATCTAGGGTCTAGAAGAATCTAGACTAACAATTCTTTGTTAAATTAGTTTCAACTTTCATTTTTGTTTGGACCGAGAGTCCGAGACTGACAGAATAACAGAGTGACTGTAGGGTCTAGATTTTGCCTGGTCATTAATTCAGAACTGCACTGTCTAATTCAGTTTACCCCCCCCCCCCCCCCCCCCCCCCCCAGATGTTGTGTGTCCGCATCCGGACAGTTGATTTAAACAACAAGAAGAGTACATGCAAGCCAATGATAGGGGTCTAAATCTTGGACTTGGTTGATCACTAGATCAAGTTGATTCCCATATCTAATGAAACTTTTGAAAGGAGCTGCAGTTGGTTATGTATTATTATGGCACGTGATGTGGTCACTGAACAAAAATCTTTCCATTTCTTCAAGTATTATAAAACTTTTTTAACTTAAAGCTTGTTCAGAAATGATGCAATAAACCACCACCCAATTGTTTTTTTTTAATGCCAACAATATCTTTTTCTGAATCCGGGCCAACTCGGCTCAAAGACAATTAACTCAGCCCAGCTGCAAAAGTGGTCAGTTTTTGTCATTTTACCCTGACCCTAAACCTAACCCTAACCCTAACTCAAAGTCAAACCCTAGCTTATTATAACCCTAACCCTAAACCCAACCCTAAACCTGCACAAAGTAACTGCAGCTGGACCGAGTTGTCTTTGAGCCGAGTTAGCCCGACTTTTTTTACATACCGTACTAATTGACATACAACTGCACACAAAGTTCAGACACAAACTACATGTATTATAATAGCTCTGTGTTATAACTAGATAAGAATAAGATACAGAAATGTTAAAAGCATCGCCATTGGTTAAATGTCATGATATAAATTATTAAATGATCCATGTAGGCCAGACTACAGTAGCCTAGCTAGAGCTCATTGAGTTGACTTGTGACATAACCTGTAGACTCTTTAATACTGAAATGTTCTCTAAGGGTGATTTTGCCACGTCATGTCTAAACTCTAGTCCAAAGACTGAAGACTAAAGAGCTTGTTGTTTGTTCTTGTAGAATAATTTATAAAAAGTCATAGCTACCCGTGCTCTTTCCATGCTGTACACCCCACAAGTCGATAGGATTTGAACAATTTTACATGCTTCAAAATCAAAGACTCATTTAAAAAATTGATTAAGTTTAATTTTATTAATATCTAAAAATTATTTCTATAGCTTAAAATATGGCAGTACACAACATCAAAAATTAGAGGTCTGTCGTATCAAACTTGTCCGATTTACACTTTGGACTAGACTCTATTTTAATTAAGCCCTTAATTGATATAAAATTACGGGTAGTCTGAGAAGAACTTAATTGGCATGTTTAAATTCCTTTATTAATTGAAACATTTGTAAATGACATGAGCTCATGGAATAATTGGAATTAACTTCAATTTCAATTTATTGTCCAATATTGGAAATTTGTTTTGCTCACATTTTACAAGCATAGTCTACAATGAATCACAAAGTTCAAATAATATACTTTGACATAGAATTTCTGCAGAATATTGCTAAAAAGAAAGTTTTCCTACGTTATTATAAAACAAAATAAGTGAATTATTTTAAATGTTGTGACTGAACTGTTTAATACTGGAATCTGTTTTTCTTGATGTCGCTACAGGGTGGTTTTGCAAAGTGTTATGAGCTGACTGACGATGCCACCAAACAGATCTTTGCCGGAAAGGTCGTCTCCAAGGCCCTACTTGTCAAACCTCACCAAAAAGACAAGGTATGTCATTACGTAATACGTTTACAGTAACTTAATGCTATGCGTGTGTGTCTGAAACAAATTTCTTACAATCTATCTATTAAATGTCAAGATTTGGTGCTGAAGGTAGATTCTTGTAATAAACAGGCCTGATAAAAAACAAGATTTAAATCTTTTTCTTTTTTTCCAGATTTGTTTTCTTTTTTTCTTTCTTTCACATTTTTTCCTCATTTTCTCAATTTCCCCAATTTCCCCAATTTTCTTACTCTAAAGGGGGAAATGTTGTTAGATGCCATTTTTTCCCCTCAAATTTGTTTTTTGTTTTGTTTTGTTTTTTGTTTTTAATCAAGGGGGGGTACATGGTTGAGGGGATTTTTTTTTTATTTTTTATTTTTTTTTTTGCTCACTATCACCCCCTGAATAAACATGAATCTTTCTTTTTTAAGTTCCACATTCTGTTGTTGGTCTTTAAATTCTTTTGTTTTAGGGGGAGGGTTGTTTGTAGGTTGTTGATTTCATTTATTTTGTTTTTTTTTAATCTCACAAAGTTCCTCATACCCAAAGTGTCACAATCAATTAATCCTGCAATTAAGATTAAGAGACTGAATCTCACAAATTTCCTCATACCCAAAGAGTCACAATCAATTAATCCTGCAATCGAGATTAAGAGACTGACAGTATAGTACTCTTTTTAATTTGGTATCACTCTCTTGTTATTTTAGATGACAATGGAGATTCACATTCATAAGAGCCTGCATCACAGGCACGTCGTTGGCTTCCATAGTTTCTTTGAAGACAAGGAAAACGTCTACGTCCTACTGGAGCTGTGCAGGAGAAGGGTAAGTGAAGTCTAGGGGGTGTTTCACAAAGATCCTAAGTTGGGCTTAACAATTATGGAAAGCCGTTAGCATCTATGAAAATATTTGTAAAATTTACTTTAAAAGACATACAGTAAAATGTTGATTCAAATTATCCATATTTTCCATTATCAAGGAGATTTCATGTTCTTCAAGTGGAATTTATTTTTAAAAGTCTAGAAATTTCACCTTAAGAATCTTATTTCTTCACACCAGAATCCAAGTTTGATTGATAGTTATATGTTTTTGTGTGGATGCACTACGACAGAGTAATTTTTCTTCAGTTATATCATGACCTCAAGGTTGACAACTTGAATTTAAATATTTAAAAATAATATATTTTCTGACATTTATTCATCTGAACCTTGATATATTCACAGTCACTAATGGAGCTGCACAAGAGACGAAAGGCCATCACTGAGCCCGAGACGCGCTACTTCATGCGTCAGTGCATCCTGGCCTGTCAGTATCTCTCCAAGACCAAGGTCATTCACCGTGACCTCAAGCTGGGTAACCTCTTCATCGACGACAACATGGAGCTCAAGGTCGGGGACTTTGGTCTCGCCACCAAGGTCGACTTCAGCGGAGAACGCAAGAAGTAAGCTCAACTTCCTTGACACATTTGTCCCATAAATCGTAGCACACATAATCGCAGATCATTCTTGTCACATGTTGTTTTCTGGGAGTGTCATAGTATAGTGGTTAATTAGGCAATAGGGCACTGTACAATGAACCTGTAAAAAAAACAGGGAAATTTGCCGCAAATTATTAGATCAAGGCAGTCAAAATGATGAAATTTAGTCCGGAAATTGCTTTGTTTTACTAAAAAAAAGTGGATATGTCACCGGACTGTCGATCACAAGGTTCCGCGGTTAGAGTCCAGCCGCAGCAAGACATTGATCTACATTTGCCATACTCGACCCAGGTGATGTAAATGGGTAGCCTACCTGGCAGGAAATAATTCCTTGAAATGCTAGAGCGCCATAATGGCCGCCTTGCTAAAGCCAGGGTAGTAATCGGGGCAGCGCCAGGAGTGTCACAACCTGACAGACATGTGCACTATATAAGAAGCCACCATTACCATTAATATTATTATTGAGTAGTGTCTGGTAGGTAATCATGTTTTAACGTTTGCTCCTTCTCTCTAGGACACTGTGTGGAACTCCTAACTACATTGCCCCGGAAGTGCTTTCCAAGAAAGGTCACAGCTACGAGGTTGACCTTTGGTCACTAGGATGCATCATGTAAGTCCAAAAGTCTTAGATCTCAATTCTCAAGTCATTGATGACTTGATCACGTACGTACAGGGCCTAAAATTGGCCTAGTTACAGATCTGCATGTCTGATTTGTGCCTTTCCTAATTTTGTAATGATTTTCTGACAACAAAAACAAATCAACAACTTTGAGCTTCATTTCCTATGCTAAATACGTAAATGGCTTGCATCTCTGTGCATTATTTATATGGATTACATAATTATTGATGAATACACGGATGTTGAACAAAATATTTTTCATTTTGTTCTAGATAGAGGATGGGATGTTTGCAAACAAAAAAATTATCTACATGTACATCCTTTAGTGAAACATGAACTTAAACACTTACAAAACAGAGGATTTTTTTTTTTTTTTTTTTACAAATCATGAGAATCACATATTTACAAGATTCTATAAAGTGATGAAAAAGTAAAAAATAAATATGAAATTTAAAAAAGTGCAGACAAATGGCGGGAGAGTGTATAAGCAAAAATATAAGGCAGCAATATATTTACAGATAAAGGATTCTATGTTTTCTTGTACGCCTCTCATCCTTTTATTCTACATTCTCCGCAACTTACCATCAATTTTTTTTTTTGTGTATAGGTACACCCTCTTGGTGGGGAAACCCCCTTTTGAAACTCAGAGTCTGAAAGACACCTACCAGCGAATCAAGAGAAATGAATACAGAGTACCATCCCATGTCAGTACACCGGCTCGCAATCTCATTGTTAAATTACTCAAGGTAAGTAAACTAAGTACATGTAGTATGCTATAGATCTCTCTCTCTCTCTCTCCTTTTCTCCTTTTCTCTCTAATATCTCAGTCATTCTATCTTTCTGATCTCTCTAATTCTCTTTTCTCTATATCCAGTATAATAAAATATCCCCACCTCTCTCTCTCTCTCTCTCTTTGGTTTTCTACCTTTCCCCTATTTTCTGTCATATTTCTATCTTTCTTTCTAATTCTCTTATCTCTTTTTCTATAAATGTACTACCCCTCCTCTCTCTCTCACACACACTCTATCTCTCCTTTTCTCCCTGTATTCCTATTTTCTCTGTCATTTATCTTTCTCTCACATTCTCTTAATTCTATATCTCTCTCTACATACTACACTGGATCCCTCCTCTATAGAATACTAGACTGATTTTATCATCATCATCATTGATAAGACGCGACCAGTCCTGAGATATCAATTACTGTTAATTGTAAATATATATATTTCATAAAATAGGGGCAATGTGCTGTTTGATCCAAGACAACGCCGTCACAAATATGTCCTCATTAACCCTATTTTAACTGGGCTATTTCAGACCAGGTTTTTACTGGGGGGGGGGTCAATTTGACCCCCCCCCCTAAGATCTCGGCCGTTTCACCGCCGATCGCCGCAAAAATTTGCATGCATGTCAAGTGAAGTGTATAGAATACTATGGTAATTTCAAATTTTTGAAAAATTCACTCATTTGCATATTTATGGTAATTTATGCAAATAAGGTCATCAAATTCACATTTCTGCCCATAAATCATAGATTATTCATGTTTACATATTCCTTTTCACTACACATATTTATTAGACCATTTGGAATAATAATACAACACAAAAAATTGGAAGAGCCAGGTTAATCCTTATGTTATCTTTTGTTTTTTTTTTAATTTCTTATGTATTTCATTGTTTTTTTAACTTATGTATTTTATTGTTTTTGTTGTTTTATTTCATTTATAACTACAATTCAACTATTTTGACCCCAAAACAAACATCTAAACTTTAAACAAGACTGAATAACCAATCTATTTTTAGGAAAAATGACTTTTACATATGTTTTGTACACAAATCACGAAAATGAGCGATTTTCGGGCTGACATGCAAAGACAAAAGGTCACGTGACCTTGTAACCGTAGGTCCGATTTTCAAAAAATTTGTTTTAAAAGATGCGTAAGACTCGAAAGTAAAAAGTCATGAAAGGAAAATGTTATATCTGCCGCGGTTTCGGAGTAGTCGCGAAATTCCTACAGGGGGGGGTCAAATTGACCCCCCCCCCCCCCCAGTTAACGTAGGGTTAAAGCGGGACTGCACTACTTGTATAGCTACTTGCGCCCTCTATATATAGCAATCAATGCCTAAGCGGTACCCGTTGGTCCCCCATGATGAGATAACCACCTGTCAGTGACCACGCAGGGAGGTCTAATCCCTCCCGGCCAAACAAGTGCAGATAGGTTTTTGTCTTGTGATTTTCAAAGTTTTACATGACATTTAAAATTCATAACTTTCTTATTAGTCATCCGATTTTGCTCGAACTTTTTTTGATTGGTTTGTCTGATTTTTCTGCTTCTATTAAAAGTGAGTTAATTTGGGAGTGGACTTGCCCTTTAAAGCATCTTTCCCTTTCCATTTGCAGAACGACCCTACGCAGCGACCTCACATCGACATCCTCCTGCAAGACGAGTTCTTCACCACAGGGTACCTGCCCCCTCAGCTCCCCACCACCTGTCTCACCATGGCTCCTAGGTTCCAAGTGCCTGTATCGTCAGGCAGAAGACCACTCCTAGAGGTCAACGGCCAGGGTAGGTCAATTAAATGATAATGCAGGGCTCAACACTAACAGGTGCCCAGATAGCCAACGTTGGGCCAACGTGTGCTGTTACATTAATGGCAAAATGTCTTTTTGGCCTGCGGGACCATGTTGGCTCGACGGTGACAAATCGGCGTCGGGCCATTGTTATGCCAACCCCTTTCCCAGCATGTGCCATTGTCCAACGTCGTATAGCCAACCAATATCCACTGTTTATCTGTCAAAAAAATTGTGACAATGGCCCAACGGTGTATTGTTATCTGGGTGCCCGACACACATGGGACCCCAACCCATTTCTCCATCTGGACAAACTCCTGAAAATGCTGTTCACTGCTAAGTTTGATTCAGTTGAATCTTAACTTTTTATGACAGGGCACTCTAGCTAATTGTACAAATTTTCTTGTTTCTACACTTTTACTATAATACTGTAGGAACCATTGTATGTATTAGCCTATGGTAAATAACATAAACTTTCAGCTGTCAGTAGGTCAATTCAATGCAAATAAATGTGTATATATTTTGTTGTTGTAAGTCCTGAGTTAGACTTCCTGATCATTTGAAAGCAAACATGTAATGCCAGTTGTTAATTTATTTTAAATTTCTTCCTTTCTTGTAGATGAGAACGTGCCCCCAGGTCGTGAGCAGAGTGGAAAGCCACACAGGAAACACAGCGACCGCAAGGAGAATGGCGGCGGCAAGCCAAAGGTCTACCAGCCTAAAGAAGACCACCTAGCCAGTCTCAAGGTCCATCTCACCAGCGTGGTGGCTGCCAAGCCCAGCGAAAAGGCTGATATAAGATTAGGTGAGGTCCTTTTTTCATTTTGTCGTTGTTGAGATCAACGGATAATATCCATAGTAACATGTAATTGACATTATCAGGCACCCTGTAGTCCCTACCAACTAAATTTAAAATGTTATCATATATCTCCTGAATAAATACAGATTTATTTTTTATAAAGACCCCCTTTGCAAACAATTATCGTGTGGAGCCCTGAATATAGTGCAGAAGTTTTGTCAACAGCGATATGTTTGTCTCGAGGTCAAATTCCATAATCCCATAAAGCTCGCATATGGGAAGGATGATTGACCTCGAGCATGCGTGTGTTGCAACCACCTCTCTCAACGTGCTATGCATACGTCGTACATTGCATGCATGGAATCACCCTTCCGTTTTGCATTGCTTTTGTTTCAGATGAGGCGGAGGACCCAGCAGCCGCGCCAATCCTGTGGGTTAGCAAATGGGTGGACTACTCAGACAAGTACGGCCTGGGATACCAGCTCTGTGACGGCAGCGTCGGTGTCCTCTTCAACGACTCAACAAGACTTCTCCTTCACGCAAATGCAGAGTGAGTAACAACTCGCCATTAAGTGTATACACTGAGCTCTGTGTTATAAGAGACATATGTCATGAAATAGAAACCCAGATGTTAAAATCTATCATGAAACTATTTTATTTATGTGTTTCCATCTAAATGGAAATTGAATTTTACTGTTTATTGTTAGGTTAAGGTTTTGTGATTTCTACCTTCAGGAGAAAGTCACTCTACTCAACTACTTTTTGGTTCGTGTTTGTTTGTTTTTCTATTGCATGTTAGAATCAATAGAATTGATTTGAATGACGAATACTACTCTCTCAATCTCTAAGTGCCATATCGTTTGACTTTGGCAATCATGCTTGGCTCCTAGCCTTCTGTATTAGCACCACTCCCTGTTCTTTCACTTCTCTCTCTTCCAATAATTTCTGCAGACTGTCCATCCAAAGTATCCTCCTTCTTCCCCTACTCCTTTTCCCACAATTTTCCCTGTCAAAGCAAGATTATCTAGGCCTTCTTTCCATGAACTTCAACTGCCTAATCAACATCTCACGTATCACTTTCCTTTGCACTCCAGCTTGTGTAAGAACTTCCTCATTACTAAGTTGTCAGTCCAGGGGATGTGAATGTTAATAATAACACCGTCATGTTCTTTCTTTCCCCTAGCACGTTGGAGTACATAGAGAGAGACGGGAATGAAAAATACTGCCGTCTAGGATCTTACGACTCGACGCTCCACAAGAAAGTCACTCTCCTCAAATACTTCAGGAACTACATGAGTGAACACCTACTCAAGGTGAGGACCATCAAATAAATAATCCAAAACAAATTATCGAAAACATTTTGGGTTCCTACGACCAACATCACAGAGGGCAAATGAATCTGTGCTCTGTTTCATAAAATTGTTATCAATAACAATTTGATGTACGTCTCGGGACTTTTGGCTTGTTATTTTTTTTTTTTTTTAACAATAAACCGAAATTGAATTTAATTGGAATATGATAATTGTTTTAAACTACTGAAATCTTGCATTTGATTGGCTATGTCTGTATGAGCAGATTTGTCATAGATCTGTGACACTTTTATGAAACGGGGCCCAGGTACATGTGGGAAGCATGTATCATTCTGCATCTGAAAAGTGACTTTTCTATAAAAATAAAAAAAATCAGAATTTTGTTTGGTTTATTTTTAGGCCGGTGCCACTATGACACCCATTAATCAGATAGCATGGCTAGAGTACCATTCTTGCAAAGCTGGTTTAGTTTGTACATCAATTTATTAAAGTCAGCATTTTCCTTCTAAGGTGTTACTGACGCAAGCACCATGACACTCCCCTCCCTCCCCTTCTTCTTGTCTCAAGCATCCGCCTCACTAAGACCTGCAACCACACCCAAGAGATGTGTGTAAAGCTTGAGAGTAGATCTCAAACTTGCAATGTCCTTGGTCTACATTTGCCACACTCAACCCAGGTAATGTAAATGGGTGCCTCAGCAGCCGTTAATTCTTTGAAATGCTAGAGCGCCATAATGGCGACGTGCTAGAGCCAGGGTAATAATCAGGAGCGCCAGGAGTGTCATGTATGACAGACATGAGTGCTATACAAGAACCCAATATCATTATTATTGTTGTTTTATTCCACCAGGCCGGTGCTGCCATGACGCCCCGTGAATCAGACAGCATGGCCAGGCTACCGTTCCTACAGAGCTGGTTCAGGACCAAGAGTGCCATTGTCCTTCATCTCAGCAATGGAACCGTCCAGGTAAGTTCTTAAAGCCCCACTGCACGTACAGCTACTTGCGCCCTCTAGAGAGCTGATTTGATGAGATAGCCACCTGTCAGTGACCTTTCAAGGAGGTCTAATCCTCCCCTGGCCAAACTAGTACAGATGGGCTTAAATCATTCTCCACCGAAAGACTTGAAATTTCTCCTCGAGAAATCTTCTTTCTGATGATCCAAATACAGTAGTAGATTAATAGTATCAAATATTATAAACGAGCCAACTGGACTTCGATTTCACTTTGGACGTTTCACAACAAATCTGGGACGCTTCAATGGGTCAAATGTTCTTTGGCGGCGGTCCCTCAGCTTTTTCTGAATCTTCTCAACCCTGTCACAGTTGCAACAACCATTTGGCTAGCCTATAATCTAGGCGGAGTGCCGAGCTTTTTTCTTTGCTGCTAGACTAACCTTAAGCAGAACGTCTGATACGGCGAGACTACGAACCGTGAGCCGCGAAGCTAGACCAGTGATTATAGGCGGTGAGCCGCTTCGCGACTCACGGTTCGTAGTCTCGCCGTATCAGACGTTCTGCTTAGGGTTAGTCTAGCAGCAAAGAAAAAAGCTCGGCACTCCGCCTAGATTATAGGCTACCATTTGGCCTGATGAAGCATCGATCCCAGGGTGAACGTGAAACGTCACAAGATAACACGTGATAATTTCAGTTGACAATTCTATAACATTCAATGTTATTAATCACCCTTAGAAGATCATTAGGGGTCGGTCCAGGACGTTGGGGCAGTTTTTGTGACATACCAGAAGTGAGAAACTATGTCTCCTATCATCTGTCATGGACACTGTCATATTTTTTGCCCCAAACTTTATGGAATGGCCCTTATACAACACTCAAACCTACCATATATCTATGACGGAATTATAATATTTTTCAATCGACTTGTTCTTCTTCTTCAGATCAACTTCTTTGAGGACCACACCAAGCTTATAGTGTGTCCCATGATGGGTGCCGCCACCTACATCGACGCCAAGAGGAACTTCCGCACCTTCCGACTGAACCTGATCGAGAAGCACGGCTGCACCCCGGACCTCTACGACCGGATCAAGTACGCCAACAACATGGTCAAGAACATGCTGGACAAGAAGACCACGACGACAACGGCTGCAGCGGTCCCAGCGCACTAGCCGCTAGCCCTTCAGACACGGTGGTCGAGAGGTCAACGGGGCTTGGTAGATCAGTGGTGTAGCGGCAGGCAAATTGATGGGGGTGCTGTAGGATCACAGTCAGTCTCTCTTTCATAGTTTTCAAGAGTTTATTGGCCTCTGTAAATCACTCCTGGAGAGTGTTTCACAAAGACTAAGATCGACTCTAAAGGTCACAATTGAGAGAGCAACCAGTGGCATGAACGACCTACCATATTTAAGCCACACTAATAGTCGATCTTAGTCTTTGTGAAACACTCCCCTGTAGCGGTATCCTATTTTTAGTAAAACACAAGCCATAGAAGGCCAATTTTAAAGTCACACTCTACTTGGAGCACTACCGCAAAATCCCCTTCAGACCCCTCTAGCACCATCTAAGGTCAGCTGTAGCAGTATGGTCCTGTAACTCGATGCGCTGCGGGCTCTTGCATCAAGTCCTCTGTCTGTGAAGTGGAAATTGAACATAGGTCAACGCACTGTTGGCAAGTTGACCGTTGGATGGCGCTGTGCAATGAACAGTACGCTAGGGCAGAAAGTTCATCGGGTCAGTATCGTTTGACCTCTTGCTGACCACTGATAGTTACCAAGAGTTTGTTCGACGTGTCTGTGTGTTTGATATCTTTTGTACCATATAAATAAAAGTGTCCATTATGTATAGTGTATATATCTTATATTATTCCTTGCATCTCTGTTGTACCATGTATTGTTTTAAACACAGAATCAATCTTATATATCTAAATGTATACATTTTTCTTTCTTCTAAAAGCTGGAATGTCGTAGACACTTGCAGTTAAATGTGATTTTAACTGCAATATAAATAGAAAAAGAGTATTTTCAGGGCTCGACCCTCACAAATTGTTTGGAAAGAGGTACGGAATTAAGTTTTTAAGCGTCTTTGTGAATGAAAATGAGCCCCATGATAACATTCTGACGTTGTTCTGCACCCACGCATTCCTGGCGCTTGTTGGTGTCAAGCCTGCTTATTTTAGACAGGTATTTTCAATTTTTCTTGCATGGTTAGGACACTACAGTACAGTCTATAATCCCTTTTCTTTGAACTTTGTTTATGATTTGAATTTAACGGATGTTATTGTTTAATTTTAGAATCATGTTTTGTCGTCGATTTTTGTTCCGATTAGTTCATAACTTTTTTAATGGAACTGTCTATCGCTTACAAAGAATCTGTTTCAGTCTCTCAGATGTGTTTTCTTCAACATACAGTTAATTCTCTGTAAGTCGAATCTCAGGACCACAAAAATAGTTCAACTTATGCAAATTCAACTTAATAGGAAGTGTAAAATAACACGTCTTGCATAGTTTGGTCCCCCAAAATGATTTGACTTTGGAAAACTTTGACTTGTGCGACTTCAAGCTTTGCAGAAATAACTGTCGATAACTCACTGTGTAGATGACAGCTGCTACCAAATAGGTCGCCTGTTTAATTTCCTTTCATGTGTAACATTGATCCCCATGACGAGGGTCCGCTGTTCATTTGATAGGCCATTTTGGTATTACGTAACCAAATTTTATGCACACATCTTTGTGACGACCTATTATTTCATTCACCCGATATGAATAATTGGACATGTATTTCAATAGTCAGAATGCAAATTGTATATATTATGTGTTTTTAGGTAGGGCAGGCCATGATGTTTGTCCTACCTAGCAACAACTATTGTAAGCACTTATCATTCTGACGATTGGGAGGCACTTCACAAAGATGTGTGCATTGACTTTGGTTACATCACGATAATAGAGTATTGACACTTGTATTTGACTACTCCTTTTTTAGTTTTATGCAGCATGTATTCATGATATTATGGGATAATATGGTGTGAATGAAAACTCAATTATGAATATATATATATATCTTGTATCGTTACACTGCTTACAATACATGTTGCAATGCAAAAAGTATATAATTAAGAGATTGGTTCACTAACATCAGTGTGTAACTTGAATAAACCTGTAGAGAGAGAGAGCTTGAGAAAATATGGTTTTTCAAAGCAGGGCCAGTTTTATAAAGAGTTGCGATTGATTCAAATCCCTCGTAAGTCCTATAATCAATCGCATATTTTCCATCCCCTATCTTTTATGTACATATATATGTAGTTACGATTGATATTTATCACAACTCTTTATAAGACGGGTCCCATGTATGATTGTAAATAGAAACACTGCTTATTTCGATATTAACACCAAATTTGTATCCACACATTAAAAGGGGAAGCCATAGTTTACCCCCTTATCAGAACGAGAGCCCCCCAATATAAAACCTTCATGAATTTTGCAATCAATGTTTTTAATGCTTTGAATAAGCTCAAGATTGTACATTATAGCGGAGCAGTACTTTGTACACATGTATATACAGTGTTTAGGCTAAGCATTTACTCTATTCTTAAATGCAAGCATGTTTTGATCTTTAAGCTTTAAAATAATGAAATAAAATTTACTTGTATTTAAAATTGTGCTTATTGTGCGTTTCTTTTGAGCTAAGTTATGGTATTGGTGTGAACAAGTGTATGTTTGGCGAGACTTTTCTTCACAACCTAACGTTTTTCTGCAGCCGTGTATTATCGGTCGGGCTAAGGGGGTCTGTAGTACAAGGCAAAGCTTAACCAATAGTTTGTGATTATTTGGCCCTGGAAAAAAGCAGGGTTAGCAACAAAATTGCGATGCTGTATCCAGAGCTGCCAACCATTCCATTTTTGCCAGAATTACTCTGTTTTTTCCTCCAAATTACGGTATTACGTTTTTTCTTCATAAAATACCTTTTTTAATTTAATTTTTTTTTTTTTACATACCGCAGGTCAAACAACTGCCCTAAAATGTTGATTTGATCACAAATTCAATAGAAAACTAGTTTTAAAACATACTTGAAGAGAAAAATATTCTGAAAAAAAAATTAAATGCTGATAATACCAAAATTACCTGCTTGTATGGAAAAAAACAGCATGATGAATGAACATTTCTGCATTGGAAGTGTGTCACGCATGATTGTAAGTTTCGTTTTTATGAATTCCTTTTTTTGGTCGCACAAGGTTGGCAGCTCTGTGTATCCTGAATGAAATGTGAGTGAGAACAGAAGTCGGAATAGTCTGAAGCTAAGGAAAATTGGTGAAGTACTAGTAGTACGGGGCTTAGAGTGTGATAAGCATATTTTAATAAATTGAGAAATGTTTGGGGGTGAAAAACAGAAAATAAAAAATCTGACCAAGAAGTCATTTAAAGTGCTTCAAGGGTAGAGACTAGTTCTGGTCATGCGATTGCATTGTGAAAGAACCGTGGAATCGATCAGAAAAGGTTGATTTATCTAGAATATAAGTATTGGTGTGTACTAGCTGCAAGGTTCTGAATCATCAAACTGATATGAAATTTGGCCCAGTCTTGGTAAAGTTACAAGCACTGTACACAGAAAGATGCATATGGGACTACGCAATATCTATCCAGTCCGGATAGATATAATAAATTACCAAATATATCAATTAGTAGGCAGTTTCCCGGCAAAATTGGTATCATCACATATTAGTCAAAACATATTCTTTCACACGATTGGTAATAAGAGCTTCCATTTCATTTTTTGAGAGGGGCGTTTCCAAAACTGGTCTATACCTTTAAAGTAGTGACTTGAATCCATAACTGATCACTTGGCTCACTTTGCTCAGATTTCTCAACACACATGCAGAGCTACCAAGTGTCACGCATCGAGGGTCTGAAAACGCTCTCACACGAAACCTACGCTATACCCTCGCTCGCGCACCAAGTCATCAAAATGTCACCGCATAGCTGATCTTTGAACTTGGCATCTCTGGTTCTGGATTTTGTTTAAACTTCCTTCTGGCGTCTCTGAACCCATGACACTTACCGACAAATCCTCCAAACAAACAACATCCAAGCAAACAAACCATTAAAATAAACAAATACTAACAATTTACCAAATGTGGAAGATTTTAATGTCTCTTTATACAAGAATGTCAAAGAACCAAAAAGAGGTTCATAGAAAAAGAAAAAAACAATGATGAAATATTCACAACCTGCAGTCTATACTCATGTACACTGGAGAGTAGAAAACGAGAAAAAAAGATTATATACAAGTTTTGTGTTATGTACAGTGGAGCGTCGTTCACATATGCCCGCAGAAAACCGCCATGGTATACCGCTGTGGTGAAATATGTGTCGTGCGCGTCCCATTTCCATTTCTTATTACATGGATAAGTGAATACACAAAGGATCTTTGCTCCCGCCTATAGACTTATCCTTATCTCAGCCATTAATTAAGAGCAATGTTTTGCTCAAAATGTGAATGTGTCTCCAATGCCCCCTCTCTCTCAAAATGAATATCATTTGAACTTGATCCGGCGTAAACACACTTGGATCAGTCAATGAAACTTTCGTCTTCTTTTTAATTTGCCATTTTGATAGTAGTAATGACCTTTTGCAAGATTTGCTGTTGGAAACACACTCTTGATGAAACTTCATTCTTTTTCCATATTGAGAATTGACGAAGGAATTATTTTTGAGTAATTACAAAACAAAGGAAATACACTGTAGTACTCAAAACACCATGACTGCAACGACAATAGATTCCCTACAGCATTACAGATCTTGATTGTAAAAATTAAGTACTTTTTTGTTATTCTGTGTGTGAAAACTTCAATAAATATGTCTTTCTCTGAATATTTATCTTTATCTTTTCCAAATTTCTATAAAGAATTAAACCCATCAATGAAAAGGGGGAATAATATAACTAATCAAAACAAAGGGCAGTTACAGCCTTTCTCAACTATGAAGGCAACAGTGTCAAAAATACATTGTTTTTTTTGAGAGAAAAAAAGCATACACATATAACTTTACTTTGATGGCATTAGAAGTTTCTTTTCTCCCACGCCCCATTTTCCATAGATTTACAAATAAAATAGTTGTTATTTGGTGTGGCAGTTCTTTTAAGCGGCTTACACGTCGTGCGTGTATGGGGTTTTGAATTTACTTTACAGGTATATCTAGTATTAAAAAATGCTTTACATCATTCTGTACATACGGCCCTGAGAAGGATACAAATAAAATATATTACATTGTTATGGTCAAGTGACTGGTAGAAGAGCCTATTGCGCCGTTCTGCTAATGCGGGCTTGCACTAATGCTTTCACCGATAGAAGTTAAAGTGTCACTTTTTGGTGACATTTTATATGTATTGTTTGATCTAGTATGCTCTAAATTACAAATTGTACAACATTCGAGTCCCTTTCTGTTGTAGTACAATGTGTCGATCATGAATAATAGTGATTTAATAAAAAAATAATCATTAAAAGTCCTTAAATCGGCAACACAGAGTGGAATTAATGATCGCTTTTTTATGTAAAATAGGCAAATTTCTTGTCATCATTCACGCCATCAATCATCATTCATGCTATTTCTTTTACTCACAATAATAAATACAACATGTATACATGTACCAGTAGTTAGTTGTTAATTTGAAAAGGTAGGACTGAATTCTATGACCATTAGATTTAGGTAATTGTGTCATCACCAAAACTCATGACTGGCATCAAGGGACACCCATTTAAAAAATGTGGTAAAAACAGAACACAGCACAATGCTTCAAAAAACTGCACAAACTGGCAAAATCACTGCATAACAAACAAGGTTTACTGGTATTCATTTCAGTGAAAATCAAATTAAAAGCCATCTGCTCATAAATGGACTCTCTTAAATTTTCACTTTTTCACTTCAAAGGAAAGAACCCCCCCCCCCCCCCCCCATATAATAATGATAATAACTGAAATAAATAAATAAATTAAAAATCAAGGTCGTGTTTCATAACACCTTTTATCAATGACAAATGCGAAATGTCTACAGGAATTTGCTCTTAGCCAATCAAATGCCACGTTTTTAGTAGCTTATAACAGTTATTGTAACTTGTTATTGATAACAAGTTTCATGAAACAAGGCCCTGCTTCTCATAATGAGCAGATACTGTCCCCCGCCCCCTTATTCAATATCCCTCTCTTGAGCTACAAATATACCATGGCTCTTACATCATTGCAGTTTACCCCCCTCCCCACTGACAAGTGTGTACTGGTGATCTCATGTTTGCATTGAAAAATGGCTGCCTGCAATATGCTCTTCTATTCTGCATCCTCCCTCCCTCCAGTTATGCATACCTTTAAACATTCCACAGCAAAAAAACTTGGAAATTCTCAAGGCAAAAGAAAATAGGAATACACTGTATTTTGTATGTTTTCTCATGAAATTTGGAAGGGAATAAAGGAGTCTTGACATTAATTAAGGCAAAATGCTAAAATCATCCCTCCGAATTTGGAATGGCTGGCAGCTTTGCTATTTCACTCTCCACACTCCCTCCCTTCATGGAGAGATCAATTCTGCAAAATGTATTGGTACACATATCATGTATCCTCATTGTTCCTGCAATAGCTTAAACCGTAGCTAGCAGAGGGAGATAGTTATGACATGTGTACACTGTCAGCTCCATAAATCGATTCAGGATGCCCTGAATAGTTCCCTCCCACAGATAGATACAAAATCAACCATGATAATTTCTACTTTTGAACCAAATGTTGTATTGTGACACCTTCTGGCAGTTTTCTGTTAATCAAATCATCACTATCAATCTATTATAAAATACAAATTAGTATCTGGGACTCAAGCAAAATTGAATGTGAATCATCCATTATCCTCCCATAATTACGATAATAAATATATCGTCGCCTGGCTGACAGAGGACATTAGCTCGAACTTCAGGTAAAAAATGAAGCGTTAAATTTGAAGGGCTTTAGGATTAAATCACCTTAAACTTTTATAAAACTGACTTATTTTCGAGAAAAAAAATTGTGGCTGTGTTCTACATGTACTATAACATTTCTATTAGTCTTAAAAGTTTTAAACCAATTTTCGGGACAGAAAGCAGTTTAAATATAAAACAAATCTTTAAATTTGAATAATTTGAAGAGTAGCCGGCTGACGATATTGTCTGTTGAGAGCCAGAAGGGTGTTATGCCTATGTAGAAGTATGGGACTTAGGGCTCATCTGGCTCTGAACAAATGATATTTGCATAATTGGACGATTAAACATAATATTGTTTTAAAAACTAATGGTAATGATGCTAAGGTAGAAAATCGCAGAACTATTGGGGCTTGATGAAACAACCAACCAATCAGGGGTTACATCCTGTGGCACAACTCACTCTCTCTTGCTCTCTTTCTCTCTCTGTCTGTGTCTCGCTCTCTTTCTCTCTCTCTGTTTCTGTCTGTCTCTCTCTCTATCTTCCTCTAGCTCTGGTCCTCTCTCTATTTGTCTCTCTTTCTCTCTGGCTCGCACTCTCTCTCTCTCTCTCTCTCTATGTCTATGTCTCTTTCTCTGTATCTGTCTTTCTTTCTCTGTCTTTCTCTCTGTGTGTCTCTCCATCTCTCTCTCTCTCTCTCTCTCTCTCTCTCTCTTTCTCTGTCTATGTCTCTTTCTCTGTATCTGTCTTTCTTTCTCTGTGTCTGTCTCTCTTTCTCTGTCTCTTGCGCTCTCTCTCTCTCTCTCTCTTTCTTTGACTATTTAAACAATGGTCTTCATAGTTCAAACTCCCTTTCCTTAGAGAGTTATTCTTCTCCTCTTCACTTTGCCCGCATCTCTCTCATCTACCGGTGTCTCCTTCTCCTCCTCCTCCTCTTCCTTGCCCGGTGTGGTTGCCGTGGCGACGTTCGTCCTCTTGGTGTAGAAGAGGATGTAGGCTTGGCACGCCGTCACGTCCTCAACCGAGCACAGCTCCAGCCTCGCATCGTTACAATGCACCCAGAACCCTACAAGAACAACAACATACAAACATATGTCATATCGTCTGTTTGGAGTCACAGGGGCGTTAATTTTTATACTTTAAAGGCATCGTTAAGATTCATGGCCCTAAGTGTTATCAGTGTCTGTGATGTGGTTTAATATTGAAGCCCTAAAAAAATCCCGCTTCAAATGATCAAGAAGTGCTTCAAAAATCTTTGAGTGACCGGTTTTACCATACCGTGGATTTGTGTGCTAGATGTGTAAAGATTTTTAAATCATTTTCCAAGATTTTTAAACTATATAAATATACATGACCGCCTATATGTAAAATAAATAAATCTTTCTCTCTCCTGGTTTGGAGGACACTGGACCCCAATGGTATTCATTTTCCTCAATAGACTGTAGTGTTAGGAAAACTTATTTTTAAATTTCGATTTTCAATCATAAATATCTTGATAATCAGCAGGGCCGTAGCCAGAGTTTGATGTTTGGGGGGGCACATACATGTAATCGATCAACGTCCTGAGGAGGGGTATAAAAAAGTTCAACCGATCTTGGAAAAGTGCCCCCTGTGCCCCCCCCCCCCTTTTTAGCATTTTGGGGGCTAATTCGCCCCGAGCCCCCGTGTATTTTTTGCACTGCAGTGTTGTAATTTGATTTTATCAGTTGCACGATGGATATAGCACTATATAAAAGAATATGAATTAGAAGTGTTTTTTAATTATCATTTCGTTTTGTTTGTTGATATTTTGATTTTGTTATTTTTCTTTTTAATTACCTCCTTCTTGATTCCATGAATACGCTGTGTAGTGACCAGAGCCAAACCTGTGTAGTAAGTTAAACATTCAAATAGAATTGTATTTGTGAATTACAGTAAAGTAACATGCCTTTCAACATTACTAATATTGACCCTGACACTGTTAATAGAAATTCCTTGATATTTGTTGGTTCAATGTAATGAAGTCAAACTTCTATCCCTCTTAGAAAATAGATTAAGATCTTAAATTGTGAAATAACTTGGGATAGTGGGAGTCACTTAGTACCAAATCAATAACAGTCATATAGTCAGGATAATAATCATCATCACCGCAATTATCTTCATGAATATCATCAAAATTATAACCATCATCATAATCATTGTCATCATTGTTGTCATAATCATCACCATCATAATCACCATCCATCATCATCATCACCACCACCATCACCACCATCACCACCATTATCATCACCATCATCATCATCATCATCACCATTATCATCACCACCATCATCACCATCACCACCACCATCATCACCACCATCACCACCATCATCACCACCATCATCACCACCACCACCACCACCACCACCACCACCACCATCATCATCATCACCATCACCACCACCACCACCACCACCACCATCATCACCATCATCACCACCATCATCACCACCATCATCATCACCATCACCACCACCACCACCACCATCATCATCACCATCACCACCACCACCACCACCACCACCATCATCACCACCATCACCACCATCATCACCACCACCACCACCACCATCATCACCATCATCACCACCATCATCACCATCATCACCATCACCACCACCACCACCACCACCATCATCACCATCATCACCACCATCATCACCACCACCACCACCACCACCACCACCATCATCACCATCATCACCACCATCATCACCACCACCACCGCCACCACCACCACCACCACCACCACCACCACCATCATCACCATCACCACCACCACCACCACCACCATCATCACCATCATCACCACCATCATCACCACCACCACCACCACCACCACCATCATCATCACCATCACCACCACCACCACCACCACCATCATCACCATCATCACCTCCACCACCACCACCACCACCACCACCACCACCATCACCATCACCACCACCACCACCACCACCACCCCAACCTACCCTCTGCCATGGTGTATAACCAATGAAGTCAGGTCATACATGTAGTCTTCCGTTGTTAAGAGCTTCTTATTGTTAGGGTCCACCAGACAGAACTGTCTCATGTTCAGCTCCTGATCAAACTTCACTTGAACATGGATCTTCTCTCTATGGTTTCTCCCTGACCATCTACAGAAAAATAATATTACAAATTTAAAAAATTTAAAAAAAGAACATGATACCTATACAGTCAAACCAGTATACTCAGGCTGTCCCAGCGAACAGAGAAAGTGGCCGCTGTAGATAGGTGGCCTTTCTAGGCAGGTTCTATGACCCACATTTCTCTCTCTTGAACGATCAAGGGAGAGAATGTGCATGACTACTACAGACAGGTGACCTTTACAGAGAGGTGGTCACAAAGACAGGTTTGAATGTACTTTGTTTAAAAATTTAACAATATCACAATTATAGAAAATTTCTTTGGAAAATGGGGGAATTCAAATCACATTTTTTTTGCTATGCTGCCTCATGCTACTTGTAAGGGGCCTCTCTGTCTCTGTCTGTCTGTCTCTCTCTCTCTCTCCCTCCCTCCCCCTTTCTGCCTCTGTCTCTCTCTCTCTCTCTCTCTCCCTCCCTCCCTCCCTCCCTCCCTCCCTCTCTCATCCCTCACACTCACCTAAATCTCTTCAGATGCAGTCTTAGTACATGAGGTAGTTTAGTGACGAGTAATCTCTTGGTAGCTTCTGTCTGTATGACCGGTCTTCCCGACGCCTCTCTCCCTCCCTCCCTCCCTCCCTCCCTCCCTCCCTCCCTCCCTCCCTCCCTCCCTCCCTCCCTCCCTCCCTCTCTCTCTCCCTCCCTCCCTCTCTTCCCCAAACTCACCTAAATCTCTTCAGATGCAGTCTTAGTACATGAGGTAGTTTAGTGACGAGTAATCTCTTGGTAGCTTCTGTCTGTATGACCGGTCTTCCCGACGCCTCTCTCCCTCCCTCCCTCCCTCCCTCCCTCTCTCCCTTCCTCCCTCTTTTCCCCCTACTCACCTAAATCTCTTCAGATGCAGTCTTAGTACATGAGGTAGTTTAGTGACGAGTAATCTCTTGGTAGCTTCTGTCTGTATGACCGGTCTTCCCGACGCCTCTCTCCCTCCCTCCCTCCCTCCCTCCCTCCCTCCCTCCCTCCCTCCCTCTCTTCCCCAAACTCACCTAAATCTCTTCAGATGCAGTCTTAGTACATGAGGTAGTTTAGTGACGAGTAATCTCTTGGTAGCTTCTGTCTGTATAACCGGTCTTCCTGACGCCTCTCTTCTCTTGCTATTACACTCTTCACACTGGTAGACAGGGCCGTCTAGATGCTCCACCTCCGTGAACTTGGAGAGCATCTCGGTAAGGTGACATGTGTCCTCGGAGATATTGGTACGTATGGAACTGAACTGGTACCTGCCAAGGAAATCAGAACAATAGTTGATCATTTACAGTAGGCTTGCGGTTGCACCGTGTGAGAGAGAGGGAGGATTGGGAAGTCCTGAAAAGGACTCTTGATAATCTTTCTTTGATCATTGTTACAATTCTGAAAAGAAGGGAAAAAACCAAAAGAAGTGGAATACGATGAAGAAGAAGAAGAAGAAAGGGAGAAATCAAGGAAAGGAAGAAGTTGGGATGAAGGGGTGGAAGACACACAAGATAAAAACATATGTACAAGGAGAAAAAGGAAGTGGAGAAAGTGAAGGAGGAGGAGGAGGAGGAGGAGGAGGACGAGAAGAAGAAGAAGAACTTGGAGAGCATCTCAGTAAGGTGACACGTGTCTTCGGATATGTTGGTACGATTGGAACTGAACTGGTACTTTGCGGGAAATGATAACAATACCGTATTTGCCGGTGTAAAGGCCGCAGTATTTTTGGAAGAGAAAATATCAAAAAGTCGGGGTGCGGCCTACGCGGCGAAAAATTAAAAAAAAAAGAAAAAAAGAAAATCTAGCACGTGAAGTCGCTATGTTTAATCCATTTCAATACACAAGAGAGAGGCGCAATGTATACATCACAGAAAACTCCATATGCTAGCATCAGTGCGGCATGGCTGAGCGGTCTAAGGCGCTGATTTTAGTCACATCAATATTTGAACGCAAGAGATCGAATCCCGACTTTGACAAACATTTTTTTTTTTTTTTTTTTTTTTTCCCGAGCGGTCTTAGGCGGTGATTTTAGTTACATCAACATTTGTACGCAAGAGATCGAATCCCGACTTCAACAATTTATTTTTTTTAAATGTCAAAATCGGGGATGCGGCCTATACGGCCCTGCGGCCTTATCGCCGGCAAATACGGTATTAAATTAATAGGACTGATGACAGTCATAGTGTGTAGAAAAAAGGATAATACAACAACAAAAAAGTGTAGAAAAAATGAAGAATAAGAAAATTATACCACTCTGGGAACTATAGCAACAGAAGAAAGAAAGAAGGAGGAAAAGAAAGGAAGAGAAAAATAAATGGAGGAGAGAAAAAAAAAAATATATATATATATATATATATATATAAATATAATTCTTGGTCTTATCTTTCAGGGAACTCTCATTACAGGTCCAAGAAGGGCTTATAGGAAGAAGCAGGAGAAGGAGAAAAGGAAGAAAAGAGGGAGGAGAAAAGGAAAAGAGAAAATGAGAGAAAGGAGAAAAATAGGAGGAGACAAAGAAGGAAGAGAAGAAGGAGGAGAAAAGAAGGAGAAAAGAAGGAGAAAAGAAGGAGAAAAGAAGGAGAAAAGAAGGAGAAAAGAAGGAGAAAAGAAGGAGAAAAGAAGGAGAAATGAAGGAAAAAAGAAGGAGAAAAGAAGGAAAAAAGAAGGAGAAAAGAAGGAGAAAAGAAGGAGAAAAGAAGGAGAAATGAAGGAAAAAGAAGGAGAAAAGAAGGAAAAAAGAAGGAGAAAAGAAGGAGAAAAGATGGAGAAAAGAAGGAGAAAAGAAGGAGAAAAGAAGGAGAAAAGAAGGAGAAAAGAAGGAGAAATGAAGGAAAAAAGGAGAAAAGAGGGAGAAAAGAAGGAGAAAAGAAGGAGAAAAGAAGGAGAAAAGAAGGAGAAATGAAGGAAAAAAGGAGGTAGAAAAAAATGAGAAAAAGAAGGAAGAGAAGAAAGAAAAAAGAAGAAGGAGAAAAGGGAGAGAAAAAGAAGAAAAGAAGGAAAATACAAGGAGAAAACAAGGAGAAAAAGAAGGAGTGAAAAATGGAGAAGAAAAGGAGGAGAAAAAGAAGAAGGAGAAGAAACAAGAGGGACGAAAAATGGAAAGATAATAATTACCTCTCAGGGAACTCTAGCGACAGGTCCCAGAACGGCTCGTAGGTGTTGGACTTGGACCTGCACTTCAGACACATGACTTGAGAGACAAGCCAACCTTCAAAGATCTTAGGAACGATCTCCTCCGACGTCATGGAAACGCCGTTATCTAGCGACAGGGTGAGGGGTGTGGCCAAGCTCTGGAGCTCCGAGTGAATCTTGTCCATGAACTCACTAAGATAGGTATTAAACAGACAGATACCAAGATCATTTGTTTAAGTGCATACATGTTCAACAGGGGAAACTGAATGTACATGTAAATACAGTCCCATACGTGCATTTTTATGTATGTTCTGATAAAACGAGATATCTGCTATAAAGAAGATAATCAATTGGAACCGACTGCCTCGTCATACCGAGTTTCCCCTGTACTACACACATAAAACCGACAGCACATGATGTATGAGGAGGAAACTGATTTTAGACAAATTTACAATTGCATTTGTGTAAAAGCTTAATGCCTTATACAATGTAGCTAATTATCCATATAGAGTCAACCTGCTTTAGCGACTACCTGTATAGAAAGACCACATTTTTTTGTTTGCCTTGAAAATGGCTTCTCATTGAAACATGTACTAAAGGAACCTGTTCATAAAGACCACCTGCCTATAAGGACCACTTTTCTTGTCTCTCTTGGGTGGTCTTTATAGACAGGTTTCACTATATTCAATAAATAATAATAATAATAATAATATTGGATATTTATATAGCGCACATATCCACCATGCATGGTGCTCAAGGCGCTCCAACTATCACCCGGGCTCTGCTTGGTAGCAGATTTCGGCACTCACAGCATTCAAGGAATTCATTCCTACCGGTCCCCATTTAACACCTGGGTGGAGAGTGGCAAATGTAGATTAACATCTGCCAAAGGACATTAGTCAGGGGTGATAGTGAGCACAAAAAAAAAAATCCTCAACCACCCTCCCCTTGAGTAAAAAAAAAAAAAAGGATTCATTTGGAAAAAAAATGTCATCTAACAACTTCCCCCCCCCCCCCCCCCTTTTGAGTAGGAAAATTGGGAAAATAAGGGGAAAATCAGGAAAAATCAGGGAAAATAGGGGTAAGATCGGAAAGAAAAATAATTTTTTTTGTGGGGGGGGGGGGAAGAAAAAAAATCAATCAGAAAACCGATTTAAATCAGGTAATTATCAGGCCTGATTAGTGCTGTGGTGGGACTTGAACTGCAGACCCTGTGATCCACAGTCCGACGACTTATCTACTAGACCACACATCTCTAAATAGGTTCTTACCAGAGGAATTCCTGTGCGTCTTGTTGGGCGTAGCCACGGAACGAAGGGATGAGTCTCCAGACGGAGCTAAGGATACCGTGAGGTGAGACGATCGCCCACTTCCCGGACCACATCACTCTGAATAACATGTGAAGCTCATGACATAGGGGGCTGGTGAGAAAGCAAATAATTGATATAGGATAACTGATGATGAAGAATTTTGTATTACTGTCTGATTGTATTTAACAAAAAGTGCACGGAACTGTATGATGTAATGTGCTATACAAATGTACCTTACTATTGTTAACATCATCATCATCGTCATCATCATCATCATCTTTCATAATCTTCTTCCATACAAATCTTAGTATTCATAATTATAACACAAGATATCAAACCAAGTTTCATCCTTCAAAAATTATGTTTATATAATGAAGAAAAATCTCCTCGGTGTAATCTCCCTGTGATTTGGAATTCATTACCAAAATATATTCCCTTTGCAATAACCAAAGATTATTTCAAAAAATATCTCAAAATTGATTATTTGTCCAAATACTGACATAAAACCTAATCATATTTTACACTATGCTGTTCCTCTGGCTTATTTCTTTATCCACTGTTTGTTTTTAATTTGTTTACATGTCTTTCAGTAACTGAATAAGTTGGAAAAATATCTATACTTTTAGGGAACTTTCATGTATTTTACAAGGCCTTTTTGCCTTATTTTAGTAAACCTAAACAGTCAAGATCAGTTCATTTTAGTTTAGATAAGATCAGTTCATATCAGGTCAGGTCATTTTAGTCCACATCAGATTGATCCACTTCAGTATAGTCCAATCAGTTCAATTCAGTCGGGTCTAGTAAAATCCAGTTCAATTCAGTTTAGTTCAGTCCAGGACGGAACAGTCCAGTCTACTTCCAATCAAAACCCTTCACACAGACAATTTATTTTACTTACTAGTTATTGGTGACCTTTCTCGGGTCTTTGCACTTTGAGGGGTCAACGGTCGTATCGTCTGACCCCCCGTTCAGGCCGCCCCCTCCTGGCCCCCTGTTCCTCTGCTGTCTCTGGACACGACTGGAACTGGACTCTCCGCTCCGAGGCGTCTCCGACAGCTATCGAAAGATAAGGTCAAAAGATTAGGTTTCATTCAATGCATAACAAGCTTGGTACCCATACTTCTAAAAACAACTAGGGTAAAATGTCCCAAACAAGGACACTGACAAGGATAATAAACATGTTACATGTATATTGAACCTGCAAATTCCCTTTGGTCATCTCAAGCATTCATGGGCCCCGCCACACAAAACTTACTAATGATGGTAACTTTGCCATCAATGGAAATAGATCATTTTAGCAGTGTTTTTCATGTTTTTATTCTTTAAAAATAATTTTTTTTAAATAAAAATATTTTAAAAAGGAGGCGGCCCCCAAAAAGGAAGCAAGCGGGGACGCTAAACATGTATATTCTTTTTAATGGCCTAATATCAGGGTGGACTTCTCTCACCTTAAAACACTCCACTGTCGTTTGTCTCGCGTACTCGTGTGTTCTCTTTCTGCTCTCTGACGATGTACTTTGAACTTTGCCCTCCGACTTGGTATGGGGTCGGAGGTCGATCTCAACTTTGAGGAAGCAGTCCCGAAACCGGAGAAGATGGCTGCAAAAATCACCATGGAAACAAACACAGATTTACATTAAAGGGGAAATAACCTCAAACTACATGTTAATTTCAGTTTCAGTTTGTAGGCTATTTAAAACATCTGAAAAATATAAAACATCATACATTTGACGAAAGGGAAGACGTAACTCTTCTTCAGAATCCTTCGTCTTTCGAGGCTCTGAGAATTTTCATAACGTCACCAATTTGTTTGCGCACTGCCCATTCTGTGACGTACCGCAGGAATTCTACCGCGTACGTATGTTTCCCTGCTGTAAACTGTAAAATGATCACTGCAGATCACATCGTTTTTCCTGTCATACTTGTAATTTTTGTCCAAAAATTTCTCCACCTTCAGAGCTTTTATCTATAGCTTGAATATTTCATCGAGTTTGTGTTAGACTGGAAACTGATGAATAGATTTCCCCTTGATTTTCAAGGAACAATTATTATAACCAAACACTTGGCAGTACACCATGTCTGATGTATATTGCATATAAAGCGCGCTACATCAGTTCTCCTTGCAATGCGTCACAACCCGGATGTTTTTAAGGGATATTTCAACATTGAAAAAATGCTGCCAACAAAAATTTCTAAACAATTAACTCTGTCTTTGTCTCTCTGAGAAAAATGTCCAGTAACCATACACAAGGTATCACAAACACAGCTTAACACCAGGTGTTACAAACATACCTTAACACCTGAAGTATAGAGTTCATGTAACACGTGTTCCCCAGGTTCCTCAGCCCCGTAACTCCCGGCGTTAACACTGTCCATTTCCTCTTGATCGGCGTCACCACCTTCTGTACACGTTTCGACACCTTAGGGTGCACACTAACACCAGCTTTAGCCTTCGACTCAATCTCAATCTGACTTGGGTCTTTGAACGATATCTCATGATCTTCTTCCCCGGAGTTCTGTTCGCGCTTGGGTGTGGTGGCGCTCTTCGCGGGCGTCTTGAGCCCGGTGGTCTTGTCGCCGTGGACGAGGTCCTTCCAGGCGAGGAATGTCTTTGATAGCAGCATGAAGCGTCTGTGGATGAGGGCGGTGTGGCCTTTGTCTCGCATGAAGAATGAATCATCTCGCCTGCGAAAAGAGAGAAGAGATAACATAACGTTTGAATATAAACCAGCTGTCCTATTTTCATTATTTGGAGTACTATATTGATCTTTTACTCTCTCATTCTCTCTCTATCCCTACCTGTATCTCCCCTCACCGCTAAATCCCTCTCTCTCCTCTAGTACCCCTCCCTCCCTCCTTCCCTTCCCTTCCCTTCCCTCCTCTCTCTCTCTCTTTATGTTGTTGTCTCTATCTGTCTCTCCGTCTCTTGTTCTCTCTCCTTTTCTATGTCTCTGTCTGTCTCTCTCTCTCTCTCTCTCTCTCTTTTCATTCTCTCTTTCTCTCTCTCCTTTTCTATGTTCTGTCTCTTGTCATCTTCTTCTTTCTCTTTCTCTCTAACTCTCTCTTTTCTTTGTCTCTCTCTCTGTCTCTCTATGTACAGTCAAACCCGTCTTAGTGACCACACGTTTGTAACAAACACCTGTCTGTCGCTCTCCCTCTTTCTGTTTATCTCCCCCCCCCCCCCACCAATAAACTGCTACTTACCCGTGACTGTGTTTCAGCTGCCCTGAATCCACAGAGAGTGCCCTGAGAAACCTCTTCTTTCCTCCCCTCGACGCATTATCTTCAAAGGTCTGCTTCGTAATCACTTCCAGCGTGTCACGCAAGAACTTCAGATCTCCCGTCACATTGTCATTCAGTATGTAGTCTTCGCACTCGTAGCTACGGATCAAACACAGACCGACATGAATGTCAATACATGGGACAAGAGTGCATATTAACGATAGTGACATGATATTAAGGATGATGGCAAGTGCTATGGTAAAAATTTGGTAGGGTGGCGATGGTGGTAATGATGATGATGATGGTGGTCATTGTGTTGATGACGATGATGATGATGATGCTGATCATGATCATGATCATGATGAAGACGATGATAATGATGATAATAATGGTAATGAAAGTGATGATGATGAAGATGATAAAAATGATCAAGATAATACGAATGATGTTGATGATGGTAACAATGGTCAATTTGATGGTGGTGTTGACAACGACAACAATTATGATGATGAGGATAAACAAATTTATGATGCTGATGATGTAAAACTAACAATGCCTAGACACTGAGGTGAAACTGGAGATAAACATTAGTTCTTCTACACCTCTTTCTTACCAATAGACGTATCTATCGTTGACCTCTATAGCCAGAGGGTGTTGAGTTTCCTTGTAGTGCCTCAGGGCATGCTCTTCATTGTAACGTCCGCATGCAACATTGGTGCAACTCAGACAAGCCTTCAAAGAAAGAAAAAACAATCAAAATATAAATGTGAGGTATTTTGACATTTGCTAGACTCCCTTACAATACCAAGGATTCAAAAAGAACCTCAAAAATAATAAAAGCAAGCATCATTGTTTGATCTAAGGGTCTAATAAGGCTGATAAAATCAAATAGACATTTTGGGAAGTAGACCATGGTCATACCAAGTACATTCACCAGATAAATCCTACTCGTCCAAATCTTCAGTGGTACAGTAAAAACTGCTTTAGCGACCACTTGTCCATAAAAAACACAACTTTTGTTTCCTTGAAAAATGTTTCTCATTGAACTTTGAAGCATGCACTAAAAGAACCAGTATAAAGACCACTTTCATTGTCTCTCTTTAGCGGCCTTTATATACAGGTTTCACTATATATTCCTATTTACAATTTGTAAAGTACAATCGCCAGGTTATATATTGTACTTTCAAGCCAATATCCTTGATACAAATATTTATCATTTTCATGAGAAAATTTATACATGTACTTTCTATTGAGGATTCTAAGAGTGAATTCAACCAGAACTGGACCCGTTTCATACAACTTGTTTAATATCAATAACAAGTTCCAATAGCTGGCTGAGCTGAGAGCAAATTTGTCACAGAAATTTAGCATTTGTTGTTGAAAACAAGTTTCTTAAAGACCGTCAACACTACTGGGCCAGGAGGGATTAGACCACACAGCGCGGTCACTAACGGGTGGCTATCTCATTGACTCAGCTCTCAACTAATAAGAAAAAGAGGATCATGGGGGACCAACAGGCACCGATTGGGGAAGTTTTCTATATAGAGGGAGCAAGTAGCTACAAGTAGGACAGTGGGGCTTTAAAGACTTCTCAGACTTACCCATACACTCTCTGTAGTCCCACATACTGAGCAGTGCCACTCTGATGGGTCAAGTATAGAATGTGTCTGACCTACACATAGCTTTCCAACATGGCGGCAGTGGTCCATTGCTTACTTTCTCAGTCTGCAAGCATTCTCCTTCTTTAACTTCAATGGAATAATTGTCCTCAGATCTCTACCACTACACCATAGTGCACCAAGATTAATTTTAATTTTTATAGATTGTTACGAGCAGATGCTTCTCATTTGCTATAATCCTCAAGGAAGTATGTCAAACTTTCATACTCAATTAAACCGTCAGCATTGTATTTCATTAAATCCGTCAAAACAGCACCATAGAAGGCAATGCTTGTGTTTGTGGTACTCAAAAACTATTTCTCAAAAGTGAGCTGGATGAAGAATGTTCAATCTTTAGCAACGAAACAGATAAAAAGTCTGACAGAACTCTGTACAGAGTAGACTAGCCCTTTTCTTCACATCGAATCATAAGGAATTATGAAAGATAAAACAAAAGACGTCTTGGTGTGATGAAGTTTACTCTGAAGTCATTCCGAGGTCATGGTCACCCACACGGTTTCTCTGGAAATGTTTGGGTTACAGTCTGGTTTAGAGACGTCTCAAAGCAATTCTAAGTCTACAATCTCTGGCACTTGGGTTTCAGCAGAATGTTGAGTAATACTCGATTGCAATTGCTAAGTTTCTGTGTGGGAAATGAGATAAAGGGTTGAAAAAATAATGTTATCAACTGATATCAAACTAAAATTTATAAAACAGATTTGTACATATTCCTACAGACTTCACACAATGATAACAATCCTACCCCCCTTCTCCTTGCTACATCAACCTCCCTTCAAAGCAATATAATAATATTCTGCCAGTTTCTACAAAATTAAAGGGGAAGTCCACCCTGAAATTAAGTTAGTTTTAATAGGAGTAGAAAAATGAGAGAAACAAGTCAGTGAAAGTTTGAGCAAATTCCGATTAAAAATAAGGAAGTTAGGAATTTTGAAGTTGTGATCAATCAAACACAAATTGGCAACTCTATGACGTATCATGCGAGCTCAACTTCCATTTGCTCAGTACTAAAAAAATCTAAAATTTTCATTTTCCCTCAAGAAAAATTTCAACCATACATGCACCCTAAATATAATAATTGCAAATATGTTTCTATACTCCCCCTGCAAGGAACAAATATATATTCCATCATCAATAACGAAGAAAACATGATTTTATGGAATATTATGCACAAAGCAAATGAAGGAGAGCTCGTATAATAAGTCACACAGAGTTGCCAATTTGTATTTGATTGATCACAACTTCAATAATTCATAACTTTCTTATTTTCATTCAGAATTTGCTCAAACTTTCACTCACCTGATTTTCTTATTATTTTGCCTCTATCGAAACAAACTTATTTTGGGGGTGGACTATCCCTTTAAGGAAGACAAAAATTTAGAAAAAAGAGAAAGACCCAAAGAGAAAGAGAGAACGAAGAGGACGCTGTAGAAGTGTTGATGTAAGTCGTCTGCTTGGAGCAAGAGGGATGTTATCTTACATCATTTTACACAGAGTTAATTTTTGCTCCTTTAACTCCAGAGTCGAGTCCAAGGTCCAGAGTCCAGGGCAGCGTCTCTCGAAACCGTCATAAGTACAAGTTCACCGGCGTCCCATTGAAAAAACGCGTGTTAAAATTAATACACACATTTAAATGGGTGTTGGTGAACTTGTTCTTAATCTTATGACGGTTTCGTGGGACGCTGCCCTGGCAAACAAAGTCTAGCCAATTTTTAGGATTTTTTTTAAAATTTATTTATTTCAGCAGACTCAGACTGGCAAACATTTTAGACTAGGGGTCTAGATCTAGATCTATCTCTTTAAAAATTTGAATAACAGGAATCTAATTACTTCCAATGATAATTCCAGCTTCAAAGTTTACTGTTTCATTTACAGACTATTAATTGGGCCTTGGGGACATTGTTGCCAAATTCTTCCAATTTGTGAATTGAACTTTATCTCTTCACTCTGCACAACAAACTCACAGACACGCTCACCGATACGCTCACCGACACTGACTCAGCTTTTGCGCTGTCTCTGCCTGGCACTTGACTCAATGATGTCAAATCAACGAGTCAATCATTTCACAGAATGGAGGGAAAAAATATGGTCCACTCATGAAATTTACTTGACTTTTATCCAATTAAACTTTATGTCATTAGAATAATATGTACACAGAATTATTAACTTAGCAAGTTAATTAATTAGGATACGTACACTGTCCGGCTGTTTAGTTGATCCCTGTAAGTACAATTCAGTCCCACATACTGCCATTGAGAATGTCAACAACATCAAATCTTCAAATTACCTTTCAAGTTTCACACTATAACGTAACGATAGATTCTAAAATGTATTATTCACAACACACTATTCTTCATTATTCACGGAAATCTCTGAAAAACGTCATCATAGAACAAGAAATAACAATGTCACTCACCGATAACTTTACAACAGTTTACCTCCCAAACGCCATTCATGAAACAACCGCGCCATATATTACGTTGATGACAGTGTATTACGCCACGAGGTGTGGGTTTTGAGATGACAGTACGATCTTATTTACGTGTACTACGTGAACGTATGTACTGCGCGTGTATAGAACGTCAATTTTAGTAAACTCGAGTCAATGTTAACTCTGTGGCTAGTGTTTCTATCCCAAGATGCATTCGCTGCGATCGATTTCTATTATTGACAAAGGGATCATCTTGAAAGTTTAGCAATAGCAGTACCTGTACAATAATTCAACACAAGAGGGATACTAGCAGAAGATTCACCGGCGCTGAGAAGATTTTGTGACAGATAACAGATAGATTTCGAAGGGTCGTTATATTCTATATTTATTGAGATAACTCTATTGTATTTGTGACCGTGCATGGGTGTCTAAGAAGGGTTGAGATATTTCGTCCCGATATTTTCTTTTCATCATATTTTTTTTGCGATAATCAAGGCCCTAATAGGGCTATATATTCTTCACCTTTTTTTTTGGTGGGGGGGGGGGGGCAGCAAAATCAAATTTCCCCCAAAATTTCTCGGAACTATTTTTCCACAGAAAAAATATAAGGGCCTCTATCATCAAAAAGTCAGTATAGGTCTGTATGAAGATTTTTTTTAATATTTACAACTTCATCAAATATATTTGCTTTTCGGACTTCACACGCGCGAAATATCACAAGTCTCGTTAGTATCGATCTCTTCAAACTTGAAGCCTATATCAATAAGGTTACCATAAATTTTTGTTTTTAAGTTTCAGTCTCAATTAATAGGCCGGTAGACACTTCAATCCCGTGTTGTTAAAAGAGGAAGTTCACCCCGATATTAATTTGGCTTTAAAGCTTATCTGCCGTAGTTAACAGGAGGGATTAGAGCGCCCTGCAAGGTCACTGGACAGGTGGTTATCTCATCAACTCGGCTCTCAGTTAACATAAGAAAAAGAGGATCATGGGGGACCAATGGTCACCGATTAGGCATGGTTTGTTATATAGAGGGCGCAATTAAGTAGCTACAAGTAGAGTAGTGGGCCTTTAATGGAAGCAGACAAATGAGCGGAACAGGTCGGTGAAAGTGGGAACAATTATAATCCGATTAAAATTTAAAAAAAGTTGTGAATCTTTGGAAGAGTACGTGTGATAAACAAATACAAAGTTTGGCAGCTGTGATATCTTGCAAGATCCCTTCCCATTTGCTCCGTACTAAAAAATATATAAAATCAGACAATTGTATTGAACAAATCTACTAATAACTAATAAAATAAAATTTTCTCCACAGAGCAAATTGGAGAGGACCTCGCAAAATTCTCCGCTTTAATTGGAGATCACACTTTTGACACTCGGTAGGTGACATGCACTATTTTTTCCACGTGTTGTTAATTAGAGATTCAGATGTATTAGGAATATTATCACAGTGATCTAAAGGTTACCCCGAATTCCAAATTTTATTATACTACTAATTCTAGTTCCTTCTCTTTTTTCTGTTGCTTCTTGAGACAGCTAAAACTTTCCGTAAAGGGTCAATCCTTATAGCGTATATTATGCCAATAAAAAGAAAGCAACTTCCTGAATATAAAACTATTTTTCTCTCCATCTCTTTATATGATATCCATATTTCTATTAATCTATTATTTTCTCTTTATGTATGTATGAATTATATAAATATATATTTGTATATGTCTATCTACTTATTTATTTATCTATCGATCTATTTATCTATCTACGTGCGTCCAGTCCATCCAGTAACACATAAAAAAATAAAAAAAAATCCTTAGATGCCGATATCCCAACTAATTCCTTGGACTTTTTATTTTTCTTAAATTAAGATTTATCATTTGCATTGCATGTTTCCAAAAAGCAGATGATTATATGAAAAACTGTTCAACTTTGAGCCGACGGATATATTTTTTAAAATTTCAATTATGATGCTGGGGGGGGGGGGGGCTTCATCTTATCCTCATTATGGTTTTGGTTCTATTTAAGTCATTAATTTCATTTAGTTCAGTTAAAACTTATTTATATGCCCTGATTGTGGAATTCTAAGAATGTTACGAGATTTTCAGAACTTCCACAAATATCCTTGAATCTTGAATGAAGAGATTTTCTTGAAAATTTTCCTTATATTGTCAGAATTACCATAAATTTATTTCATTTACTTTTAAGATATAAACGGGTAGTGGTAAAATTGTGGTTCAAGGGTTTTGGGTGTAAAATATCCTTTCAGTATCGTTTAAATATTGCCTTTAGAGGTTTAGATGGCAATACTTCAACCTAAATTCGCAAAAAAGCAAAAATAAATGCCTATAATGTTCAATGTTGAAGTGCATTCATGATATCTATCCAGGCCGGATCGATATGATAATTTACCAAATATATCAATTAGTAGGCGGGTTCCTGGCAAACTTTGTATCATCACTTATTTGTCAAAACATATTCTTTCACATGATTGGTAAATAGAGCTTCCATTTCATTTTTTTGAGAGGGGGGCGTTTCCAAAACTGGTCTATACCTTTAAAGTGGAAACACCGCATCTCCCTCTCTCTTATCTGTACCCCATCTCTCTCTTTCTCTCTCTCTATATATATCTTTCTCTCTCTCTCTTCTCTCCAATATATCATTCTCTCTCTCTCTCTCTCTCTGTATACATATCTCTCTTCTCTCCCCTATCTCTCTCTCTCTCTCTCTATGTATACATCTCTTTCTCTCTCTCTCTCTATATATATATATATATATCTCTTCTCTCCCTATCTCTCTCTCTATATATATATATATATATCTCTCTCTTCTCTCCCTATCTCTCTCTCTATATATTTATATAAATATCGCTCTCTTTCTCTCCCATTACCTCTATCTCTATTTCTCTCTTCCTATTTATATATAGCTCTCTGTCTCTCTCTCTCTCTCTCTCCTCTCCGTATTTATCTTTCTTCTCTCATCCCATTTCTTTTCTCAGAGCTCTCTCTCTCTCTACAAGTGTTCCTTTTTTCCTCACTTTTCTCCTTTGCTTGGCCAGTCATTCTGTTTTCTTCTTGTCACCATATTCCACACTTCTTCATTTTCATTCCATGTCTGATTGAATAGGCCTATTGTTTATCTCCTTTGTTCCATAATGACAAACATGGCTACATAACATGTAGATTTTTTTTTTAATATGCCTTTTTGCAAGGCTTAGTCATGATTTATTCAACATAGATTCAACAATATTAATTCTGTAACAGAAAACACAATATAACACATAGACATACATGTAATACCATGCATTACAATACACATATACAGCATAAAGCTCAGAGATGTACAATACATACTCAAGCAAGCAATAACGAAAATCATCTTTTTGACCTCGGGGGGATACACTTCTATTAGAGTGAACAGGGATGTTCCATTCGACAGGGTCGCTTTATAATAAAATCCCTGAAATGGGGAATGATTTTTCTCTGGAAAATTTCTAAAAAATGGCCCCACTTTTAGATCTTAGCCTCAAACAAGATAGATGCACACATTATTGAAAATTGAAATCATTTCACTTTTTCCTCCCAAGTCCTAATAATGGATACCGGTAGCTTAAGCCTTTCTGGCATACATAATGAGCCCTGTGACCTTTGACCTTGTGACCCCCAAAATCTAATCAGTTCATTAGCTCTGCAAGATACATACATGACCTAAGTTTAGCAGGAATCCATCAATCGGTTCTTGAGATAACGCGATCACGAGAACGGGACGTACGGACGGACAACCCAAAAAAACATAATGCCTCTGGCTACTTCGTAATGGAGACATAAAAATATAAAATTTGTATCAAATAAAATCCAGTTGTTTAGTTCCTTTTTGCCATAATTTCATACAAATAAAATTCTTGATAGTTTTGCTTGCTTGTTCTGTACACTTAAAACTAGAATCAAAAGCCTATTTATCTGTCTTCATATACTGTCATAATTTTTGAAAAACATTATTTACATCCAACAAAGAGTGTACAAAACATCAATGAAGCCTTGTTCGGATATATTGCGATAAACCTTGTCTTTAAAAACAAAATGATGTACGTGGGAAACACTTCACATTTTCTGTATATTATAACAGAGCTCAGTGTACATGTATATGCAAAGGACTTTCATTGCGCGCAGCTACCATTCATTTTAACAAAGTTGGGAAAATCTTTTATAGAACGCTGCAGTTTATCACTTCATATCTGAAAGAGCCTTAAAGATGAAGTTGAGTTCTGGTCATGCGATCGCATTGTGAAAGAAATGGTGTGGAATCGAGCAGAAAAGGTTGATCATCTAGCATATAAGAATTTGTGTGTATTGCAAGGTTCTGGAATCATCAAAATGATAAGAAATTTGGCCAAGTCTTGGTAAAGTTACAAACACTGTACACAGAACGATGTATATGGGACTAATGAACACATGGGGTAAAAATCCTACCCGGATTTTTACGATGTTACATGACATATTTAGAATATGAAGGCATTTGAAAAACCATGCTTTTCAGGGAACATTTCTTATCTGATGTTCTTCCACACTCGCATAATAAGAATGATAACACTGACAAATTATTTTTCACCTCTTCCCAGAACTCAACCTTCTCTTTAAAGAATTATTAATGGTGTTTTTTAGAAGGAGGGGGAAGGTGTTCTGAATCATTTCACCACCCCTAAACATTCCGTCTATATCAGCTCATGGCATGCCCAGCACCTCAATGTACTCTCATAGTGGTAAAGCAGGGTTTGGGAACCAGTCTTCATTGTACATCACGTTATCAATGCAATCCAAAGTGATCATATTGAGACTTCAATGTTCATCCATGAGTTATGAAGAAAGGTTTGGGCACCACTCTTACAGGTGCATTCGGCAATGTTGAGAGTGGTGACCTTACATCACTCCTTTACTGGCCTATTCTCGTTGAATTGTCTTTAGATCCTGAGAAAGGTTCAGGAACCAGTCAACATCCATCCCTAGCACAGACTGTGATCCCTTTTCAATTCTTAGAGGTTTGCATCTCCAATGGTCTGTTCACTTTCCAGTGTCTCTCTGAGTCGTGCTCTAGGGTTTGGGAACCATCCAATGACTATCATAGACAGAGAGTGGTAACCCATCTCACTTCTTAGAAAGAGAGCACATCTCCAATGATCTCTTCACTTTAAAGTGTCTCTCTGTGTCTCACTCAAGAGTTTGGGAACCATTCAATGACTATCATAGACAGAGAGTGGTAACCCATCTCATTTTATAGAAAGGGAGCACATCTCCAATGGTTTATTCACTTTCAAGTGTCTCTCTGTGTCTTGCTTTAGGGTTTGGGAACCATTCAATGATTATCTTAGACAGAGATTGGTAACCAATCTCACTTCATAGAAAGGGAGTACACCACCAATGGTTTGTTCACTTTCAAGTGTCTCTGTGTCTCGCTCAAGGGTTTGGGAACCATTCAATGACTATCATACACAGAGACTGGTAACCCATCTCACTTCTTAGAAAGGGAGTACATCTCCAATGATCTCTTCACTTTAAAGTGTCTCTCTGTGTCTCACTCAAGGGTTTGGGCACCATCCAATGACTATCATAGACAGAGATTGGTAACCCATCTCACTTCTTTGAGAGAAAGTACATCTCCAATGGTCTATTTGCTTTCCAGTGTCTCTCGTTGACTTGCTCAAGGGTTTGGCAACCATTCAATGACTATCATAGACAGAGACTGGTAACCCATCTCACTTCTTTGAGAGAAAGTACATCTCCAATGGTCTGTTTGCTTTCCAGTGCCTCTCATTGACTTGCTCAAGGGTTTGGTTACCAGTCAGTGGCTATAAGAAATCAAGAAAAATACAAACATATATTGTTAAAATTATCCTAGGTTCTTAACAATAATTGAGGATTCTACCAACTTTCAAACTTGAGTAGGCAAGCTTTCATCTACTCAAGTGGCCTTTCTAATGATTATTCAAACAGTTTCTTGCTGTCTGCTGCCTTGACATCACCGGAGTGAAGATTAGATAGGATGATACAATCTTACTCTGAATAAACTCTACTCTAATCGACCACTTAAGAAAGAGCACATGTAAAAATGACCCCCCAAATGATGACAGATCTTTTAAACATGGAGAAGTCCAACTTTGTGCATTTTTAGACTAATCACTGCCAAAGGAACGAAGGTTCTTCAAGAGAATACCTTTCATTTGCTCTCTTGTCAAGAATACTTCCACCTGTGTATCACAGAATGTATCATCCATGCATACATGTGTATAATGATTACATAGCTTTAACGAACTTGCATCCATCATTTGCCTCAATGTTTTTTTAAAACAAATGACCTTCATCTGCTCCTGCGCAGATAGTACATATACCTGTCTACAAAGGTCACATTTTTTGTTTCCCTTGAAAATGGTTTCTCATTGAAACATGTACTAAAGGAACCTGTCTACAAAGACCACTTTTTGTGTTTCCTTTGGGCGGTCGCTATAGACAGGTTTGACTGTACCTCAGAAAAGACTTTCTTACTAAACCCTTCATAAAATTGCAAGGGACTCACCTGAAATTGACCTGGATATGTGCTAATGAAGATAGTGAATTCTCCGCACCCTCCCTCGTTTTGATTGGACGAACTCTGACTGTCCATTGAACCGGCATCTATGGTAGCAAGGAAGAACAAAAAAACAAATGAATATTCCTTGTGCTTCTTGGACGGACTCTGAGTGCCTGGTGAAATAGTGCCCCAGTATGGTGGTGAGACTTGTCAATTACTGATCGAATGTCTTGAGTTACCAGGGATTGTCAATTTACTGATTTAACTCGCCTCTAAGATGAAGGGCAATCGTGATAGAGTGATATTTGACTAGATGGTCAACTGAAGCTAGAGCTAATGTCTTGAGATACCATGAATTGCCAGGTTACTGATTTAACTCGCCTTTTTAGATAAAAAAAAAAATAAAAATAGTGGTCAACTGAAACTAGAGCTTACGTCTCAATATACCACGCATTGCCAATTTCCTGATTAAACTCGCCCCTAAGGTCGAGAGCAATCCTCATCGAGAGATATTTGGCTAGGTGGTCGATAGAAGGGAGAGCTATTGTATTGAGATACCATGAATTGCCAATTTACTGATTTAACTCAACTTTATATTAGAAATAAAATAATAGAGGTCAATTGAAGCTAGAGCTGATGTCTTATTGCCAATTTTAAAAGCAAGAACAATTGTTTTCAACTGAAGCTAGAACATGCATTGCCAATTTACTGATTAAACTCACCCCTAAGGTCGAGAGCAATCCTCATCGAAAGATATTTGGCTAGGTGGTCGATGGAAGCGAGAGCTGACGTCTTGAGATAGCGTACCATGTAAGGTCTACTATGCATGATCTCATCCGGGTGGGGTTTGAATACCAGCTCTATCTCCTGCAAGAGGGTCAAAACGAAAAGGTACAAGTTTGATGAAAAGAAAATAGAAAGAAGAGAATATTCCATGTATGGTAATCCTTTCAAGACAGGAATTTTAAAGGACAAAATTGATTACCGCTTCTTCTTCTAATTGGCAAGAATTTTATTTTTATTTTAATGCTCAATTGCTCTAATAAAACAATGTTTCCCTAGACAATATGTCTGGTTATGGGCACTTGTGCGAGACCTTCAAGCAAGTCATGGAAAAACAGCACTTCACCCCCCTCATTTGAAATCAGATTTACATTGATCTCAGGGACTGTCCATTTTTGAAAGAAAATAATTATGAAAATAAATTTTAAGAAAAAAAAACAGGAAAATATGATAATATCTGGAAATTATCAGGCCTGTAGATGCATCAGGCATGTACACATTGACTTACGTTAGATGGGTCAGGCATGTCCAAACTGCCCTCACCCTCTATCTCTCCCTCTACGTCCCCACAGCTGCTGGACTCATCAGAAGTTCTTGGTCGTTTCATCGCCTGTGGAAGGGATATGTCAGCAATGAATGTGAACATAGCATTTTTACTTCTATTTTAGAGATAATTTCTACCACATAACATAAGTGTTATTATCTTACATTTTCCTCACCTGAAGACTCTCTGAAAGACAAGGGGGGTATTTCTTGATGGGACCACGGGTTTGCCGTGTGCAACTCTTGTACACTCATTAAAGGTACTATGTCCCATTTGCAGGCCCATTAACCGAATAGTTGTACGTTTTATTCTGGCCATTACAAGAAGTGGGTTATTGATGTAGACAAATGCTCATGTACCCTTTACAGATAATTTGATGTATGTTATTACCAAAGAAGAAAAAAAGCCAGTCAGTCACTCAATAGTGTCTGACAGTGAAATCTAGCAAGTAAACGAGTTTCCTTGCATAATTTTAATATTAGGACACTGCTAACGTTTAAGTTTCACAGATAGGACATACATGACATATTCGTAATTCCTACAAAGCTCTACAGAATTTGATGTTGGCTGCAAAAGGAACATAGTATCTTTAACAGTATTTCCACCAAGTCTGGTGTCAGCGAACAAAGACCTACTGCACATGGAAACTGACTACCATCTCCCTTTTAACCCGCTGCCTGCTGGAATCAGGTGTTCCTTGTATTAAGCCCATGGGAATTAGAGAATTCAGTATTCAATGAGTTAAGTTGTTTTTCTCAGTCTTACCTGAAGAGAGTCTTGGTCCTGAAAGGAATGGCAACCCTGGCTGGATGAGAGATCCTCAGAATGAGACCGGACCAATCGTCCTCGTTCCTCCTGAGGGGATTCCAACGGGGGCGTGAGGGGGGCCGAGGGAGGGGCAAGCTCCAATCCCTCCTGGCCCGGTGGAAGGGGTGCAAGAGGGTCGCCGTTCAGGTCACCGCAATGGGCGGGGTCATCGTCGATGGGAGGTAGCTCGCCGCCCTCGAGGTCGAATTCTTGTTTTCTCTGATGAAAGGAGAGAATGAGAATGTGAATAATGTGCATGTGTGAGAGAGAGAGAGGGGGGGGGGAGCGGGGGAGGGAGACAAAGAGGGAGGGGGAGGGTATAGTAATGTTTTTTTTTATAGAGAATGGGTGAGACAGGGAGGTATACAGGTGTACATGTAGGAAGAGAGCGTAATAGAGAGACGGACAGAGTGAAAGAAAGCGGGAGGGAAGAGAGTGTGAAAACAAGGAAAGGAGAGAGAGAGAGAGCGCTGAGAGCTAGAATGGTGTTGAATCGTTTTTGTTCCACATTAACTAAACACGCTTCTGGCTCTCAGCATGCAATATCATGGTTATGCCTGTGTTTATATTGTTTGAAGCACCAATGGGAAACAAATTTCTGGATTATTATGGACAATAAAACTTGAATCTTGAATCTTGAGAGAATGGAAGAGACAAGAAGAGAGACAGAGGAGAGAGAGAATGTGTGAGAGAGAAGGGGAGAGAAAATGAGAGAAGAGAGAGAGAGAGAAGGGGAGGGAAGGGGGAGAGGGGGAAAGGTGAGTAGTGCTGAGAGAATTGAAAAGACAATCAGGGGTAGAAGAGGAAGAGACTTCAATAGAAAAAGTAAAAGAAAGAGATACTTATATGCTCTCTTAACATGCGTGGAAAAAGAAATCTCTGTGCTCTGTTCAGATTCTGTAGCCATTAAACATGTTATGTCTCTTCTTATTAGACTTACTTTGGGTGGAACTCTTTGTGCTCTGTTCAGTGCCCATACCTATGGACATTCTTCTTTACACTTACTCACTACTGCTGTGTTATCTCTCTTGTTATTACACTTACTTTGGGTGGCACTCTTTGTGCTCTGTTAAGGGCCTGTACCTTCAGCCCCTCCTCGATACTGGTGCTCAAAGCGGCAGTATTGTGTCTCTTGTTCAACTTGGCCATGACTCTCTCCTACATCACAGAACAGAAAGAGACAAAGAGATTTAACAATGGAACCAATCAGATGTCTTTGATTCAAATAAATTCAAATGGCAATGTACGATCAGTAATGTTAATTAAAGAAAGTAAACACAAGAACTGTACACAAAGTAAAGGGAGTATGCTAAGGCCACATAATGGAGATTATATTTATTCAGTTTTTTCACCTAAAACAAAAGCTATATCAAGCCCCATATGAAATGTGTTAACTTTATCACAGAGATATTATTAATGTCCTACGGTCAAACATAGAACTGAACAATATTCATATACAGCAGAAATGTCACTCATTCACCTAGGATCTGTCATCATTATCATTATTTTTGTATTAATCCATTCTTTAGCTTCCGTTTATAATGTCCGATTTCAGATTCCTGTTCACTCTTATACTGAGGAGTGGAAGACGAAAAGCTTTAGTATGTCTGGTGTTCTCTGTTCTACAAATTATTATATTTCTACAATAAGAAATATGAAAATGATTCAAATTTATCGCCATGGTTACCTGATGTGCTTCGTATTCATCTCGACTGGGATAGATCTTAGAGATGAGGGCATCAAAATTAGGATCAGGTCTTAGAGACCGCTTTGAGACCAACTTCTTCCTACATGTTGGACATTCCTTGTTCCTGATTCAAAATTGAAAAACGATTCAAAATTGAAAAACAAAACAAAATGTGAAATCAATTATTTCAATAAAGGTTACATGTATATGGCTCCATACTAACAACACTTTTTACAGTCAGTATACATGAGCCCGATAATTATCATAATAAAAATAAATTAATAATGCATGTATATGAGATTCTAAGCGTTCCACATGATAAATGAAATACAAACGCTTCAATGGGATGTCGATGAACTTGTACTCATGACAACCAAGGTTGGGTACCTTAGGAGTCTTTCCCTGAATGCACTGAGCCCTACAGTTGCCGGAGCCAAAGCCAATATCCAACGTCTTTCGGAAGCGCGTTGAAGGGTTACATCATAATTTGACATGCACAACACCAAAATGGATTATTATATCAAGTTATTATTATTATCATTATACACTCACTACTAATAATAATATTTGAATTTTATATAGCGTTTAATACATCAACGATGTGCCTAATAAAGTCATCGGATACAGGCATACCCGTACACAATGTATGCACATTCTCTACTCCATGGGGAGCATTCCAGTCAGGCATCATTTTTACAAGCGCACACTTGCTCATCTAACCACATTAACTTTCGCTTCCTACCGTCCTACTTACCCACTCCTTAGTGCGGTGATGATGCAATCTTGACAGAACCGGTGCAGGCACTCCTTGGTCGTGTAGGTGTTTTTGAGCATGTCGAGACAGATAGGACACATGAGTTCACTGTGGAGGCTACGCGGGGAGACGGCGATCTCCGTCTCATCGGTGATGGCTTCTTGCGGAGATCGGTGAAGCTCGTAGAGACTCAGTTCTGATTCATTAAAAAATAACATAAAAAACAAAATCAGTGATTCACTTCTGATTATCATTGAAAAGAGACATTTACCATTCAGGAATTCAGCTCTAGTCACAGAAATGAATACAATTTGTCGTAGAAAATATGTAGAATAAAAATAATCGGCGATTTATATTTATAAATAAAAAAATTAATAACACTGACAATCATCTCAAGTTATTATACAAAATATATACAAATATCATTCATAGAGAGTAGGTTTTGATTAGGTTGGTGATCCAAGGTATGGTGGTGGTGGCAGTGGCAGAGGGAGGACTTGATGGGAGAAAGGACCTATGACCTAAACAAATTTGCATTTAGTGAGAAATCTACTGACGGATGGAATTTACTCAAAATTTTTTCAATTAAATTTTATTATTAAAAAATTACATGCACACATAGAATTATACATTGCACGTTATATATAAAAAGATTAGAAAAATTATATACAAATATAGTACAACAATATAAATATTGCTCGTTAGGTAGCAGCCATTAAGAAAGTGACCCTTATATGTGGCCAAATCAACAAACACATAATTACAAGATAAAGGTGGGTAAAAGATTACAAGGACATGACAAAATGCAACATTACCAAAAACTTAATTGATCGAGGAACAAAGATTATTTATTTATGAAACTGAATTCCTAAAAAATAGAAATTCTTCCAGAAGAACGTTCAAATATCCTTACCCCATGACTTACTGGGTTGCGAATTCCCGCTTGCCTGTCATGAGAGAGAAAGAGATAGAGAGAGATAAATTAGGATAATACAGTATGTTTTTGTTGTTGTAGGTAATAGTTTAATGGCGTTCATTCAGTATTGAATATATACGCCATATCTTTAATTTCATAAGGAAAATCAGTTATAAATAAGAAAACTGAGGATAAAGATTTGTAATGATATAATTAATTTATCAGTAACGCAATTTATTAGGAGTCTCTGGATGGTTTGCAACTTCGTGTTTCTGCTTTTTTAAAAGTTTAATCTGGTCAGCCCGGTTTCGATGGCATGGAAAACTAGCTTTGCCCGATTTGAAACAGGCTTCTCGGCTACTCGGAGTGCGTGCGCAGTGATCTTTTAATTTTGTAACGCACGGTGCCTAGACCACTCAGAAACACAGAAACACTATAAATTGAGACACATCGTACAGGGGCGCCCCTGAAACCGAATTTTCAGTACAATAATAATACAGTAATGCTCACAGCTTTGGAAGCTGTTTTTCTTTTCTCTTTGTGCACAGAACCATTACCAAAAAAAACTCAGGATAGGGCGTAAGGTGAACGGCCTGCCACAAAAATCTGTGTTTTGATGGTTAAATACTTTTTTCACCTGTGTACATTCACATTTGCGTGAATAAAGGAACACCTGTGACGTGCTGTGGCTCAAGAAAACTACAGTTGCATATATATATATCTTATCCGAAAGTAAGTCCGAAAGTAGAGCCAATAGGCACACATCCAAAATGAAAGACTCTTTGCTATTTGGGGACACTCTCTCTTTTGTATTGTGTGCCTTGAGCATTTGATTTCAACTGTATTCTGCACCTTAAAAATCTCATATATTATCTTTTGTAAAGACTTTAACAGAACAGACGTAGTCTCAGCAGAACAACCATAAACCATTCAATATCACCGCCGGAAGCTTTTGCCATTTCAGTTTAACCTTGCAAATTTGTGTGTGAGTCGTGAATCCTGATCACGTGAACTACATGTAGTTGACATGCAATTTACATTACAAAAATGTTGGCCTCCGATGAGAGTTCGTCATATTGATTCTGACTGGAAACACACGCAACACTTTGCCATTGGTGTAAAAAAAAAAGTTGAATTTGCAGAATTCAGATTTCTGCATCACAAGCCCGAAACGCAGTAGGGGCGCTGGTCCAAGAATGAGGATCATCCGCATAAACAAGGATTTGCTCATAAACGCAGACAAATTGCATTCTAAAAAATAAGGATGGTCCGCATTTTTGCTGACGTTTTTTTCCACGGCCCTCCTGGGTGTCTGGTTCCTGTCTACTAGTTTTAAGGGTTGTCCCTCTTCACGAGGATTTATCGCTCATAATGTGAAAGTCTCTGTACGAAGTCAACTTAAAATGCATCAAGAAAATCATTGCGGAATCCTTTTTTCGCATCGCCAACGCGCGGATCGGATATATGAAACGTCTGCGAAAATGCGGACGATCCTTATTTTTGCAGACTTGTCCGTCCGCGTTTACGAAGACGATCATTGTTTATGCGGCAATCCTCAATCTCGCCCCTAGCCCTACTGTAGTGAGCTGATACTGGTAGACCTGATAGATCTACCATAAGTTGTGTGTCTGAAAACGTTGGGTATTCGGACAATTGATTAAAAAAAGTAATATGATTTCGAAAATTTTTACAATCAATAGATCTATTTCATAAATCTTCTATTTTTCTAAGACTTTTCTTGATGTTGGCATTGTTGCCTTGTTGGACAATATTTTGAAAGAAAAATTTCAATGATGGTCAGTGCTATTTCATTGAATTATTAAATAGGCTACAAAGGCGAAACTAAAGAGAAGGCTTTATTGTTTGTAAGTGTGTCGTCCGGACACCTGGGGGCCGTTTCTCGAAACCAACTCCATGACAGTCATATCTTTGTCGGCGACCTACGGAGATGTCATGAAGCGGATAAACCGTTTCACAAAGCCATGACAGACATGATATCGATATATCGCGATACTAGCAGCTCAAGAACATAGTTTTTGTCACGATCCATTTGATTTATCAAGAATAACCCAAAACAAGTTTTGGGGCTAAAATTGTTCAAAAAGAAATATATACATATAAATTCTCCTAAAATAAATAATAAATAGTGTCATTATCATATTTACATCATCAAACAATTTGCATATTTCTGTAAAGATTCTTAAATTGAAGAAAAACCGGTGAGTGTTTTTTTTTCGACTGTCGAATCAAAAGTTAGTTGAAGGATACCGTAATGTGATAGTTTATCCATACGCAGGCCTCGAATTACATCAAATTTGGGTCAAGGCCACTTTTTTGAGAGGGCACAAATCCACTGAAAGGGGCACAAATCTATCCTAAGGGGCACTAAGGCCAACGTGGAAAGTGCGCGTAAAATCACCTCACGCCGTTGTTTTCAAGGTGGGGGGGGGGGGGGGGATATGTGCACCCAGGGGCGGATCGAGGATTTCTTCCTTAGGGGGGGGGGGGGGGGGCCCACTTTTTTTTTTTGTCCCCAAAAAAAAATCGCAATGACTTAGCCAGCCGCTGAATAAGCGGGGGGGGGGGGGGGGGGTAAGAGGACACTTTTTTTTGTTTTTTGGTCTCGAAATTTGAAAATTTGACATTTTGTTCCCTTTGGGGTGGTGGGAGGGGTGGGGGGGGGGTAAAAAAAAACGAAGGGGGGGGGGGTTAACGTTCCAACCCCCCCCCCCCCCCTGCGTACGTGCCTGCTCGTCTGAATACAGTTCCCCTTCCTCCGCGCAAAGCGCGGAAGCTTTTACGTTTCATTAAATCATTAGAGAAAGAAGAGGATTCGTTGTACCGTTCTCGAAAATAATCCTCGCCTGCATGAATACAGTTTTCCCCTTCCCGCGCAAAGCGCGGAAGCTTTTATGTTTCATTAAATCATTAGAGAAAGAAGACGATTCGTTGTACCGTTCTCGACTCTTAATCCTTGTCTGAATTTCAAAAATGTTTTTTGTCTGCTCCTTTTTCTTCATACGTCCTCTCCCTTTTCTCTCTTCTCTTTTTTTGGCTTTTTTTTTTGGGGGGCGCCCCCACTGCCCCCCCCCCCCCCCCCCCCCGGCTACGTGCCTGCGGCAGATGAACATCTTTTGATACCTTGTTCGCCCCCGGAAACTCATGGGTTGAAGGCAAATTACGGTCAGATAAGCATTCAGGGGCCCGCCTCAGGGCCCCTGGTGGAGTCGAGGGTGTGGAAACCCCTGAATTTCAGGGGTTTCAGGCATTTGATTACGGTCAGATGAACATATTTTTATACCTTATTTGTGACACTGGCAGGATACTGATTGGCGTGAGGTCCAGCGGGCGGAGCCCCCAGAAGCCCATGGGTTTAAAGCATTACATTACCGTCAGATTAGCATCCAGTGGGGTCCAGGGGGCAGGGCCCCCGGAAGCTCAGGGGTTTAAGCATTTGATTACGGTCAGATGAGTATCAAGAGGCCTGCCAAAGGGCCCTTGGTTGGGTCCCGGGGGCAGAGCCCACGGAAGCTCAGGGGGTTTTAGGCGTTTAATTACGATCAGATGAGCAATTTTTGATACCTTATTTTGTTGAGAAACTGGTAGTTAACTATTTTTTCTTTCTTGCTCTCTTTCTTTCTATTTCTCTTTAAAATGCTTTTCAAAAAAAATTGGGGGGGGGAGTTTCCCCCTTTGACGTTTCATTGAATTATTAGAGAAAGAAGATGATTCGTTGTACCGTTCTTGACTCTTTATCCTTTTCTGAATTCCAAGGGAAGCGCGGAAGCTTAGACGTTTTTAATAAATTATTAGGGAAAGAAGACGATTCGTCTCGATCTCGACTACCGGTATTATCCTTTTCTGAACTCAATTCACACCCCTCCCGCGCGATGGGCGGAAGCTATGACGTTTTAATTAAAACGTATGGGAAAGAAGACGATTCTTTGTACCATTATCTCGACTCTTAATCCTTTTCTGATTTAATTCCAGACCCTCCTCCCGAGAAAAATCCAAGTTTTTCACTGATTAAAAACTGTGAAAACGCACCAAAAAAGGTCACAACGCGAAGTAAAGATGTTGAACCAACGATGGGTAAACAAAACTTCCCGATATTGATTGGTTCAAATAAAAAGGATGGATTGAAAATCTAAGCCTGAGTCATTACGGTTTTTGTGCCAAACGTTTCAGTCATTTGGATGAAGACATTCTTTCATATCTCCGTATCGGCAATTAAGTCCCACCAATTAATTTAGGAGTTCCATAGTGGAAATTAAGTCTCGCCAATAATTATTGTTTTAGATCTCCGTAGGGGCAACAAAGTCTTGCCGATTATCATTGTTTTAGATCTCCGTAGGGGCAACAAAGCCTTGCTGATAATTATTGTTTTTAGAGCTCCGTAGGGGCAACAAAACCTTGCCGACTATTATTGTTTTTAGAGCTCCGGAGGGGCAACAAAACCTTGCAGACTATCATTGTTTTTAGAGCTCCGGAGGGGCAACAAAACCTTGCCGACTATTATTGTTTTTAGAGCTCCGGAGGGGCAACAAAACCTTCCGATAATTATTGTTTTTAGAGCCTCGGAGGGGCAACAAAACCTTGCCGACTATCATTGTTTTTAGAGCTCCGGAGGGGCAACAAAACCTTCCGGTAATTATTGTTTTTAGAGCTCCGGAGGGGCAACAAAACCTTCCGATAATTATTGTTTTTAGAGCCTCGGAGGGGCAACAAAACCTTGCCGACTATCATTGTTTTTAGCGCTCCGTAGGGGCAACAAAACCTTCCGGTAATTATTGTTTTTAGAGCTCCGGAGGGGCAACAACACCTTGCCGATTATTATTGTTTTTTGAGGTCCGTAGGGGCAACTAAACCTTGCCGATAATTATTGTTTTTAGAGCTCCGGAGGGGCAACAAAACCTTGCCGACTATAATTGTTTTTAGAGCTCCGGAGGGGCAACAAAACCTTGCCGATAAATATTGTTTTTAGAGCTCCGGAGGGGCAACAAAACCTTGCCGACTATCATTGTTTTTAGAGCTCCGGAGGGGCAACAAAACCTTGCCGACTATTATTGTTTTTAGAGCTCCGGAGGGGCAACAAAACCTTGCCGACTATCATTGTTTTTAGAGCTCCGGAGGGGCAACAAAACCTTGCCGACTATCATTGTTTTTAGAGCTCCGGAGGGGCAACAAAACCTTCCGGTAATTATTGTTTTTAGAGCTCCGGAGGGGCAACAAAACCTTGCCGACTATCATTGTTTTTAGAGCTCCGGAGTGGCAACAAAACCTTGCCGACTATCATTGTTTTTAGAGCTCCGTATAGGCAACAAAACCTTTTTGAACATTACAAGTCGGGTTGGCTTACGATGACTATAATGTCGGCAAAACTTTTGTGGATTAAAATATTGTGGCCGTAAACGGTTTGATTTTTAAAAGGGCATTCCGGCCAGTGAGAGGGGCATGGCAGCAAATTGCCGATTGCCGGTGGGTAATTCGAGCCCTGCATACGTACTTTTTTGTTTATTGTGACGGGGAATTTTAGGCAAAATGTCTTTTCTCAGCCAGTTTTTATTCTAGAGTCTGATAAATACTCGTTATATAATTGATTTGATATTGAAAATATAATTTGGAAGAAGTAATTAGAGAGGGAATAATAATGCACATAGGCCCCAAAGGTATGACGGTATCCTAAGAAAAGACTATGGATCGACTATGGAAAACGGTGTGTAACATTCTTACCTCTCTTATTTATATGTTATAGTTTAATGATTTGTAATTTAATGTTTATATTCAGCTTTTTAAAGTTTCTGTATAATTTGTATTCTCACTTTTGTACATTTGCATTTCGCATCCAAGAGAATTACGTACCGAACTCGTCTATATTTTTCTCAAAATGATAGTGAAACTAATCGTCCATTTCGCGACCCATGGAATGGCATCAAACTGACTTGTGATGGCGCTTTACAGCAATTAAAAAGATATGACAGGTTCGGATCAGTGACAACTCGCTTGTCGCGGAAGTTGTCGCTCATCTCGGCAAAGACGGCTTCGTGAAACACTTACTTAGCTGACAAGTTGCGTAACAGTGGCGAGATGTCGTTGATCTTGTATCTAGTAGTTATGACGGTTTCGAGAAACGGCCCCCAAACCCCCAATTATCCTAATGCTGTCCGCTGGGTACTACCAGCTTGAGCCGATTCGCCCGGCCGTCGGGGCCCGCGGCCTGACTACTGGTGCATGTGCATTTCTGGCAAGGGCGCTAGCCGGTCAGGCCGAGCCAGACACAACATGCAGCACACACCCACACCCCTGACAGACACTCACCGTACACACACACGACATGCATGGGCAACGGAAATTGAATGAAAATGTCGACTGACTCACCTGTGTAACGGCCATTTCCTCAGATACCTTGACAATTTGTGAGCTCTAAGTAAATTCTGACAAACAAGGATCAAACTGAGTATCTGCTGATGGAATTGGAAATTCAAGAAAATGTACAAATAAGTTGCAATTCAGCTTTTCACGAGCAAGAAAATGTCAGCACTGATGAGAAAATAAAGACATCGAGAACAACATTGTAAAGAATGTCACTTTTTTCAATTTTAAAAAAAACATAAGATAAAATAATTTCAGTACACGATCATGATTATAAAAAATATATTTTTGTTTAATTTATTTAGATTCAATTAAGATATTTTTGGAATTTGACGAGATAGTTAAAAGTAATATGAACATCATAACTGTGATATAAATTGACCTTTGACATGCCCATGTAAACAATTTTCAGTTGTCAAGAATAGCTGAAACTTCGATGTTTGTGAGTAACTTTATTCTTTCTGTAACGGCCTGATAGGAAAAAAGTAAATTAACTAATTGAATGATTAGACCCTATGTCAACCTTAAACTGTTCAAAGTCCTGTCTAACACTCACTAACGGTACTAGTAAAGTAGAAGTTAAATTGATGATATGCATGCTCTAAATTAAAATAAATCAGCATCTTTCATACTGAGGCGAGCTGACTGCATCACTCACTAGGCTACTTCTTCACTTTCAATTCAGCAGTTCAGTCTGGCAGTGACCATGCATTATTGTGACAATGACATGTGTGTGACAGTGTGAGTGAGTGCAGTGTTAACTTGTCCTCGCAAAACTCAGAAGTGATAAATGTTTTTTTAGTGTGGTATGTATGGTATGTAATCCTGTAGCCTAGATTTTTTTTGCTGTTTTTGGCTTCAAAAGGGTCCCAATTGGCCAAAAATGATGGGGTTCAAATTTTCAGACCCCTCCTTCATTTCCTATAGAGTTCTAGCGGGTCTAGACTAGTCTATATTGGGTGCCAAAATGGCATAGGTCTATATAATGTGTAATAGGGAAATTTGGTGTTTTCTGGAAAATTTAAACCCCATCAATTTCTGATAGCTTGGACCCCAATGAATCAAAAAAATGCACAAAAAAAAAAAAAAAAAAAAAAAAAAAAAAAAAAAAAAAAAAAAAAATCAACTTTGGCACAAAAATCCTACGGCTATGGGAGCTGTTTCAATGACATACTGTACCACACTATTAAGCCCAAAGGCTGCAACTGCAAGGGCTTGCCAAAATTAATTGAAATATGATCTGAATTCTGATGATGTTGATTATCGCCAAGGCATCCATTTGCCTGTGTGAAGAGTAGACCTAGGGTAGACCGAAAACTTCAGTCTCTCTAATCGTCGGTTGTTCCACTGAGACTACGTCTGGCTCCACTAGACCTCCGATTACAGAGACTGAAGTCTGGGGACCTCTTTCTGTGAGGCACTGTACGGAACAAATGGTTCGGTTCGACCGGACCGCGATGAATGAGATATGCAACGAGATTTTCACTCTTTACATCCTCATAACTGCTGCAATTACAACACAAATTAAAAATAACATATATATAGCTTATTCGACTTACGATAGCTTGCTCATTTAGATCCTAAATTAATGATTAATCCGAGAAAGTCTCGTCGTCAACATTATCCGTCTTGGTTTTAGTTGATGAATATTCATTTTTTCTTTTCGAACGTCCAATAGCTACCGTAGCTACATACGAGTCGGCCCAGCTTGACCAACGAACTCCCACGAAACGAGTGCTCTGATTGGCCATTTGGCTATGTTTTGGTAGGTGGACCCGGAAATATATCGGCCGCCGGGTAATATTTCGAATGCATGAACGTACTGCTTCGCGGATCTGAGATACAAATTGGATAATTCATATAAGTAAGTTCGTAAATTGTCTATTTAATATTAAGTTATCAAATTTTGATAACTGTAATTAGGACAAATGACATACCGACCTAATTTACATCTGATTTAGAAATCAGAAAATTAGATCTAAATAAAGAAAATCGGGGAGAAAATGTTTTGACACAAAAAGCTGCCATTGTTGGCTATAGCTATCCCCGCGGTACGAGATCTCTGGGTTGCCATCTGTATTGGGGAATGACAACAAATGTCAGTTTTATTAAAGAAATGACCCAAATCAGATGGTTATTGCTGTCTAACCTAGGGATGTTACAAAAAAAAAAAAATCTCAGATTTCAAGCTCTTGCTTTATGCCATCAAACAGAGCTTGATAAGACCTTTTATTTGATGCCTCATTCATCCTAATAGCCCCAGTAATAAGAAAGTTATGCCAATTTTAAACGCCCGGAAATCATGTATTTAATTCCTTTGTTTTCCTTTGTTTTTAAAACAAAAGTTGTGATTTCAAATGTGACCGAAAGATTCTATTTCATTACAGAAAATCGCCCAAAAAATGTATGTAAATACGCGAAAGCCGCTAATCGGGCCGTCATTTTTGCATGACATTTTCACATTCCTCCTCCTAAATAACATATTTCTCAGCCATAGATTTTGCTGAAATTTCACCAAAAGCAAATTCATATGTTAACCAATCATCCAAGATACCTTTTTTCTCATCCTGAATGCGGGATCAGGGTACAGAATGGCACTAAACACGGCTCTTGTGAAACAGTGCAGCGAAACAAACTGCCGAAAACATAAATCATAGAAAGTTTAGTATGAAATGAAAGATAACAATGTCATTCTTCTCATCCAATAGAAATCATGAAACAAAAATCTAATCAGCCCATCAAAAGATCACATTTACCTAGGCTATCCAAATTGGTCTCCAATAGTAGGGTGTCTGAACGATTTTTCAATTTTCAATTTGGGATCGTTTTTCACCATTTTTGTTTGATATTTGAATAAAAGATGTTATCAGAATAATACATTTCAAATTTCAAGTCTCACCGATGTTTCTATCAAAAGTTACAGCCCCTCCAAAACGCTGGTATATTCATATCATTTTGGTCAAAATCGACGAAAAAGACGTCTACGCAGCACGAAGCAATATTCCTTACATTTAGCGCTTGCGCAGTTACGTTTAATCGGTCTCCGCCTCATTTGAATTACCCGCCCGCGCCCCGCCCACGAATCAACGTTCTTGTTCCTTCTGATTGGATGTAAAAGACCCGCCATTCGCTTAACGTTACAAATTTGAGTGCGACGAGAGAGCATACTATTTTCCGTTTTTTTCAATACCAAAATTGGGATATTTCAGTCAAACCCTCTATTTTTAATGATTTTTTCACTTAAGTATTTCACTTAAGTATTTCACTTAAGTATAAGTCTTACTTAACTAAGAAAAATTATCAAAAAAGTCATATTTAAGGTACAAACTTGATTCTTTTCCTGAAATGTCCGTTCACGTTTCGTTTGCATGTGTATGGAACGCCATGTGTGCGTCACCTATGTGTAAAGTGCGTCACCTGTTTAAAGCCTGAAATTTCAGTGTTTTTGGTATCCATTTTTGTATGATTGACAGCTAGGGCGTCAGAGCCGAAGTTTGCTTCCTTTGTTCGGTAATAATTCCGAACCATACAGCTGAGTGTCGTATGAAATCGTTCGCCGTGTTTACGTCTGATTGTGACTGCGTATATGTTGTACTTTGAACTGGTTGTGGTCAGCGTTCGTAGTATTTCCATGGTTACGCGTTTGCGCGGCCTGGCTTGGGGGAAACTGCCTGGCCTGGGGGAAATTGCCTGGCCTGGGGGAAACGGCAATATGATTTCGGCGTTTTGTAAAAACACACCAGGAACTAACTAAGCTCCGAAGGGTGCTCAACCGAGATTTGGTGGTCTCCATTCCTACATTAATTTCTTTGTCAAATAATAAGCACTTTGTCAAATAATTAAAGCACTCTGTCAAATAATTAAAGCACTCTGTCAAATAATTAAATGCAAATACAAGTCCGAAATGGAAAGTTGTAATATGACAATAAAATAACATATCAGTAATAGTTCATAAATGAGAGGTAGGTTAGTATACTTGCTAACAAAACTGACAAATTTGATAAAAATGGTTAAATCTTGAGAGGATTTTGATCGTTTGACAGTATTATATAATTGAGTTTCCCAAATTATTTTCAGTAACAATGTTGCATTTTTTTTTTTTGGGGGGGGGGGGGTAAACAAAAATTAGTGGGGTTGGGGCAGCTTTTTTTTTTTGGTAATTATTTTTTTAATATTTCTTTTTTGTATGTGTAGTATCATATTATTATCAATGTTATGCTTTCAGTCATCGCTTATTATATTCATAAATGTATATATATATCTCTCTCTCTTTCCGTCTCACTCTTTCGTCCCCCCTTCTCTCTCTCTCTCTCTTTCTCTCTTCCTCTCTTCCTCTCTTTCTCTCTCTTTATCATCACTCCAACTCTCCCTCCTCTACACCTCTCTCTTTCTCTGTCTTTTATTCAACAAAAATTTGAATTTGATCAATGACTTTTTAAATGCCTATCGGGGGTCTATGTTTGATTTTTGATTTATGTCATATTTTGTGTTATTTAAATTTAAATTGCAATTGTATGTTTGTGAAATGGATCGCAATTCAGCCATTGGCTGCGATGATCTTTCTAATAAGAACCATTTCTATTCTATTCTACTCTATGTATTCAAATATGTTATTCAGAGATGTCGGAGGGTATCATTAAATGTATAACTTATGTAAGTGCATACATCTTTGATGCGGTCATTCTTTTCCTGTTCAGTCCAATTTCATATTAGATCAGAGTGAGATGTGATGGAAAGGGGGTATGACATTGAGATAAATAATTAGAGAGAAAGAGAGAAGGAGAGAGAAAGAGAGAGAGCGGGGGGGGGGGGGGCCTTGTGTTGGATGTCAATTTTCAAAGCTAAAAAAAAAACACTATGCTCATTTTAAGAGGAAATTAAAGGAAAACCTAATACTTGACAGTCGGAGAAGTGAATGACATGTGATTGAAATTTGTATTCTTCTGCCGGTTCATACTTTTTCATTTTGTATATATTTATGTTTTCGTACGTTATAGAAATTCTACTAATTCATCATTATTTTCTTCTTCTTCCTCCTCCTCTTTTTCTTCTTCTTCTTCTTCCTTTTCTTCTTGTACTTATTATCATTTCTATCATCAGTTTAATGTTATTATTATTATCTTTAAAAAGTAATTCTTTTATTTTTCTTATCTGTCTGTAAATATGACTATTTTTACTTATTAATTTTATATATGTCTGTAAGGGACCCCACTGGAAATAAGCTCTCGTGGGTTATCCTGTTCAAGCTGACTTGTTGATTTGTTATTATTGTATAATGTTGTATGTTCGAAGCTTGTCGAATAAAACTCAATCAATCAATACATACATATACCTCCACACTCAGGCGCGGATCCAGAATTTCTTAGGGGGGGGGGGGATTTGAAATTATGCAAGCCAAATATTGGTACGTAATGGTGACCCAGCAGTGGCGAAATGAGCAAAAACGTGTTATTGTTGATGTTGTTGTTGGTGTTTGTTTTTTTGTTTGTTTTTTTTTGAGGGGGGGGGGGGTAGAAACGATCAACGTAACGTAAATTAGTGTGGGGTCTAGGGTCGAAGCCCCGGCGGGGGTCAAGGGGAGGAGCACACAGAAGCTCAGGGAATATAGGCTTTTAATTACGGTCAGATGAGCACATTTTGACTCCTCATTATTTTGTGACAAAGGCAGGTCACTATTCTTTTTTCCTTATTTAGGAATTTGCCATTTCCCAACACTCATAAAAAAATCTAGGAAAATCATGTCATTTTAGTAATATTTGTAAATCACCGGTATCGAATTAGAAATAAACCACGTTTGAATTATATTTTGGGGGCATCTGTCACCCCCTTCCCCAAGCCCAACCCCCCCCCCCCCCATCAGTGCGACAGTGCCCCCCCCAATCTACACCTTAACTATCTTCTTTCTCTTTTTTTCTTTCCCTTTATCTCCTCTTTTTCCTTTCCCTCCTCTTTTTCCTTTCCCTTTCCTTCCTTCTCTCTTATTTTGTGATGGGGGGGGGGGGAGGGGGAGGTAACAGCTGGGAGGCAAGGCCCTTTTGCCGCCCGATCTCCTTTCCCCTTTTTCTTTTCTTCTTCCTCTTCTTTCTTTCCCTTTCTCTCCTCTTTCCCTTCTTTCTCTCTCTCTCTCTCTCTTTTTGCGGGAGGGGGGGGGGGGGGCGGCAAAGTCCGTTCGCCCTGGATCCGCGCCTCTCCGCACTCATTGAGTCATCTCTTTTGCTTTGTACAACTAATACATTTCCTAATTATGAGCAGCACAGCTCATTACGACAATCTTGTCTAATGTTTATGAACTTGTTTTCCATTTTAATTGGTAAATTGATATTTAAATGTATTAATACATGTATGTATTTACATACATGTAGGAGCATCAGCTATCATGGCTTCAAGAAATCATGACACCCAGGTTGCGGGACGTGGACCCTGCTCCTGTGCAACCCACAAAATATGATAAAAATAACATATAATTATAGAATGTTGTACTGTAAAACATCATCATAAGAGAAAAGAGGTGGAGAGGAGGAGGGAGGGACAGAAAGTGTGAGAGAGAAACAGAGGGGATGAAGGAGAGACGAAGGGAGAAAGAGGAAGAGGCAGAGAGAGCAAAGAGAGAGAGAGAGAGAGAGAGAGATACAGACAGAGAGACAGGGGGGTGGGAGTGAAATAGAAATAGAGAGGAAAGACCAGAACTGAAGAAGAAAAGGAAAATCTGAAAGTAGCAAGTTCAGATAGAGAAAAGGGATGAGAGAGTGAGAGGAAGGATAAAAGTACATGCAACATCAAAATATGAATGAATGGAAGAACCTGCTGTGCCAATCATCATGACAATTAATATTGCACATAATTAATCTCCTCCATAAGATTATGATTTTCATTTCGCCAATGCTAATTATAACACCAATGACTAGACTGCATTCCTTGAGCTGGCGAGGCACGCGCAGTTGAACTTTCCATGAACTCAAATCATGCCGCAATGCGCATAACTTGGCTCGCTTTCCCACGGTCATTAAACTTGCCGGTATTATCCGAAACCCGAAAAACCTAACCGAGGAATCGTTCGGAAAACCGAGGAGTCGATCGGACGCCCGAACGGAAGAGCAAAGTAGCCGCCCAAGTCAAACTAAGGTCAAGCTGATTTACGCATCAATTTTCTGATTGGATCAGCGCCCGGGGGCGTTACTTGGGATTTTTTTTGCTAGATTGATCACCCAATGGGTGCTCGTAAACTCATTGTACATGGATAAACGATATATTTGCTTCGTGCGCAGAGAGATGTTGTTTTGCTAAATTTAGCCAAACAGCTGTATCGCGCGATATGCAAGCGTATGCATATCGTACGCATGCTGCTAAGCCAATCCGCGACTTGCAGCTTGAGCTACGCTGTCTCCGCGACATGTGCCATTGACTAGTATGGTTGGCGTTCGTCGCACAATAAACCCGGAAGTGAATGCACGTTATAGTCAATGGCAATATCGCGGAGACATCTCCGCGATATTGCCATTGACTATAACGTGTATTCACTTCCGGGTTCTATGCCGCGAATGGCCACCCATACTTGAATTTGGGGTTTCGTTCGTGCGCGGAGATGTTACGCGATGTAACCATGGTTTGGACTGAGCGGAGCGCACGCCCCCTAATTAGCTGATCCACCAAATAGCGAGAAGGGTATTTTTAAACTGTTATCAGTTGTGATCCCTGGGGGCTAGCGAAAATATAAGCACATAGAATTGTTCCTTAGGACTGGGACTACTTATCGATCGGGGCGTCATATCTCAAAAGTGACAAACCTCAGAGTTAGCCAGGACACAATGTTTCAATTGCTGTTTTGACCAAGATATTTTTAGAATTTCGGGGGCTACGCCCCTTTAGAAATATTGGAATTTACCTGCTCTTTCATATGACACCTCATTTATTGATTATCACCTTCAGGATCACAACAGATAAAGGTTTGAATCTCGAATTGAAAAAAAAAAATTGACTTTTTTTGCATGGTCGCGCAATGCACGTAGACTGCATAGGGATGCGTGTAATCTCTATGGGAAGAATTTTAGCACACAACATCGGGTGCGCGATCAGACACCCTACCAATAGTGCATAACAGCCCCATGGCAGAAACCTTCATGACGAAAGCGCACACATTGTAACATACCTATGAAGAGTGATTAGTGCATGACTAGACCTAGTCTAGACTAGACTAGGTCTATGTAAACAAATTCAAAACCTCAAATAAACATTTAATTTGAAGTTTACATATCACCCATTCCCGCACCCTAATAACCTTGCAAAATAATGGCTTTAGAGTTCGCTAGTCCTAGTGCCTTTAGTTCTACTTGAAGTTGGAATATTCTTTCAAGACAATTCATACAAAGCAATTTTGAAATTGGTCTTTTTTATTTCAATTGAGTTTTTTTACCTGTTTACTGATATATTGTTTTCAGTCTTAAACATTATTTTATAAGGACAATGAAGCAATAAATGAAAAAGGTAATAGGTCCCAATTTAAAGCAGAAAAGGTGATCAATTTAACCCTTAAAGATCCACTGTAAATATCAATGCAATATTTCTTTCTATTCTATCCCATAGATTGTGGTGCCAGCTGTTTTGTGCAATATGGTGGTAACATGATTGTAACCCTCAATGGAGTGCTATGATAAGATCACAACATTAGGCCAAGGGGGTGGCGGCGCAGTCTATCTAGTTAGACATCAGATTAGTAAAAGGTAAGTACACTAGCTAGTACAGCAATGTTTTTAATTTTCTTTTTTTATATTATCAGTTTCTTTATATTTTCCACTAGAAATACCGTATTTGCCGGCGATAAGGCCGCACCGCCCCCTATGCTGCACCCCCAACTTTGACATTTCAAAGAGGAAAAAAAAAAAAAAACGACAAAACAAAATAATCATAATTTTCTCGAAAACACTATTTTTTTTTTACAAACTGATGCCAAATTCATCCATATTCTTATAATTTACCGGAAGTTTAGCTAAAAAAAAGTGATCGCAGGCAGATTTGGTGTCCGATATACCCCTACCACAATGTACGGTGTAATGCGAAACTGCATGAAATGGAAAAACAAAATGGCGACTTCGGATGGATATTCGCGGCAGCTCCGTTAGACTGTCCCTTCCTTTACCTTTGCAATGTTTTAGCACGAACTAAGATCAAGATCTATCGGCAAATGTTGTGTTAGGATGTTTATTTTCGTCTTCATGTCAACAATATAAGATAAAATTGTCGGTAAGTTGTTTGGAAATGTCCTGTACCATAGTGGTATTGTTATTTTACCGTTTCTAGTTCCATACGTGCAAATTTGTGTTGGTTTTGACTTTCGTTTTTTTTTTTTTTTTTTACTCTTTTGTCGTAAAGGCCGCACCCCTACTTTTTGATATTTTCTCTTCCAAAAATACTGTGGCCTTTACGCCGGCAAATACGGTAGAACTACCGGTATACCGTGATATTAAATTGATTTAAATAAATTATGCATAAATATCAGATAATCAATCATTGAAGTTTGAGATCAATCTAAAAGGAGAGAAATTAATTTATAACATTTTCAGATATTGAAAAAATCCCCACACAAATTGTCAACTGTATAATTTATTGATTTAGGAATCTGATCATTATGCCCTATTGATAACCTCTATTTCAAGTTTATATGAAAGAGTGGAATATACAAACTGTTGTCAATTTTAGTACGAAAAGGTGATTTATGTAGACCTTTAGAAAACTCTGAACAGCTTTTTATGCTATTTATTATTTTTTCATTATTTTGCTCTTTTATGTTTCATTGGTATTATAGGAATAGTCTTATGAAATGATTTTTATAAAACTTTAGGAAACGTTGATTTAAATTTCTGATCCCCCTTTTTTTTGACAGGCTTCTAGCGTTGAAGAAGATTCAGCTGGATGAGAAGAGAAAGACAAGAACCAGAGATGCGGTAGAGAGAGAAGCAAAGTAAGAAATTTGTATTTATCTCCTTTTAATTATTATTTATAATTACAGCATTCATTTAAATTCAAATACGTTTAGGCTTAATACCAGCCATTTATATGATTTTACTTGTAGTTATATTTCTACAGGATAGCATTGTTAGTTACAAACTGATTTCAACAATGGCCCCTTTGGTTTAGATTATGCCGACAACCTGTTCAAAAAACCATGTCAATTCGTAAACCCCCTGATTTTTATTTTGGTCTAATTTCAGGATCCTGTCCCAGTTGAGGCATCCCCATATTGTCACGTATCATGATTCTTTCTTTGAGGAACAACCAGAGTCTGTCTACCTCTGTATAGCACAGGTTAGTAGCATGAAAGATTCTATCTGTTTGTCTCTCTTTCTCGCTCGCTCTCTCTCTCTCTCTCTCTCTCTATGTCTCTCTCTCTCTCTCTTTGTTTTGCTCTCTGTCTCTGTCACCCCCTCTCTCTATTTCTGTCACTGAATCTATTCCTCTCTTTTTAAAACTCTCTCTCTCTCTCTCTCTCTTTCTCTCTCTCTCTCTCTCTCTTTCTTTCTCTCTGCATCTATATTTCACATATATTTCCCTGGTCTTATATTTAATTTTTTCTCACTTATGAAGTAATTTCTAATATTTCAAGTGCCTTGACTACAAGAAATTACCTTTTCTTCTTCTTCTTTTTTGTTGTTGTAGTTTTGAATTATAGCAAATGCAAAACTTTTTTATTTCATCAAACTGACATACATACAAGTCATTTTTGTTTTTCTGACCCTCCGTACCCAGGACTATTGCGATGGCGGAAACCTAGACGAGAGGATACAGACGGCTAAGCACAGAGGCAAGCCGTTTGATGAAGGACGGATTATGCAATGGTTCATACAGCTAGTCATGGCTGTACAGTACATACACTCCAAGAAAATACTTCACAGGTACGTGCTGTAGTTTTTTAGTATGTTAAAAAATGGCAGTGTTGGACGAAAATGTTTGAGGAGTGCTTTGAGATGTTCTTTCCGATTAAAAACTGTATTGATCCAAATCTATTTTGATGATAAGATATTATCCTATTGTCAATTTTTTAAGTGTTGTTAAAATAATTTTTGTTGTTGTCATTGTTGTTGTTATTTATTTTATTACTCTTCTTCTTCTTCCTCTTCTTCTTCTTCTTCTTCTTCTTCTTCTTCTTCTTCTTCTTCTTCTTTCTCTTCTTCTTCTTCTTCTTCTCTTCTTCTTCTTCTTCTTCTTCTTCTTCTTCTTCTCCTTCTCCTTCTCCTTCTCCTTCTCCTTCTCCTTCTCCTTCTTCTCCTTCTTCTTCTTCTTCTATTTCTTCTTCTTCTTTTTCTACTTCTTCTGCTTATTGTTATTATAACTACTACTACTACTACTACTACTACTACTACTACTACTACTAATACTAATACTTCTACTACTACTACTTCTACTACTATAATACCGCTTCTACTACTACTACTACTACTACTACTACTACTACTACTATACTACCGCTTCTACTACTACTACTACTACTACTACTACTACTACTACTACTACTACTACTACTACTATACTACCGCTACTACTACTACTACTACTACTACTGCTACTACTACTACTATTATTGCTATCATCATTGTCATCATTTTCATGTTGTATTCATGTCCTTAAAATTGTTCTGTGCATTTTTCTTGATTTACCAGGGATCTAAAAACACAGAATGTCTTCCTGACCAAGAGCGATGTAGTCAAACTAGGTGAGTTATCGCTTTTGTGTCTTAGGGGTAGACTTGATCAGATATGACTGAAACAATTGGTAGTGGCTTTTGGCTTTATGAAAATTTAAACAACTTGCGGATTTGTCCTTGACTCATAGATCCGCGAAAAAATCTTCTTTTTTTAAATATATAGGCTTATACAGTATATAGGGGATTTTTTAACTCAATTTTTTCAATTAATTCACTGTGAATTATCATTAAGTAGTCACCCAAAGAAACAAAAGTGTTTTGAATTGATGCAAAATTCATACCATTTCGAAGGGGAAGCCTTACCGATAAAAGATGTCACAGCTTGCATTTTACGCCTTTCCAGGATATCTATTTGATTTTTCAGAAAATTAATTTTGTTTTTTAAGAGAAAATCTTTCCATCTATGTATGATTTGTCCATAATTGTCAGTTGTCGTGAATTTTCTTCTGGGACTACTTTAACATCAAATCAATTATAACGCTGAGGTAATGATATGATTGCAGGGCCCTGAGGGAGAGGCTACTGTGGGTAAACAAGACATATTATTATAATTATTATTATTATCATGATGACCTTGTTTCTATGTGTAGGTGAATTTGGTATCTCAAGGACCCGTTTCACAAAAGCTTTTTTCAATGACAAATATCAGTGACAAATCTGCTGATAACCAATCAGAAGCAAGGATTTTAGTATCTTATAACCACAACTGTCATTTGTCACTGATGACAAATTTGTGAAACACTCCCCTTGTTTCAATGTGAAGGTGACTTTGGTATCTCCAGGACGTTGGAGCACACCGTTGACAAGGCCAAGACCTGCGTTGGGACCCCATGCTACCTTAGTCCAGAGGTCTGCCAGGACCAGCCTTATAACAACAAGTCTGACGTCTGGGTAAGTCCTGGATCCCAAACTGTCTAGTCTGAGCTTGGCCAGTCCCAAAAAATATTTTAGAACGTGTTGTTTGATGATGATTGTTTTACCAGAGCTGCCAACCATTTTCTGTTTTTGCCGGAATTACTCCGTTTTTACTTCCATATTAGGTAGTATGTTGTTTTTATGCCTCCGCCACCGAAGGTGGTGCCGGAGGCATCATGTTTTCGGGTTGTCCGTCCGTACGTCCGTCCGTACGTCCGTCCCGTTTGACCGTTATCACAATATCTCAAGAACCATTTAAGATTTAAACTTAAGACTCGGGAATAGTATTTATCACCATAGGAAGACGATCTGATTAGATTTTGGAGTACGTAGGTCAAAGGTCACAGGTCACAGAGGTCAACTTATGAAATTCCTTGTATTGAGTTTGTTAGCGCGATATCTCAAGAACCATTTGAGATTTAAACTTCAAACTTAAGGATAGTATGTATCACCATAGGAAGACGATCTGATTAGATTTTGGAGCACGTATGTCAAAGGGGCAAATATTGTAAAAATTTGAATTATCACAACTTTCGTGCCGAAATTGTAAGGGCCGAGGTGGTTCAGCATTTTGGAGGAAAATATATATTTTTTTTAATAGGCTAGTTTCCCCACAATGAATGTACATACATTCCATTAGGTTGATCCTGACTCCCAAATCCCTTTGAAAGGGGCGAAGGGGCAAATATTGTAAAAATTTGAATTATCACAACTTTCGGGCCGAAATTAGAAGGTCCGGGGTGGCTCAGCATTTTGGAGGAAAATATATATTTTTTTTAATAGGTTAGTTTTCCCACAATGAATGTCCATACATGCCATTAGATGGATCTTGACCCCGATATCCCTTTGAAAGGGGCGTAGGGGCAAATATTGTGATAATTTGAATGAACACCAATTTCAGGCCAAAATGGTAAGGGCCGGGGTGGTTCAGCATTTTGGAGGAAAATATTTTTTTTTTTTAATAGGCTAGTTTCCCCACAATGAATGTCCATACATGCCATTAGATGGATCCTGACCCCCATATCCCTTTGAAAGGGGCGTAGTGGCAAATATTGTAAAAATTTTAATTATCACAACTTTCGGGCCGAAATTGTAAGGGCCGGGGTGGTTCAGCATTTTGAAGGAAAAAATTATATTTTTTGTGTAGGCTAGTTTCCCCACAATGAATGTACATACATGCCATTAGATGGATCCTGACCCCCATATCCCTTTGAAAGGGGCGTAGGGGCAAATATTGTGATAATTTGAATGAACACCAATTTCAGGCCAAAATGGTAAGGGCCGGGGTGGTTCAGCATTTTGGAGGAAAATACGTATTTTTTTTAATAGGCTAGTTTCCCCACAATCAATGTACATACATGCCATTAGATGGATCCTGACCCCCATATCCCTTTGGAAGGGGCGTAGGGGCAAATGTTGTAAAAATTTGAATTATCACAACTTTCGGGCCGAAATTAGAAGGTCCGGGGTGGCTCAGCATTTTGGAGGAAAATATATATTTTTTTAATAGGTTAGTTTTCCCACAATGAATGTCCGTAAATGCCATTAGATGGATCTTGACCCCTATATCCCTTTGAAAGGGGCGTAGGGGCAAATATTGTGATAATTTGAATAAACACCAATTTCAGGCCAAAATGGTAAGGGCCGGGGTGGTTCAGCATTTTGAAGGATTTTTTTTTTTTTTTTAATAGGCTAGTTTCCCCACAATCAAATTGAATGTACATACATGCCGTTAGATGGATCCTGACCCCCATATCCCTTTGGAAGGGGCGTAGGGGCAAATATTGTAAAAATTTGAATTATCACAACTTTCGGGCCGAAATTAGAAGGGCCGGGGTGGTTCAGCATTTTGGAGGAAAATATTTTTTTTTTTGAATAGGTTAGTTTCCCCACAAAGAATGTCCATACATGCCATTAGATGGATCCTGACCCCCAATCCCTTTGAAAGGGGCGTAGGGGCAAATATTGTGATATTTTGAATAAACACCAATTTCAGGCCGAAATGGTAAGGGCCGGGGTGGTTCAGCATTTTGGAGGAAAATATATATTTTTTTTAATAGGTTAGTTTCCCCACAATGAATGTACATACATGCCATTAGGTTGATCCTGACTCCCATATCCCTTTGAGAGGGGCGTAGGGGCAAATATTGTGATATTTTGAATAAACACCAATTTCAGGCCGAAATGGTAAGGGCCGGGGTGGTTCAGGATTTTGGAGGAAAATATATATTTTTTTTTAATAGGTTAGTTTCCCCACAATGAATGTCCATACATGCCATTAGATTGATCCTGACCCCCATATCCCTTTGAAAGGGGCGAAGGGGCAAATATTGTAAAAATTTGAATTATCACAACTTTCGGGCCGAAATTGTAAGGGCCGGGTTAGTTTAGTATTTTGGAGGAAAATATTATATTTTTTGAATCGGCTAGTTTCCCCACAATGAATGTACATACATGCCATTAGATGGATCCTGACCCCCATATCCCTTTGAAAGGGGCGAAGGGGCAAATATTGTAAAAATTTGAATTGTCACAACTTTCTTGCCGAAATGGTAAGGGCCGGGGTGGTTCAGCATTTTGGAGGAAAATATATATTTTTTTTAATAGGTTAGTTTCCCCACAATGAATGTCCATACATGCCATTAGATGGATCTTGACCTCCATATCCCTTTGAAAGGGGCGTAGGGGCAAATATTGTGATAATTTGAATAAACACCAATTTCAGGCCGAAATGGTAAGGGCCGGGGTGGTTCAGCATTTTGGAGGAAAATATATATTTTTTTTTGATAGGCTAGTTTCCCCACGATGAATGTCCATACATGCCATTAGATGGATCCTGACCCCCATATCCCTTTGAAAGGGGCGTAGGGGCAAATATTGTAAAAATTTGAATGATCACAACTTTCGTGCCGAAATGGTAAGGGCCGGGGTGGTTCAGCATTTTGGGGGAAAATATTACTTAGTATATTTTTTGAATAGGCTAGTTTCCCCACAATCAATGTACATACATGCCATTAGATGGATCTTGACCTCCATATCCCTTTGAAAGGGGCGTAGGGGCAAATATTGTGATAATGTGAATAAACACCAATTTCAGGCCGAAATGGTAAGGGCCGGGGTGGTTCAGGATTTTGGAGGAAAATATTACATTTTTTTAATAGGTTAGTTTCCCCACAATGAATGTCCATACATGCCATTAGATGAATCCTGACCCCCATATCCCTTTGAAAGGGGCGAAGGGGCAAATATTGTAAAAATTTGAATTATCACAACTTTCGGGCCGAAATTGTAAGGGCCGGGTTAGTTTAGTATTTTGGAGGAAAATATATATTTTTTTTAATAGGTTAGTTTCCCCACAATGAATGTCCATACATGCCATTAGATGGATCCTGACCCCCAATCCCTTTGAAAGGGCGTAGGGGCAAATATTGTGATATTTTGAATAAACACCAATTTCAGGCCGAAATGGTAAGGGCCGGGGTGGTTCAGGATTTTGGAGGAAAATATTTTTTTTTTTTTAATAGGTTAGTTTCCCCACAATGAATGTACATACATGCCATTAGGTTGATCCTGACTCCCATATCCCTTTGAAAGGGGCGAAGGGGCAAATATTGTAAAAATTTGAATTATCACAACTTTCGGGCCGAAATGGTAAGGGCCGGGGTGGTTCAGCATTTTGGAGGAAAATATATATTTTTTTTAATAGGTTAGTTTCCCCACAATGAATGTCCATACATGCCATTAGATGGATCCTGACCCCCATATCCCTTTGAAAGGGGCGTAGGGGCAAATATTGTAAAAATTTGAATTATCACAACTTTCTTGCCGAAATGGTAAGGGCCGGGGTGGTTCAGCATTTTGGAGGAAAATATATATTTTTTTTAATAGGTTAGTTTCCCCACAATGAATGTCCATACATGCCATTAGATGGATCTTGACCTCCATATCCCTTTGAAAGGGGCGTAGGGGCAAATATTGTGATAATTTGAATGAACACCAATTTCAGGCCGAAATGGTAAGGGCCGGGGTGGTTCAGCATTTTGGAGGAAAATATATATATTTTTTAATAGGTTAGTTTCCCCACAATGAATGTCCATACATGCCATTAGATGGATCCTGACCCCCATATCCCTTTGAAAGGGGCGTAGGGGCAAATATTGTAAAAATTTGAATTATCAAAACTTTCTTGCCGAAATGGTAAGGGCCGGGGTGGTTCAGCATTTTGGAGGAAAATATATATTTTTTTTAATAGGTTAGTTTCCCCACAATGAATGTCCATACATGCCATTAGATGGATCTTGACCTCCATATCCCTTTGAAAGGGGCGTAGGGGCAAATATTGTGATAATTTGAATAAACACCAATTTCAGGCCGAAATGGTAAGGGCCGGGGTGGTTCAGGATTTTGGAGGAAAATATTACATTTTTTTAATAGGTTAGTTTCCCCACAATGAATGTCCATACATGCCATTAGATGAATCCTGACCCCCATATCCCTTTGAAAGGGGCGAAGGGGCAAATATTGTAAAAATTTGAATTATCACAACTTTCGGGCCGAAATGGTAAGGGCCGGGGTGGTTCAGCATTTTGGAGGAAAATATATTTTTTTTTTAATAGGCTAGTTTCCCCACAATGAATGTACATACATGCCTTTAGATTGATCCTGACCCCCATATCCCTTTGAAAGGGGCGAAGGGGCAAATATTGTGATAATTTGAATTATCACAACTTTCGGGCCGAAATGGTAAGGGCCGGGGTGGTTCAGCATTTTGGAGGAAAATATATTTTTTTTTAATAGGCTAGTTTCCCCACAATGAATGTACATACATGCCTTTAGATTGATCCTGACCCCCATATCCCTTTGAAAGGGGCGAAGGGGCAAATATTGTAAAAATTTGAATTATCACAACTTTCGGGCCGAAATTGTAAGGGCCGGGTTAGTTTAGTATTTTGGAGGAAAATATATATTTTTTTTAATAGGTTAGTTTCCCCACAATGAATGTCCATACATGCCATTAGATGGATCTTGACCCCCATATCCCTTTTAAAGGGGCGTAGGGGCAAATATTGTGATATTTTGAATAAACACCAATTTCAGGCCGAAATGGTAAGGGCCGGGGTGGTTCAGGATTTTGGAGGAAAATATATATATTTTTTTAATAGGTTAGTTTCCCCATAATGAATGTCCATACATGCCATTAGATGGATCCTGACCCCCATATCCCTTTGAAAGGGGCGTAGGGGCAAATATTGTAAAAATTTGAATTATCACAACTTTCTTGCCGAAATGGTAAGGGCCGGGGTGGTTCAGCATTTTGGAGGAAAATATATATTTTTTTTTAATAGATTAGTTTCCCCACAATGAATGTCAATACATGCCATTAGATGGATCTTGACCCCCATATCCCTTTGAAAGGGGCGTAGGGGCAAATATTGTGATAATTTGAATAAACACCAATTTCAGGCCGAAATGGTAAGGGCCGGGGTGGTTCAGCATTTTGGAGGAAAATATTATATTTTTTGAATAGGCTAGTTTCCCCACAATGAATGTACATACATGCCATTAGATGGATATTGACCCCCATATCCCTCTGGAAGGGGCGTAGGGGCAAATATTGTAAAAATTTGAATTATCACAACTTTCGGGCCGAAATGGTAAGGGCCGGGGTGGTTCAGCATTTTGGAGGAAAATATATTTATTTTTTTAATAGATTAGTTTCCCCACAATGAATGTCCATACATGCCATTAGATGGATCTTGACCCCCATATCCCTTTGAAAGGGGCGTAGGGGCAAATGTTGTAAAAATTTGAATTATCACAACTTTTGGGCCGAAATTAGAAGGTTGGGGGGGGTTCAGCATTTTGGAGGAAAATATATATTTTTTTTTAATAGGTTAGTTTCCCCACAATGAATGTCCATACATGCCATTAGATGGATCCTGACCCCCATCCCTTTGAAAGGGGCGTAGTGGCAAATATTGTAAAAATTTTAATTATCACAACTTTCGTGCCGAAATTGTAAGGGCCGGGATGGTTCAGCATTTTGGAGGAAAATATTATTTTTATGCCTCTGCCACCGAAGGTGGTGCCAGAGGCATCATGTTTTCGGGTTGTCCGTCCGTACGTCCGTCCCGTTTGACCGTTATCACAATATCTCAAGAACCATTTCAGATTTAAACTTAAGACTCGGGAATAGTATTTATCACCATAGGAAGACGATCTGATTAGATTTTGGAGTACGTAGGTCAAAGGTCACAGGTCACAGAGGTCAACTTATGAAATTCCTTGTATTGAGTTGGTTAGCGCGATATCTCAAGAACCATTTGAGATTTAAACTTCAAACTTAAGGATAGTATGTATCACCATAGGAAGACGATCTGCTTAGATTTTGGAGCACGTATGTCAAAGGTCAAGGGTCACAGAGGTCAACTTATGAAATTCCATACATTGAGATTGTTATCATGATATCTCAAGAACCACTGGAGATTTAAACTTCAAACTTAGTGATAGTGTGTATCACTAAAGGAAAACAATCTGATTACATTTTGGAGCACGTAGGTCAAAGGTCAAGGGTCATAGAGGTCAACTTATGAAATTCCATACATTGAGATTGTTATCATGATATCTCAAGAACCACTGGAGATGTAAAAACTTCAAACTTAAGGATAGTATGTATCACCATAGGAAGACGATCTGATTAGATTTTGGAGTACGTAGGTCAAAGGTCAAGGGTCATAGAGGTCAACTTATGAAATTCCATACATTGAGATTGTTATCATGATATCTCAAGAACCACTGGAGATGTAAAAACTTCAAACTTAAGGATAGTATGTATCACCATAGGAAGACGATCTGATTAGATTTTGGAGTACGTAGGTCAAAGGTCAAGGGTCACAGATGTCAACTTATGAAATTCCATACATTGAGATTGTTATCGCGATATCTCAAGAACCACTGGAGATTTAAACTTCAAACTTAATGATAGTATGTATCACCATATCATAATATCTCAAGAACCACTGGAGATTTAAACTTCAAACTTAATGATAGTGTGTATCACCATAGGAAGACAATCTGATTAGATTTTGGAGCACGTAGGTCAAAGGTCAAGGGTCACAGAGGTCAACTTATGAAATTCCATACATTGAGATTGTTATCATGATATCTCAAGAAACACTGGAGATTTAAACTCCAAACTTGTTTAAATTGCTCTAGGGCGGAGGCATCATTTTCGACTGCGCGCAGTCAAAATTCCATCTAGTTTAATTTTAATTTTTTTAATTTTTTTTTTTTTAACATACTGCACGTCAAACAACTGCCCTAAAATGTTGATTTGATCACAAATTCAATACAAAACTAAGTTTAAAACATACTTGAAAAAGTACTTGGAAGAGAAAAATATTCTCAAAAAGAATGAAATGCCGAAAATACCAAAATAACCACAAAGAATACCTGCTTGTATGTAACAACAGCATGAGGAATGGACATTTCTGCATTGGAAGTGTGTCGCGCGTGGTTGTAAGTTTCGTTTCAATGAATTCCTTTTTTTTGTTGCTTGAAATTACTTTTTTTTGCCATCAAGGATGGCAGCTCTGTTTTACCTATTTTTGTGACTGCTACAAAAGTATGTATATGCTTGTAAGTAATCAATTTCAAATTTCAAATTAATTACATAGGACTCATGCACAAAGCAAAAAGATAAATCTGGGGGGTGTTTCATAAAGCTGTTCGTAAATTTATGCATGACTTTACAAATGACTTGAATATGAAGTGCCAGATAGTATGTCTGTTTTTCCTGATGTTTTCACAGAGTGTGACTATATTTCCAATAGCCTCAATTAAATTATGGAAAAAAATATACTTGGTATTACAAATGTTTGTTATAATATTAATGTTAATCTACATCTGCACAGTTCAACTTTATCGAAGCTGCTCGATTGGGCGATATGTTAAGGTGAGAGAATTTTTCAAAAAATAACGTTTTAAGAATACTTTTTGTTGTTGATAAAGGTTGGCATCTCTGACAAAGACTCAAAAAGATAAATCCGGAACCCCCTTCCAAACAAAAGGTATTGTGGGGCCCTTCGTAAAGACACTTTTTCTTTCTTTCTCCCTATCTCAAGGCTCTTGGTTGTCTTTTGTATGAGGTGTGTGCGTTTGAGCCTGCGTTCGACGCTCACAACCTTCTCAGTCTCTATTACAAGATCGTCAAAGGTGATAACCCTGTAAGTATTGATACACTTGTCCCTTGATCACTAAGGGTATGGGAACATCAAATTGGCAATTAGGTGATGTCACTGAAGCTGTGATGTAGTTTTAGACGTTCATCTCATGTTTATAGATGTTGGTTCTTGTATATAACCTCTTACACACAAAAAAAACATACCCAGCTTGATTACTTTTTAACACCAGGGCCCCGACTTAAAAAGAGTTGATATTAATCGCAAATTAATCATGATTGATATCAATCGCATCTATTTACATAAGAGAACAGAGACTGCAATCTTGCAATTGATTAGAGGACTTGCCATTGATTGGGATCAATCGTAACTCTTTATAAGATGGGGCCCAAATATCAACTTTTTCTGTTTGTTTGTTTTACCTGACTGCCTATTAAGAAAGCATGTGTATGCTTGCAAGTAAGCAATCAGGAGACCGAGGGCTTCAAGTCCTCTCCGAGGGACTTGGTAGTGAGGATTGATGTCTTACCAAAAGGCACTAGCACATCGTCTTGGTTTCAAACCCAGGACCTCCCGGTTATGAGACCACTGTTCTACCACTGAGCCATCGCGCCTCCTCCTAAACATTCTTGATTGTAAGACGGATTGAGTTTTTATATGAGCTCATGAGCATACATGTACTTCACGACTTTGAACAACTAGTGAAGTAATCTCAAGTGTTTGCGATATACAAAAGAAAAGCCATTCAATGTTATTATTGAAAGTTGCATGAAATCTAGTACCTCAATTTTCCTCCATTTCATTGTTATGTTTTTGCATTTAAACTTCAACATAAATCACAGGGAGCAGAGCATAATTGCTGCCATACTGTCTTAGCCTACAGTATCTGTATTTAAACACATATTCACTTTTTTACGCGTTGACACATCCTAAACCACTAGATATAGAAAAATATTGCACAAAATTCAGGTATATTTTCGCAAAGAGTAAGATACACTGATTGTTCTGGTCAGCGCAAAGCCCTTCATAGAAATAATACTTTGTAATATTATTTATTTCAGACCATTCCGTCCACGTACTCTACCGATCTTCAAGATTTATTAACGTTTATACTAGAGAAAGATCCAGACAAAAGACCAAGGTAGGTATAAGATCTTGATCTGGGGGTGTTCTCAAAGAGTAAGATAGACTTTAAGCAAGACTTAACTATGGCAGGCCGTTCATGCCACTATTTGCTCTTACCATTATGATCTGTGAATATAACATTTTCCTTCAATAATAAATTATCCAAAAATGTAAATTCTGTAGAATTGTGACCATGATTTGTACGTCCCTAGAGAGACCAATGCCAGATAATGGTGAGAGTACAGTAGCATGAATGGCCTGCCATAGTTAAGTCCAACTTAAAATCGATCTTAATCTTTGCGAAACATCCCCCAGGAATGATATCCTGAAAACTATTTTCCTTATATGCCACATTACTCATCTCCCTGTGTCACATTGTGTATATCATGGGATAGATTGAAGGCTTTAAGATCATTTAACTGTTTCCAGTGTAAGATTAAATCATGGAGCTAATCAAGACTGAACACACTATAACGTTTCTTATGACGTTTCTTCTTATAGTGCTACAACGATTCTCTCTCTCTCTTTCAGTAATACATGGAATTCACTCTTAGGAACTTCAATTTGTTAGTATCGTGTCCTACAACATTTCTTACAGTGCTACAATGATTATATCTTAGTAATATGCTTGTGTGAAGACACTATTAACGTTTCCTAAAACGTTTCTTGTTTTTATGCTACAAAGATTCTCTCTCAATTAGACCACTGTTGTGTTAGTTTGAACACATTTATCAATTTAAATGTAAATTATCGTTTCCGAAAACGTTTCTTGTCTTAGCGCTACAACGATTCTCTACCATTGTTTATTTTAGCTTTAAGCCGTTTATCAATTTAAATGTAAATTATCGTTTCATAAAACGTTTCTTGTTCCAGTGCTACAACGATTCTCTCTCAGGACTATGTGCAATACCATCTTAGTAACTTCATAGCGGAGAAAGAGCTCTTACAGCAGCAGCTTGCAACCACTACCACCAAACCTCAAACTGGCTCCTCCCCCATCGCTAGGTCAAAGGTCATCAATGTCTCAAGCACATTACGGTGGGTTTTAAAATGTACATGTATCTCTCTCACTTGAGTTATATGGTTTTAATTGTTTTGTTCATGAAAACGAAAAGAAAAATGAGAAATGATCATGCAGAGAATTACAACAACAAAATATATATTTTAATCAATTTGTATTCACTTTATCATTTGTACATAATTGATTTCAAAATAATTAGTGCATGCTTGCAACCTGTACAATTTGGGCATTTCTAAAAAACTGAAAATCCCAGTAATTTATTATTTTCAAATTAGGGATACACTTTACTTTTCAATTGTTTCAGATTATGAGATGTGACTTTATTTCCTACATGTATGTCAGACCCCCTTGCCAATGACCTCTGACATGTAATATCCCACAAAGCAACGGTCCTTTTCCTGTCAGTACAACCTTTGACCACTGCATTCCCACAAGGCCACTGGTCCATAACCTCTTCCTATGACTGTTCATCTCTGATACGTATACATCTATCCCACAAACGAGTGATCCATGACATACAACCTTTGACCTCTAATATCCCACAGAAACCGTCCAATGTCTGCCAGTCACAGGACGAGGGCGTCGTTACAAACAACTCAAACTGATCGCCCTCCACCCAGGAGCAAGTCGTCTCTCGGTATGCTGCCCTCTATGCCACAGACTTGCACAGGAGATGCCATAAAGAAATCACCAGGTATGGAGCTTCTTGTCAGAAAGCAGGGACATATGAAGAGATTTTGATCATTTTATCTGTATGTCTTTAGCCCCCTTGAAATATGATGCCATAAACGGTGGTGATTAAAAATAGAAAATAATGGCGTAAACTTTGTTAATATGATCAGTGATTATGATCTATATAAGGCTTCCAAGTGGTACAATAATCAGTGTATTAAACATCTTTAGTGCAGTACCGGGATGACTCACTGACCACTATTGTTTTTGTATTGCTCAGTCATCCGGGAACTTCAACTATTGATATCATATCGATATCACACGAAAACAAAGCCATATTTACTGAGGTAAGTCAAATTTTGTTATTTCGCTAGCCAGACTAATATAGATAATAATGATAATATTGTTTGGCTTTGTTTTCTCGCTAAGACAATATTAGACTTGTCTTTGACTCGTCCAATATTGTCATAGCTCAAGCAATATATTCTTGTATCACACTCAAGGCCATGCAATTTAATAAAAATACACGTAGGACCATTGTTTCATGCAGTTGCTATTTATTTCATACACATGAAAATATCCACTGCTGTTGACTACTTGACTACTTCATAACTGAATGACCCTTTCATCTTAAATGCGTTGATTACTTTCAGGTTTACCTCCGATCATCCGTCCGCCCCTGGAACCTAGTGAATCGGGCGACTACCCTGATGACTTTGATAGCAGCGACGAAGAGAGGGAGAGACCGGCTAAGAATCGGACCGATGGAGAACGCCCCCTAGTGACAACGTTGAGGCAGGTTTCAGAGATGGAAGTTGAAGTACCAGAGGAGTGTGTATCTGTGTCAAACTCTGACGAAGGTAAAAATACAGTGAAACCTGTCTATAAAGACCACCCAGGTTTTACTGTTAATTTGTAAAGACCACTTTTCTTGACTCCCTTGGGTGGTCTTTATAAAATTACAGTAAAACTTGTCTATAAAGACCACCCAAGGGAGACAAGAAAGTGGTCTTTATAGGCAGGTGGTCTTTATGTACAGGTTCCTTTAGTAAAAATACAGTGAAACCTGTCTATAAAGACCACCCAAGGGAGACAAGAAAAGTTTCGCAGCTAGGACATACATGACATATTCATAATTCCTGCAAAGTTTGATGTTAACTGCAAAAGGGACATAGTATCTTTAAAGTCGATCTCGTTCTTTGTGAAACACTCCCCAGTTGCTTATTCACATATCAGACATATCAAAACCCATATCCATTTTTTTCTTCGTTCATTTTTCAGATATCCCTGAGGAACTAGAGGTGGAGGAGGATGCAGAAGAAAGCAAGAAAGAGAGAAGAACTGAAAGGATAGAAGAGGAGGGAGAAGGAGAAGAAGAATATGCGAGTGATTTTGAAGAAGAGGATGAGGTGAGTAGCATGGCTGCTGAAGGACATTCATCAGGACCCTGTTTCATAAATCTTGTTACAAATTTTCGTTTCAGGACAATTACTCCCTGGACAATCACCCCCTGGAAAATTACCCCCTGGGAAATTACCCTCCAGGGACAACCCCTCCCCCCCCCCCCCCCCCTCCCCCGATGACAATTACCCTCCGGAAAATTACCCCCACCCTTGGAAATTACTCCCTAGAAATGACTTTCAAAGACAACCACCCAAGGATAATTCCCTCTCCCCCCCCCCCCCCCTTTCAGGGAGGGGGAAGTCTACCCTGAAAATTACTTGATTTTTATAAAAAGGAGGTTTTTTTTTTGGGGGGGGGGGGGGTAAGGATAATTGTTCCACTGGTATTTGGCCGGGGGATGATTGTCCTAGAACCGCTAAATTTCTATGACCAATTTGCTCTCGGCCAATCAAACGCCGCGATTTCAGTAGCTTATAACTGTACAGTTATTGTAACTTTTCATTGATAACAAGCTTTAAACAGTTATGTACCACAGGAAATACATGCATTTCTATTTCTCTATGACCAGGTTCTTGAGGGTATCCTGAGCAATGCAAGAACTGCAGCCAATGTGGAGGTTCATAACACCGATCAGGACGATAGCTTTGAGGACTCGGCGAACCTCTCGGATGACATCACAAGCTGTAGGCAGCTTCTAGCTGAGTGAGTACCTAATGGTTTTGGTGTTGGTGTAGTGTTTGGTGTTGCTGCAGTGTTTGGTGTTGGTGTAGTTATTAGTGCCTGATGTTCAATGTGTGATATGAGTGCTTGGTGTTAATGTATATTAAGTGTGTGGTGCGAGTGACTGGTGTTAGTGTATGTGTGTTGTTTTCAACTCTGGTGTTACTATAAGTGTAGGGTGCTTGTGTCTGTTGCTAGTGTAAGTGTGCATTGTAAGAGTGTAGTGGAGTGTAAGTATGAAGTGTTAGCATATGTGTAAGGTGTCATTCTCTGGTGTTGATATTGGTGTAGGGTGTAATTATGAAGTTTAAGTATGAAGTGCTAGTGTTTGGTGTTAGTGTACATATGAAGTCTGGTGTCAAGGAATTATGTAGTGTTAGTGCCTGATGTTTGTCTGAGTCTAAATCTTATGGCTTTAATCTACGGTTTTAATGTAACAATGTGGTGTTGGCGTAAATGAGTGCTGTTTTTCAATGGAATATTAGATAAAGGTCTTAAACTCAACAGTAAACATCATGTTTTTGTGTTTTATCTTTTGACAGTGAATGCCGAGGGGTCCTAGGTAATGATATCTTCTCTGAGATTGAATCTAAGATCAGAGAGAACAGAGGGAAAGATCTAGATCCTGATCAGCTCAGGTGAGTGGCTATGTCATGAAGAGAGAGAGAGAGATGAAGAGAGAGAGATGGAGAGAGAGTGAGAGACAGACATATGGAGAGAGAGATACAGAGATAAATGTAGAGAGAGAGAGTGAGAGAGGGGGAGAGAAAAAGATGGAGAGACAGAGAAGAGGGAAGAGTAAAAAAAAAAATACAAGAATGAATAAAGAAAGGTCCTTGCTTTAACAATCAGAGAGGCAACAGGAAAAGATCTTGATCCCAGTGAAGAACAGAAAAGGGAGATATATAAACAGCCTTCTAGAATGAGAGAGAGAGAGAGAGAGAGAGAGTGGGTGGACAAACAAAGAGCTAGAGAGACAGATTAATAAAATAAAAAAATTACAAGATGGGTAAAGTAAGAGATGTACAAACTAGGTGAGGAGAAGATGGGGGGAGGGGGGGAGAATTGGAATTAAAAGAGCAACATAAAAAAAGAAAATAATACTTCCATAAGAAGGTCGTTGAAAGTATCAAATAATACTGTGCTAGGAGCACTACCACAACATGCCCTCAGGTCAGCTGTAGCAGTATGGTCTCAGTGACTCACTGCTTCCCTACCTGCGCTGTTGGTTCTCGCTTTAAGTCCTCTGTCTGCGAAGTGGCAACTAGGTATTGGGTTACACACTGTTGGTAAGTTGACCATGAAATGGCGCTGTGCAATAAACAGTAGGCTAGGGCAGAAATTTCATCAGTTCAGTATCGCTTTAAAGCCCCACTGCAGTGACCATTGGTCCCCCATGATACTCTTTTTCTTATTTTAATCGAGAGCTGATTTGATGAGATAACCACCTATCAGTGACCATGCAGGGAGACATAATCCCTCTTGGCCAAACTAGTGCAGTGGGGCTTTAAACTGTAGGTAGGATAAGTGATACAATTTTGTTGTCTCTCATTGTTGTCTGTATTTATTTGTTTCAGACTCCAATTTAAACCTATCAGTGACCATGCATGGGGGTCTAATACCTCTTGGCCAAACTAGTGCAGTTGGGCTTTAAACTGTAGGTAGGATAAGTGATACAATTTTGTTGTCTCTCATTGTTGTCTGTATTTATTTGGTTGTTTCAGACTCCAATTTGAAGAAGCTATTGGAAGCGAGAGAATGGAAACCTGCTACCTTCTTAGTGAGCTCCTGTCAGAGGTTCATGACGCAGAAAGCAGGAAGATGGGAACGATACCAGTCTCATGACATGCACTCAATGATGAGGGAGACCATCTCTCCTAGCTGGCATGTTGCTTCCTATACTGTATGTGTTGAATTACAAGAACAATGTAACACATAATAATAATAATATTCGGCTTTTATATAGCGCTTAATACATCAACAATGTGTCTAAGGGCTTTACAGGTATAATATTACCCCGGTCATTGGATTCAGGCTTACCCACACACAATTTATGTACATTCTCCACTCCCTGGGGAGCATTCCAGCCAGGTGTCATTTTTACAGGCGCACACTTGCTCACCTAACCACATTAACTTTCGTATCCTACCGGGTACCCATTAAACACTAAAGTGGAGAGTGGCAAATGTAGATTAATGTCTTGCCAAAGGACATTTTGTGCTGCGGCGGGACTTGAACCCCCTACCTTGTGATCTGCAGTCAGGTGACTTATACACCAGACCACAACACCTTTACAGACTTTCACATTGTCTCTGATGAGGAATCTTCTAAAAAATACCTCTTCCTAGTTTCTCCCATTGTCTCGCAGGCCCTCTTTCTCAGCTCTTCACCTTCCGCCTTCTTCTTTTGCTCGTCTCCTCTCTCCTTTGGAGCCAACTCAATATCCTCCTCTTCCTGTAGCATCCTCTCGAATACCTATATCATCCTCTGTCTCCTCTACTGCAATGCCACTTGCTGCCTTCTCTGCATTGTTCTTGGCCTTAACCTGGTCCTTTAAAATGTGGATCCTGTCCCTCACTGCCCTGCAGTCGACCTTGTATCCCTTCCTTATCATCCCCTCTGCCACCTGTTGCCATGCTCTGGCCCGATCGCTCGTTTTATATCGAAATTGGAAGGGGTTGGCTAGGGTCACTTCCCCTATTAGTGCGTTGACACTATTGTTGTCCCAGGACATGCTGCAACATTCTTTCAATGGCCTCTCGAATGCCCAGCTCCTCCTCTGTCTCCTCTACTGCAATGCCACTTGCTGCCTTCTCCAAATTGTTCTTCGCCTTTACCTGATCCTTCAGAATGTGGATCCTGTCCCTCACTGCTCTGCAGTCCACCTTGAAACCTTTTCTCTGCATCCCTTCCGCCACCTGTTGCCATGCTCTGGCCCGATCGCTCGTTTTATATCGAAATTGGAAGGGGTTGGCTAGGGTCACTTCCCCTATTAGTGCGTTGACACTATTGTTGTCCCAGGACATGCTGCAACATTCTTTCAATGGCCTCTCGAATGCCCAGCTCCTCCTCTGTCTCCTCTACTGCAATGCCACTTGCTGCCTTCTCCAAATTGTTCTTCGCCTTTACCTGATCCTTCAGAATGTGGATCCTGTCCCTCACTGCTCTGCAGTCCACCTTGAAACCTTTTCTCTGCATCCCTTCCGCCACCTGTTGCCATGCTCTGGCCCGATCGCTCGTTTTATATCGAAATTGGAAGGGGTTGGCTAGGGTCACTTCCCCTATTAGTGCCTTGACACTATTGTTGTCCCAGGACATGCTGCAGTACAAGAAATGAAAAACAAAACAATTATTTAGATCAAATGGAATGGAATGTTTCTTACCTATACTATGGATATAACATATACCTTTAATTAATTTGGGATACAGTATAAATTTATGACATTTTCCATCCCTTTTATACCTGGGGCCCCCTTCCGTAAATCGTCTAGGAAAAATCTGCAGCCACCCACAATTGTGATTGGCCAAAATTTTGTGACCTCATTAAGTCAAATATAACTCACTTTTCTTCTGACTTTACTGGTAAGAAAAACTCTAATCAAATAGAAATAGACTGGACAACAAACTTGCGTCGTAATAGTTTGAGATGCAGTATACAATTTCAATGAGTGCCTCATCAAAGTAGCTAACTGACTTCCGTTCTTTGTTTTGCCGCTGCTTACCATAAGTGATAATGTACATGGTTTTTGAAACTCTTCTGAAAGGTGGTCTGAATAGCTTCTGCCAAATCTCGAATGTCTTTTGATTCTTTTCCTTTCTTTGTTAATCCAGCAAAATACAAGTTCAAGTTCGTTTATTCATTTCATTTTCATAAAAAACACAGCAACTGCAAATAAACATACAAGTATATATACATACAAGAAATGGCAGTTAATACAATAGTTTCAAAAGAAATTGGAGAACAAAGGAAAAGCCAGTTTTGCAGATTTGCAGATAGTCCTGTTCGCTTGATTTCATTTTGAAACCCACTTTATCTGCTTATTTCTTAAATCAGTAATGAACTGACTCCCTTTCTTTGTGGAGCCGCTTCTTACCCGTAAGTTGTACTGTACATGGTGGTATAAACTTCAACTCTAGAAATTTGTAGGAATCCTACATCTGGTCTTCTTCCTTTTACTGTAACCTCACACTCCAGCTGATTTTTAATGGTCAGAGATGCTTTTCTCTTTCTACATACAGGGACTTTCTCTACTTCAGAGGCTGGCCTTATCGTCATCTGCTCCTCGTTCTGTTTCGTCCTCTACTGGCTCTACCTCGTTCTCTCCCTCGTTCTGCTCTTTCAACTTTCTTGGAAGTGAGTAGTATTCGTATCTATAGTTGGCTTATAAGGAATGCATCCTCCTCCTTACTCCATCCGGTGTAGGTTCTTCCCACTTTATCTGCCCCTTTCGTTTCCGTTCTTCTTGCTTGCCTCCTGGGGTCTTGGATCTGGAGCGTCTCCTAGCTGTTGCCATGTATATTTTCGTAGTGCCTTTTCAAGATTGAAGCTTGGGTGCTTGTATGACTGCACTTCCTGCCATTTTGCTTTTTTTTTTTCTTTTGAGAAGTTTTTGCCTCCTTGACAACTTCCCAAAGCGTAGCAACATGCTCCCATATGACAGGATGACCTCCTATGCCTTCCTTCTGTATTGTAGTATTGAGATAAACGTTCTTTGGCATTTGGCCAAGATTGAGGCATCCTGTAGTCTTATCTTCAAATCATCTTTGAAGAGATCCCACTTGAAGTCCGATAGTTCAGATACGGTATTAAAATTTGACATATCGTCATCTTGTTGTTCTCATCGAATAACCAAGACCAGTCAGAGATCGAACTCAAGCTGTCGTCATAACCATCATCGTCAGAAGGAATGGCCAATTGGGGTTTGGTGCCGATGTTGCAATCCTCTTCAACTTTAAAAATTTAGAACTTGGATGCTCCACTTGCAAGGTGGAAAGACAATGTCACCAGAATAATTCCTTCTCATCATAGCTTAAAGCTATATAAAGCTTAAAGGATATGATTTGTTATGTAACTTCGTGGATAGCTTAAAGGAAATGTTTCTTCTATATTTTGTTTTGGTGGAACCACTTTCATATCAAGATGTACCTAATTCTACCTGTTTCTGTTCCTAATCTGAAATTCACGGCTAAATCCGTTTCTGAATGTCAGTCGAATGGTTTAAAGGTCACAAGTATTGACAATATTTCACACAAGTCACAAACTCTAGGATACAATGGAGCGATCTTTAAAGGGATACTGCATGCATATGCATGACAGCGCATGTATATGCATGACACGGCGGAGCGACGCCCGGATAAGGGGCGGGCACCTGGCGCAAGCCCCGCCCACCGGCGGGTGTCCCAATTTCTTTATTTTCCTTTTTTGCCCAACAGAGAAGATTGTGCCATAGCTTTTGCGCCCACTATACCAGAATCTTCTCGAATTGTCTTATTGTTGGTCTCATTGTGACCCATTCAGAGTGTGATGGAATACGGACTCTAAGATACCTTCACACGTACATACGCAAGTAAAACATAGTTTGGTCCTAACGCATTCTAAGTCTAACCATGCTCATAACTAAGTTAAATTCACATATCATCTTCCTGACAACCATCAATTTTAAACTACTTTATTTTTTCACAACAGAAATGGTCTTCAAAGGACCGTCTAAACTATCAATCAGACTTTCAACGAATCCATGTTCGCGATTCGTTTTACGTCTACATCTACAAAGTCCTCAAGCAGGTTCATCCAGATACCGGCATCTCCAGTCGGGCCATGGTCATCATGAACAGCTTCGTCAACGACATCTTCGAGCGAATTGCCGGCGAATCTTCCCGCCTCGCTCATTCATATAGGCTATCGCTTCCATAATGCGACTGTAATCTCTATAACTTGCAACTACTTTCAGTGGCATTTTACAGCACTCTATTATAAGAGATATAACTCAATGAATAAACATACCTTAAGGATTATCTAAAGAGTTCCCATCTCAACATAGAAATGCAGGAACTGAAGCAAACTGCTAAACTGTTGGCGACTGTCGTCGCTGTAAGCGAACTGCTATTACGTAGATAACAACTATAGTCTTCCCCTTCTTCTCCGAACTATTTCTTCTAGTCTCGTCACAAGTCTTAAACATAACTTTCAGAACAAGAAAGTAGTCATTCCATGACACAGAGGCTTGCCGTTTCTAATTGTCGACCAATCGGCGACCACACCGTCCTATGACGCGAAATAGTGGGCTGATTGACATCCAGTTCGTGTCAAAGTATTGACCAATGGGCGCTCCCTATTTCCCAATTTCCCTCAGTTAAAAATAAGCGACGTAGCTTCTTTGAGACGAGAGTTTCCATCTTCTCTACCTGTGAGACAGGTACATCATATATCATGAGTTTCCACTGCATTCTTGGTACAATTAGGTATTGATATATCCAGCACTTCATGATGCCAGTCAAAACATACTTGTCAGTAATATGCAGCCATCTCCCAAGCAAGTCCATCATGACCTGACAAGCAATATTGTCTCTCAAGTTCTAATCAATCAGACGTCCTAGAAAACTTCACCAGTTTATTATGTACTCCAGGTATCGTCCGGCCGTCGATACGCTTTACTTTGCCTCCATGCACTACGAAGGAACGCAACTTCACTGGCTTAGTTCTCATCTTGCTCCATTCCATAAATCATTCACTTTAAAAAAAAATCTGTAACTGTCTTCTCATTTGGGGTGGCTGACTTCGGATTATATACCCCTTCGGCAACTCTCCACTGTACAGGAATATATTTGGTTCTCCATACAACCAACAAAAGCTTCCAAACAATCTTTAGAAGTCAGAGGCATTTTTTGTTCATCTTATATGGAAGTTTATTTTGTCCGGTAGAAGAAGCGTTCCTGGTCTTGCGAAGAAAATTCTTGAGCTCCTGAAAAGCTGGTAATGCATTATTAAAAAAGCTCGGACAGTAGTTC